TTGTTTTCCTTATCAATTCGTACCGTATGGTAGAACCGGAATTGCTAAAATGCGCCCTGAATAAGAACTTCAACGAGCCGCTTTGAGTAACGTACGCAGTTTTCTTCAATGGTCGTAGCTCCAAGACATTTATGAAAGGTATACTTATCCCGGTCTTAACAAGACATACCTGTAAAGAATTGGATTTCGTCACGTGGATGATCTCCTCTATTGTATCATTACTAGTCACTGTTGTCCATATATTCGGACCCAAGTAAAGTTCAAAGTTTGGGACCATCTTAAGACCATCGTAGTTTCCATATACGAATTTGGCCCTGATCATATACTTGGTGTCCCGTGTGACATTTAGGGTGTAGCAGTTACGTACTCCATCTGGAAAATATCTGAGTCTCAAGAACGGCTTATAGTACTTCGGCTCAAATTCCTTGGCGATTTCACCGGTTTTCCCACTGCTAACTAAACCGGCATCTGAAGTATATGCTAAACCGGTTGGAAGTGCGTTGTAAGGAGACTCGCGAAGGGGTAAACCGCAATCCACATTGATGAATCCTAATGAGATAAAACAGATGAGCAAATATCTTATAATAATATTCCAGAAACCGTTGAAGAACATGCATGCGGATTATATATATATAGATTAAAACAACAATTTTGTACGTACGGGTTGAATCTTGAGCTTGAACAAGATGGAGTATCAGCATAGAAGTGGCAATGAACACAAAAAACCTCTCCATTTTTTTCTCCTTACTGTCGAAAGAAAGGAAATATATTTTTTTGAGATAGCAAGCTATATATATTTATGCATGAAAGTCTATGATTATATGAGCCATTTCTCAAAAGTTACAAGTCTCATTAATGAATCGAGTGAATGAAATAATTGAGGATAATTTTCACGGTGCAAAATGATTCGGTAAAGCAAGTTGAGAGAAAATGACAAGAGTGATGTGTGATCGAAAACTCTCTCATGTCCTTCTAGAACCACAAAACCGTTGACTAAGTCAACTCAAAAGAACACGCTGTAATTTCGGCGTTACTCGACGTGGAAAGGCGAGGAACAAGGAGACGTGCATTGAACCACAACCGAAACGTGATGCATAGTTGCACACGGTAAGATACACGGAGAGGTCTTCGTCGATCAATCGCGGCTTTGACTTTGACTGTTTAATATCACTTCATTCATTGGTTTATCTGCCTGTTTAGTGTTTACCAATTGAAACCTCCACCGTCAAAAGTCAACGATCATAAGAATTGAGTTTTATTTTATCATCTTTTTTGTGCATGTGAAAGCAACCTGCAATAATTTTCGTTAGCTGTTGACTTATGATTTAGTTGGAAAGTAACTGGGTAGGATGAAAAAAATTTACGAGATAGATAAAGTTTTAACTATTCACTGATTCATCCGGTTTACAGAATTTGTAAGAAGACGTAGACACTTGTCCACGAGGAAAAAAAGTACCATGCAGGTTCCTTCGTTCGTTTTTCACGTATACGATAAAAAAAGGGACCAAATGTGTTTCTCTTTTTTAATCCAAATATTATTTTGGGCGCAATCCATATTTAGCGCTATGACTGATTCTGCTGTTAATGTTCGTTTGATGGTTTTCAAATTTTTACCATAAAAAAAAGCATATAATCTTACAAATTCTGAAATTAATTATTGGTCTCTCATTGACACGAATTTGGAGATATATAGTTCCATAAAATAGAAACAGATAATTTATATGGTAGGTACCGCTTGATAATTATTCATGTAATTTACCGAGCCGTTGGGCTCACTTCAGTACCAAAGGTCAGGCTCACTTCTATAGAACTCTTGGAGTCCATGTCCCTACTCGCTCCTCCCCTTGCATTTTCAGATGCCAAACACTCGTTTAATGCCATAACAACTTGAGACATTGTCGGTCTTCTTGCTGAAGAAGGATTCAAACAAGACATTGCTAGTTCAACAGCTGTCCACACAGAACCAGAATCGTAATCTCCATTGAGACTTGGATCCATAATGCTTTTGATATCTCCTTTTGTAAGCATTACTCCTACCCATTCTGCTATATGAGGCTTTTCACGGCTCTGGTCCATCACGGATTGGTTTGTGATGATCTCCAACAATACAATCCCAAAACTATAAACATCACTCTTTTCTGTCAACCAGTTTGTTCTATAGTATCTGGAAAAAAAAATATGATAAACTTTGTCAAGTTTTTTTTCTTCTAACCAATGAACAAAGAGAATTTCTTAAGCTATAATACTTACTCAGGATCGAGATATCCCAGAGTTCCAGCAACAACTGTTGACACATGAGTTTCACCTTCAATCGGAAATGACCTCGAAAGCCCAAAATCAGCAAGTTTGGCCTGGAAGTGTTCATTCAACAATATATTTGTGGTTTTGACGTCTCTATGAACCATTGGTGGTTTGCATCCATTATGCAAATACTCAAGTCCTATGCCACAACATTCGTTTATAATAAGCATAACAAATAAACAAACAATAGAAAAATTATGGTGTGTGATCTTTTAAACTAACCTTGAGCTGATTCGACGACTATATTTAGTCTAGTTGCCCAATTCAAAATAAATCGGTTACGTGTTCCTGTGTTTTAAAAGAATAGATTGATGTCAAATTCTTGGCTTAGTGTTACCTACATAGAACTGAAACAAGAGATTTAATCATCTGTTTTCTTTACCTGACAGATGTTCCTGTAAATCTCCATTGGCCATGTATTCATAGATAAGAGCCAAGTTCTCTCCTTCGTCGCAATACCCAACCAGACCGACCAAATTCTTGTGGTGAACTCTAAGAAGAAGTTCTACCTAAAACCCAAGCCAGAATACACAAGTTCAGTTTCTAGAAAAATCAGTTGAATCATTGATGTTTTCGCTCAAGATAGTGATGCAGGTGAGAATTTACCTCAGCTTTGAATTGTTTATATCCTTGAGATGATGATTGGGAAAGCATCTTAACTGCTACTTGTTCTGAACCGTTCACAAAACCATGATAAACAATTCCAAACCCTCCTTTCCCAAGTATTCTTTGGAAGTTATTTGTCATCGTCATAACTTCCGAGTAACGAAACCTTTTATTCTTTGTCACTATCGCCGGTTGAGATGATCGAGGGGATCTACCATCTGACGCTTGCATATATGATGGTGTTTGCCCTAAGATTGCAAGGCAAAAAGTTTAGCCAGACTAAGTTACGTTGATATGTACGTATGCTGTGAGATTAGTTTATTTATTAATACCTTCAACTTTTGATGCCTTTTTCTTTCTGAGAATAAGGAACAGGACGAGTGCACCTATAAGAACAGCTATCGAAACAATTGATGCAACAACTGGCACTATGACACTCTTTTTCTTGTGTCCATCCTCTCCTTTGTTCACACATGAACCAGCTGTGCAAAGAAGATGAGGGTTTCCTTCAACACTGCAAAATGTGAGTGTTGTTAAGATACCTAATAGTACATCCATTGGCGTGATAACAACCCGAAAAACAAAAGCTTACTTTAGCTTCATTCCTTTCTTCTCAAGAAGTGAGGGTGGAACCGAGCCAGTTAAATTATTACCACTTAAGTCTCTATATGAAGAGAGAAAGAGTCAAAACACAAGCAATCATGTTTAGAGAAAACATAACAAACATAAAAACTCAAAATTTTAGTGTGACTTACATGACCAAGAGTGATTTTATGTCAGCTAGAAATTCAGGTACTTCTCCAATCAAATTGTTATTTGACAAGTCCCTAACATTAACAAAGGTGGAAGAACCCATAAAAAATATATTCATTTCCCAAAGGCTAACACAAATTTTGTATAGGCTTGGTTAGCCGTGGAGATATACTTACAATTTTTGCAGGTTAGTAAGATTTTGAATGGCATGCGTGATGTTCCCGGTTAATCCACTTGCAGATAAGTCTCTGGAGAAAGAAAACAAAATTAAACTGTGAGATAACTAGATCAAAATTGACATGATATAAAAATTATGATAAATTGTTGGATGATTTATCTTACAATGAAGTGATTGTTGGTGGAGTAGAAATATCCGAGCTATTGCAATCTAGACCATCCCACAAAAACAGTTTGGGGACACATGGATCTCCTTGCCAACTGATTCTACTTAGTCCATAAGTATCTTGAACATTCTTGATACCAGCAACTACGATTGAAAAGATTGATGATATCAAGAATAAACACACAAAAAGAAAAGGAACAAACATTAGTAGATATAAGATCAAGAATTTTAAAGACGAAATATACCATCATCTTCATTTGTCTCCATTTGCGGGAAATCAAGCACGGTGTAAGCCTCGATAGCATTAAGTAAAGGCGAAAGAGTGGATTTCGACGTCTTTACAAGCTGCAAAAGGCATGCCCCTCCGTCACACTGTTCTGGCGTTATGTCGAATATGGTTTCAGTTTTTAGCGGCTTAGGACTATATGGTCCATATGAAAGTTTCCCATTCATTGTCATATTGAACTCCCTTGTATCGTTTGCCCGTAGAGTCTGAAGCTCCGCAAAGTGCATGTAGGAGTAAAACTTTGTAGTAGGTGAGTCTAAAGACCAGGTAATGTTTAATGTCGCGTTAGGGTTTAAGGGCGTTACGCCCGTCGCCATTACACCTTGTGGTAGTTCATAAAGATTACTAGCATTAACAGTCAGATTCGTAGACACTTGTGTCCATGAGTTCTCCACGAACATTGGGTACCATTTACGATCATAGACATCAGATGGGTACCTGTCACAATATTAATGTTATACACCTCATTACTAAGGCAAAAAAACTATTGATATGTGAAAATAATGTTTATTTTTTCCTTCAAGAAATAGAATATTTCATTTTTTTCTGGCAGATATAATAGATGAAAAACGCAAAAATGAAAACGGTGTTTCTCTTTTTTTTTATTTTCAGTTTGACTCTCACATTTTCTTTTAAAAAAATGCACATTTTTAAAATATAAACTTAAAAGTTATATGCAAACCACAAAGAAAGAATAGAGGAATATGTTTCTTACCCTATATTGAGATCTGAATTGCTAAGGTACCTCCTGAATAAGAACTTAAGTGAGCCGCTTTGAGTAACGTACATAGTTTTCTTCATTGGTCGTAGCGTCAAGACATTTATAAAAGGTATACTTATCCCTGTCTTAACAAGACATACCTGTAAAGAATCGGATTTCGTTACGTGGATGATCTCCTCTATTGTATCATTAGCATTCATCGTTGTCCATAAATTGGGACCCAAGTAAAGGTCGAAGTTTGGATCGACGTTAAGACCATCGTAATTTCCATATACGAATGAGGCCTTGATCAGATAGTTGGTGTCGCGTGTGACATTTAGGGTGTAGCAGTTACGTACTCCATCTGGAAAATATCTCAGAGTCAAAATCGGCTTAGAGTAGTCCGGTTCAAGTTCCTTGGCGATTCTACCGGTTTTCCCACTGCTAACTAAACTGGCATCCGATGTATATGCTAAACCGGTTGGGACTGCGTTGTAAGGAGACTCACGAGAGGGTAAACCGCAATCCACATTTATGAATCCTAAGGAGATGATAGATGTAAGAAAATATCTTTATAATCTAAGAAACTGTTGAAGAACACACACACACATATATATATTAAAAAAAACAAACCCTAATTTTGTACGTACCGGTTTGATCTTGAGCTTGAAGAAGATGAAATATCAGCACAAAAGTGGCAATGAAACAATGTCTCTCCATTTTTCTACTTACTGTCTGAAGGAGCGAGTTTTTTTTTTTTAGTTAGCAAGCTGTGCATATGAGTTTATGATTATAAGAGCCACTTCTCAAAAGTCATCAGTCAACTCCTTAATTATAAGTTTAAGTAATTGAATAAAACAAATAATTGAGAATTTTTTGATTTCAATGTGCAAAAGGATTCTATAAAGCAAGTTGATTAGAGAAAATGACAAGAGTGATTATAATGGTCAGAAACACTCACGTCGTTTAAAACCGCAAAACCGTTGACTAAGTCAACTCAAACGAACACGCTGTAATTTCGACGTTAGTCGACGTGGGAAAACGAGGAATGATAATTATCCAGTGAGGACGGTTATATTTAAAAACCACCAACCTTCTCATAAAAACCTACTTACTAGTTGACATTGACTTTTGTATGGCTCTTCATTGGTTGATCTGTCCTCTTGGTCTTTGTCGTTGTAGATGATCATAAGGATTGAATCTCCATCGTCAAAAGTCAATGATCATAAGGATGGAGATTATTTATCATATTTTGTTTTCTGCATGCCAATTGCCAAAGCAACCTCCAATGATTTTTGTCAGCCGTTGACCTGTATTTTTCTTTTAAAGAGTAATTACTAATTAGGTGGGGCGAAATTATTAGAGATAAATTAATCACAAAGTTCCTTTTGTTAAAAGGCTTGCTAATTATCAAGCTACATTATATGGTTGTCCTATATTTGAGGTTGTACATTATAGAGTAGATCAGATGAAAGGCACTCGACAAGTAATTTTGTAACCTTTGCCTAGTTTATTATGTTTACATTGCGGGATAAAAAAAAAAATAGATTTGGGTTTGTTTTAGTCAAATTATTTAAGATCCAAACAACTTAAATCCAATCTTAAACTTAAAAAATCTTGATCTAAGTTTTGTGTAGATTGAATTTGGTTTAATCTTTCTTAACCTAAATAACATAAAACCTAGTTTCGCCACCCTTTTATTCATTATATGTGTTTAGAGCATTCAAGGTATATATTCTTCAACGCACATACCTGTTTATTGAATGTACATTGTTACGTTCAAAAACATTATTTGGGAAATTCACAAGGGCAAAAACAAACAAACAAATATACATTAAATTTATCTGGCTCCAGGTGCAAAATCAGAAGCAGAAGAGAGACTAAAGTCAACAGAACCTTTTGAGTACATCTCTTCACTACCTTGTCTCCTTGCATTTTCTAAGCCCACACACTCCTTTAGCTCCATCACAACGTGTCCCATTGTTGGTCTCCGGTTCGAAGATGGATTCACACACGCTAGAGCCAGCTCAACAATCTTCCATGCACCGTTTGTATCATAGTCCTCCATCAGTTTTGGGTCAACGATGCTTTTGATGTCTCCTTTAGTGAGCATGAACCCGACCCATTCATTGATGTGTGGTCTCTCACGGGTTTTATCTATCACAGGCTGGTTTGTGACTATCTCTAGTAGCACTACACCAAAGCTGTAAACATCACTCTTCTCGCTTAGCCAGTTTGTTCTATAGTACCTGAGAGGATATACAAATATTACATTAACTTTCTTGATTACTCATTTGGGGACAAAAAAAAAAGCCAACACAAGTGATGATAATTGACTGATTCACTCACTCAGGGTCTAGATAACCAGGCGTGCCCGCAACCACTGTCGAGACATGACATTCGCCATCTATTGGGAAAGATCTCGACAGCCCAAAGTCGGCTAGTTTTGCTCCAGACCGCTCATTCAATAAGATGTTGGTTGTTTTCACATCTCTATGGACCATAGGAGGCCTACATCCATTGTGCAGATACTCCAATCCTGTTATAAATGGTTACTTTGAATGTCATTCTTGACACCAGACATCATAAACATAACATCCAGAAGCAACTTTTTCTTGTAAATGAATAAGACAAAAGGTAGAGAGAATAAGTTGAGTTTTGTTCACCTTGTGCTGCTTCTACAGCTATTTGCATTCTGTTTTCCCAAGTTAGGACATTTCCTCCACGTTTTCCTGTACATTTGAGTGTTTTAATCTGTTTTCCCAAGTTTCGACTAAATGAGAAGTCTCTTAGTTAAAAGTGTTTACCTAACATATTCTCCCTCAGGTCTCCATTTGCCATGTACTCATAGATCAAAGCCAAGTTATCTCCATCATCACAATAACCCACAAGTCCCACTAAATGTCTGTGGTGAACTCTTAAAAGAAGCTCAACCTGAGAAAAGATAACAAAATTGCCATTTTCATGATTAGAGAAACTTCATTCCTCCATTTAAAAAAAAAACAAGGACTTAAACTGATTTATGTCTTGTTGAAGTACCTCTGCTTTGAATTCTTTATAACCTTGAGCTGATGAATGAGAAAGCATTTTCACAGCGACTTGAGTGTCATCCAAGTTACCATGATAAACTGTTCCAAAGCCTCCTTTGCCAAGAACTCTCTGGAAGTTATTAGTCATCTTCAGTACCTCGGGATACGTGATCCTACGGTCCTTTGAGATGATCGATGAATTGGACGACTTTGTCTCACTTTTAACAAAACCTGTAGTGACTGATGAGTGTCTTGTAGCTGTATAATGTCACAAAATAAGTCAAATGAACAGACAAACAAGTTTTCATGTTTCATCAATCTCAAGAACTCTCTCTGGTGATTCATACATACCTGCAGTACTTTTGGGTTTCTTCTTCCTAATGACGAAAATGATGGCCAAGATAACTATCAGTGCGAACACTCCAGCCACTGACGCTGCGATTGCAACCACTGGAACTTTTTTACTCTCTCCCTTGAGAGGTGTACCATCCAAACTGTAATCATAAAAAGTGATGAGAAACCGAGAAAAAAAAAGGATAATTCCAATTGATTAGAGGAGAAAAAAAAAGTTGAGACTGAATTAAGTAAAGTATGATCATCTTACATTAGTGTTAAAGATTTGCTGTTTACCCTTTCCTGAAGAGGGTCTGGAACAGTGAGATTCAGCTTTGGGTTTCCGCTTAAGTTTCTGTGAATGGAAAAAAAAGACTGAATCTTTCAGAGCAGCTAGAGGATGAGAGTTGTTGTGAAAGATGAAGCTTACATGAGTTTCAACAACTTCATATCAGCGAAATACGCTGGAATCTCTCCTGATAAGTCATTCTTTGATAAATCTCTGTCCATTAAAATGAGAAAGAATTAAGTTTTTGCAGAGTCTTATCTGATCTCTCCAACTGATAAATCATATCGAATACTAAGTTTCTTGGTGTAATACTTACAGCTCTCTCAACTGTGTTAGCTTGGATATATCAGATGTTATTGCACCAGTCAACTCACTCTCCTTCAAGTTCCTACAGTTTTGTGAAACAGAACAAAAAAAAAAATGTATCCACAACAGTTAGAATTTCTATAAAGAAAAAGACTAGAGAACCTTGTGATCAAGAAAACAGAACATACAAGGATATGATCAGCGATGGCTCGGAGTCCGGATAACTGCAATTCACACCTTCCCATCGGTAAATCTGAGGAGCACATGGATCTCCTTGCCAGCTAAGCTTTCTACTCAAACCATAAGTCTTCTTGATGTTCATCATAGCAGAAACTGATCATCACATTCAAACCCATCTCAGAAACCATGAACAAAAAAAACCGTTACAAGATTAAAGAAATGTCACGAAGAAACATGCTTACCTTCATCCTTATCTGTCTCAAGATGTAGAATCTCTACAACTGTATAAATCTCTAGGGCGTTGAGAAGTGGAGGAAGAGTTGAGTTACCAGTCATTGAGAAAGTGAAATTGAATATCCCATTTGGAGAACTCACGGCCTTTGGATTGAAGATGGTTGAAATGCTGAGATTGGGAGGCCTCATGTAGCTGTACCAACGTGAGCCACCATTGTAAGTAATGTTGAACTCTCTGATGTCGCTGGCTTTTAGACTCTGTATTTCTGCGAAATGCATATACACGTACGACTGCGCAGAGACGTCATCAAGAGTCCACCATAAGTACCACGGCTTACTAGCGTTTGCAGGGATAGCAGCAGTCTTCATCACGGCTTCAGGCACGTCGTAGAAGTTATTCGTTGTATCGACCGGTGCGTCTGTGCTTATCGACAAGGTTTCATTATCGGAGAACGAGTTCCAGGCTCGGTCATGTATGTCCTCGTCGTACCTGAAGAGAAAGCTCTTCTTGTTTTAACTCAAAACACACAAAAACTGTTTACACTATGTTCTTTTATTTACCTGATGAACGATGATGACTGGGACGACGGAAAGTAAATTCTGGCGAACAACATCAACGATCCGCTTTGTGTGACGTAACTGTCATTGTTCAACGGACGAAGTTCCAGTGAAGAGATGAATGGTGTGGTCGGTCCTGTCTTAACAAGACAAACTTGAAGAGTATCTTGTGTTACAAAATGGAATATCTCATGAAACGAAGTATTTGTCGCTCCTAGTATTTTCACTGAAGACCATTTGCTTGCACCAATGTGAAGATCAAAGCTTGGGAGTTGGTTCAGGCCGTCGTAATTTCCATAGACAAAGGTTCCTCTGATCAGATATTTGCGGTTCCTTGTGAGGTTGACTTTGTAGCAGTTTCTTTCACCTTCAGGGAAGCTTCTCAATGCCCAAACCTGTTGCTGAAACAGAGTCTTGTATGCATCATTGATCTTCCCGACCGATCCACTGTCGACGTAATCCGCGTCTGATTTGTATGTTATGTTCGTCGACTTCTCCACATAAGTTGTGTTCTTAGGCACAAGTCCACAATCCAAGCTGACGAATCCTGTTTAAGATCAAACACCAGATATGTAATCAAAGAAATGTTAATTTTCTGCAAAACAGAGTAATCAAAAACAGAGTCTTGTATGTTCTCAAGAACCTGCTTGATTTTGAGCTTCGACTGATCTCAAAACGGTAAAATAGATGATCAAGAAGAGCAAAAACCAATGAAAAGACTTCATTTTCTTGGATATGTGATCTGATTTCAGAGGAGAATTATTATTCGATTTTCATTGGGCAAAGAGACAAAGACTAAGATAACGTAATATTAGTCAACTTTGATGCGTAGACTTTGTTCTAAGTCTTCTACCTTAGATTATTAAGGTGATTGTGAAAGTACTCTTACTTGCCTACAACATTCTTTCCAGTTTTAGTCGTGAGAGAATGAGCAAAGCGTGTAACTTGCTGTTGCAGAGAGTTTTTTTCTCTATTTGTAATAGTTTAAGTTTTTATCAAATGATTTGAGTCAATTTTGGCAATTGTGATATGTGACCTCGTCGTTACCTACATTGCCTACAATTACAAAGAACTGACATAAAAAAGAAAAAGAGAGAGACTAAAGTCAACAGAAGAACAAAACATTCACATTTTAATAAATTAAACACAAAGAACAAAGCAACACAAACAAACATAGTTTTATCTGCATCGTAAAAAAAAATAGAATTGTAACAATAACATTGGGGAATTTTCAAATTATCTGGCTCCAGGGGCAAACTTTGAATCAGAAGAGAGACTAAAGTCAACAAAATCTCTTGAGTACATCTCTTCACTGCCTTGTCTCTTTCCATTTTCCAAGGACGCACACTCGTTAAGCTCCATCACAACGTGTGCCATTGTTGGTCTCTGGCTAGAAGACGGGTTCACGCAAGCCAGAGCCAGCTCCACAACTTTCCACGCACCGTTTGTGTCATAGTCCCTCATCAGCTTCGGGTCGATGATACTCCTAATGTCTCCTGTAGTGAGCATGAACGCAACCCAATCATTGATGTGAGGCTTCTCTCGGGTTGTATCTATCACAGGCTGGTTTGTGACAATCTCTAACAACACTACACCGAAGCTGTAAACATCACTCTTCTCGCTAAGCTGATTTGTTCTGTAGTACCTGAAAGAGTATAACATTCTTGATCACTCATTTGAGCAACAAACCAAACATAGTAAGTGATGATAACTGATTGCATTCACTCACTCAGGGTCTAGGTAACCAGGTGTGCCCGCAACTGCAGTCGATACATGGTTTTCTCCATCGATTGGGAAAGATCTTGAGAGACCAAAGTCAGCTAATTTAGCTCCAGACCGCTCATTCAATAAGATGTTGGTAGTTTTCACATCTCTATGGACCATGGGAGGCTGACATCCATTGTGAAGATACTCCAACCCTGTAACAAATGGTTGCTGTTTGTGTCAGTTTTGCTTTCAGACAACCGGACGCAAATTGTCTTGTAATGGTTAAACAAAAACAAAAAGTAAGAATTTTCTTCACCTTGTGCTGCCTCTACAGCTATTTGCATTCTAGTTTCCCAGCTTAGGACATTGCCACTGCGTTTTCCTGTATTGGGTTTTGAATGAGTCAAGTGCTGGAATTGAGAGAAGAGATGAATTGGTTAAAGTGTTTACCTGACATATTCTCCCTCAGGTCTCCATTTTCCATGTATTCATAGATCAAAGCCAAGTTATCTCCATCATCACAATAACCCACAAGTCCCACCAAATGTCTGTGATGAACCCTTGAAAGAAGCTCAACCTAAGAAAGATAACAAAATGATCATTTCATGATTAGAGAAAAAAAAGATAAACCCTACTTTGAATTCAAAAATAAATAAGAGTACCTCTGCTTTGAACTCTTTATAACCTTGAGCTGATGAATGAGAGCATTTTCACAGCTACTTGAGTGTCACCCAAGTTACCATGATAAACTGTTCCAAACCCTCCTTTGCCAAGAACTCTCTCAAAGTTGTTAGTCATCTTCAGTACCTCTGGATACGTAATCCTGAGGTCCTTTGTTATGATTGTTGGATTGTATGACTTTGTCTCATTTTTAACTTTACAAAAATAAATATGATTGTTGGATTGTATGAATAGACTAAACTAAATAAAAATATGTGAAATGAATAGACTAAAATCAAAATCGTACTTACTTTTGTTCCTTCTAACGACGAAAAAGATGGCCAATAGAACTAGCAAAGCAAATGCTACAGCCACTGACACTGCTATACCAACCACTGGAATCTTTTCACTCTCTTTTAAACTGTTATAATTAAAAGCGATGGGAAAATAAAAATGAGATATGAAGCTTAGTGTGGCACTACATGTTCATCACGGAAATAATTTGAGACTGAATCAATGAAGTATGAACATCTTACATTAGTCTAAGAGAATTACTCTTTATCCTTTGCTGAAGAGAGTCTGGAATTTTGGTATTGAGATTTGGATTTCCACTTAAGTTTCTGCAAAACAGAAATCTCAAACTTTGAGAGCAAAAAATAAAAATAAACAAGACAAAACAGAGAGAGTGTGCTGATGTAAGAAGCTTACACCAGTTTCAACGACTCCATATCAGCAAGAAAATCTGGAATATTTCCTGATAAATCGTTATTCGATAGATCTCTGTCCATCAGAACAAAGTTTGTACAGAGTTATATACGTGTCCCACCATTATAAATCATATCAACTACTTATGTTTTACAGATAACATATTGGTGTTGGGGGGGCACTTACAGCTCTATCAACTGTGTTAGCTTGGAAATTTCAGGTGTTATCCTACCAGTCAACTTGTTGTCTCTCAAGTTCCTAATGCATCCAAAAGAGTTAGAGTTTGCCAAAATCAGAAAACAGAAGAACCTTAAGATGAAGAAACGAAACATACAAGGATATGATCCTTGGTGGGTCAGAGTCTGGATAACTGCAGTTTAAACCTTCCCACAGATATAAGAGAGGAGCACATGGATCTCCTTGCCACCTAACCTTTTCCTTCAACTTATAACTTCCCTTGATGTTTACCATAGCAGAAACTGATCAATCATCACGTTTCATAAACCATCAATCATCACGTTTCATAAACCGCAAAGTCAAAAGACAGATATACACTTTTGGTTTTAAAAAAAAAAAACATGTTTGATTGAATTACCTTCGCCTTGGTCTGTGTCGAGCTGTGGAAGGTCCAAGACTTTATAAATCTCGATGGCGTTAATAAGAGGAGGAAGAGTTGAGTTACTGGTCATTGCAAAAGTGAGATTGAACTTCCCATCTGGAGAACTCACAGCTGCTGGATTATATATAGTTCCTATCCTCAACTTTGGAGGCCTAAGGTTGAGGTAAAACACTTTGTCGCCGTTATAAGTAATGTTGAATTCTCTGGTCTGATTAGCTTCAAGATTCTGGATTTCAGCGAAATGCATGTATATATACGACTGTGCAGTGACCTCGTCGAGAGACCAATGTATTATCAGAGGCTGACTTGCATTTGCAGGTATAGCAGCAGTTTTCGCCACAGTTTCAGGTACATGGTAGAAGCGACTTGTGTCAACAAAAGCATCCGTCTTTATTGGAACCGCTAGGTTGTTCATGATTGGTCTCCATTCTCGGTCGTGGATATCCTCACCATACCTATAATTGAAGGTTGTTTATTTTTGGTTAACTCGAACACAAAGAACAAAACAACAATTACAAATACATAAAACATTCTGGCTCATTCTTTACCTGACGGACTTTGGAGTGGGTGAAAAGTAATTTCTTGAGACCGCAATCAACGATCCACTTTGGGTGACGTAAGTATCATTGGGCAACGGACGAAGTTCCAAGGAGGAAATAAACGGTATTGTTTCTCCTGTCTTAACAAGACAAACTTGAAGACGGTCTTGTGTTAAGACATGGATCAACTCGTGAAATGAACCACTTGAATTTTTGATTCCAAGGGATGAAACAGAAGTCCATTTGTTCGGACCAATGTAAAGATCGAAGCTCGGGAGTCGATTCAGACCGTCATAGTTCCCATAAAGAAAGGTTCCTCTGATCAGGTATCTGCGCTTAGCTGTGAGGTTGAAGTTGTAACAGTTTCTTTGACCCTCAGGGAAGCTTCTTAAGGTCCAAACCTGTTGCTGTAACCCCGTTCTGTACGCATCGTTGATCCTCCGGACCGATCCACTATCGACGTAGTTCGCATCTGATTTGTATATTATCCTCGTCGACCTCTCCGTATAAGTTGTGTCCTTAGGGACCAGCCCACAAGACAAACTGATGAACTCTGTTCATGATCAACATTATCAAATTCTAAAAGGGTTTCATAATATGCAGAGGAATCAAAGCATCAAAAATGCTTTCATAAAAACTGAAATACAAGGAAGAAGATAGGAAACAGAGTAAGAACCTGACTGGTCTTGAGCTTGAACTGGTTCAGAAATGCCATAACCTGTTATCAAGAGCAGCAAAAAGCCATGAAAAGACTTCATTTTTTTTTCTCTTTTTGTGTGTGTGTGTGTGCTCTGGTTCAGTTCAGAGTAGGCTATATAACTCATAGTTAATTGGTCTAGATTGGCGAAGACTGAAATAATATTGTACTAGTCAACACATTTGGCTCTTATACATCGTTTTCCATGTAATAAATCCTATATCCCCCACAAATGGGGTCGCACCCACTTGCCTGCAGTCACATGACATACAGAGTAGGGGCATTTTTGGAATTTGCTTCTTCGTCTCTGACTCTTCCCTCCTGACTCGAGTTTGCTTCAGAGTTCATCTCTACCTCAATACCCATATCCTTGCTATATTGTGAGTCTGTGGCGGATAACCTCGCTGCTGTTTGAATTCAAGATCCAAGCACAGAGTTGTTAGACAGAGAAATCCTCTGCCTCAGTAAGCTACTAGTGATGAAGAAAGCAAAAATGCAGACACTGTGAGTCAAGCTAAGGGTCAACAGATAAAGACCTTCGCAACATCTCACTAATGGATCTGTCAACAGAAAATCCTTCGGGTCTCAGCACAAGAAGATTACGTTATTGTATGTTCGTGTGTGCTGTCCCAACAAGATCCTTCAGTGCAAGAGCAGTGTTAAGTACCAAAAGCATCATGTTCTTGGCTATGGGCCTATCAGTGACGACTCATACATAAACTGATATGGTTTTTCTCTTCAGTACTAGATTTTATATCAGTTTCTTGTGATCCAAGAAAGTTACACATAATAAAGGCTAATACTTTTTGAGGAACAACCACCTGTTTTGTGTACAGAGCTATCTTAAACATTACAATATGAACAATCAAATCATAAACAAACAACATAGCCTCACAACCACAACACATCAGAAGACTTTCAATTTACCTCGCTCTAGGTGCGAAATCAGAGGCAGAGGATGGGCTAAACTCCGTAGAGTCCTTTGAGAACATCTCTTGACTACCTTGTTTCCTTTCGATTTCAAATGCCAGACACTCGTTTAGCTCCATCACCACGTGCGGCATCGTCGGTCTACGGTTCGAAGAAGGGTTTACACATGCTAGAGCCAACTCAACAACCTTCCACGCACCGTTCGTGTCATAATCCCCCATCAGTTTCGGGTCGACGATTCTCTTGATGTCCCCATTTGTTAGCTTGAAGCCAACCCACTCTGTAATGTGAGGCTTCTCTCGGTTTTTATCTATCACGGGCTGGTTTGTGACTATCTCCAATAACACTACACCGAAGCTGTAAACATCACTCTTCTCACTTAGCCAGTTTGTTCTGTAGTACCTGTAAAGAGTATCAAAGAGATTACACACTGCACATTCTTCATCACTTATTTGAGTAACAAAACGAATTGGTTCACTCACTCAGGGTCTAAGTAACCAGGTGTTCCTGCAACGACTGTCATGACATGAGATTCACCATCGATTGGGAAAGATCTAGAGAGACCAAAGTCGGCTAGTTTAGCTTGAGACCGTTCATTCAATAATATGTTAGTAGTTTTCACATCTCTATGAACCATAGGAGGCCTACATCCATTATGTAGATACTCCAGTCCTGTTACAAATGGTTACCGTTTCAAACAACAAAATGCAAAATTGTCTTGTAATGGTTAAAACAAAAGTTAGAATTTTGTTCACCTTGTGCTGCCTCTACAGCTATTTGCATTCTGGTTTCCCAGCTTAAGACACTGCCACCGCGTTTTCCTGTATTGGGTTTTGAATGTTTCAAGTGTTATGGAACTGAAAAATGAATTGGTGTCGACCCAAATCATAAGTCATTTAGTTAAAAGTGTTTACCTAACATATTCTCCCTCAGGTCTCCGTTTGCCATATATTCATAGATCAAAGCTAGTTTATCTCCATCATCACAGTACCCAACAAGTCCCACCAAATGTCTATGGTGAACTCTTAAAAGAAGCTCAACCTGATAAAGATAAACATTGAGAAACTTAATGCCATTTTTAAAAGCGAAGACTAATAACTGATCAATGCCTTGTTGAAGTACCTCTGCTTTGAATTCTTTATAACCTTGAGCTGACGAATGAGATAGCATTTTCACAGCTACTTGAGTGTCATCCAAGTTTCCATGATACACTGTTCCAAACCCTCCTTTGCCAAGAACTCTTCCGAAGTTATAAGTCATCTTTAGTACCTCAGAATACGTGAACTTGCGTTCTTTGGTTATGATTGATGCATTGGATGATCTTGTCTCACTTTTAACCGTACCGGTAGTGACTGATGGTGGTCCTGTAGCTGTAAAATCATAAAAAGAAGTGAGTAGAATCTGACAAGTTTCAAATTCATTAGTTTTTTAGTAAAACCAAGATGTAAAATCATACGTACCTTCAGCAGCTTTCTGTTTCCTCCTTGTGACGAGAAAAATGATAGCCATGATAACTACCAGAGCAAACACACCAGACACTGACGCAGCGATAGCAATCACTGTAACACTACTACTCTTACTTTTTGGGGTGGTTTGATTCTGGTTTTTATCCAAACTGCATTCAATAAAAGTAATGAGAAACCAAAAAAAACTGATTAGAAGTTTAGTTTAGTATTTTTATTGCAATCATCAAAAGTTATGGGAAAGTCTAATATACTTCCATTGCTTGAAAAGGTTGAGATTGAATCTTACATTAGTGTTAAAATTTTGCTATCTATCCTTTCCTTAAGACGGTCTGAAAGTGCTGAGCTATTGAGCTTTGGGTTTCCGCTTAAGTTTCTGCAAATGACAAGACTAAATCTTTCAGAACAGAACACAAAGAGCAGAGCGAGCAAGAACCAGAGATATGAATAGTCATTCAGAAAGAAACTCACACGAGTTTCAAATCCTTCATATCAGCAAAAAACTCTGGAATCTCTCCTGATAAATCATTGTTTGATAAATCTCTGCATATTGAAAAGTAAAAAGAAAAGAAAAAAAGCAGAGTTATTTTTTCACCACACAACCTTATTGAATACTTTAACTTTATCCGTGTGAAAGTTTGAATGCTTACAGTAGTGTCAACTGTGTAAGCTTGGATATATCAGATGTTATGCTACCAGTCAAATTACTACCAGTCAAGTTCCTAACAAAGAATCCAAAAAGTCAGAACTCGTTAAGAAAATCCAAAACAATAAAAGATGAACAAACAAAAAACATACAAGGATATGATCAGCGGTGGCTCCGAGTCCGGATAACTGCAGTTTACTCCTTTCCACTGGTAAATCTTAGGAGCACATGGATCTCCTTGCCAGCTAGATCTTTTGCTCAGTTCATAAGTTGTCTTGATGTTCACCATAGCAGAAACTTATACATCACCCCATTTCAAAAACTCATCTCAGTAACCAGACAACAGAAAAAAAAAAGAATGGTTCAAATTTAAGAAACATGCTTGAAATTACCTTCATCTTGTCCTGTCTCAGCCTGTGGAAGGTCCAAGACTTTATAAATCTCGAGGGCGTTGATAAGAGGAGGAAGAGTTGAGTTACCGGTCTTGGCGAAAGTGAAGTTGAAATTCCCATCTGGAGAACTCACAGCTGCTGGATTGAATATAGTTGTGATGCTGAACTTTGGAGGCCTGAAGTAGGAGAACCATTTCTTGCCACCGTTATAAGTAATGTTGAATTCTCTGGTCTGATTAGCTTCAAGATTCTGGATCTCAGCGAAATGCATGTATATATATGACTGTGCAGTGACCTCGTCGAGAGACCAGTCTAATGTCAGAGGCTGGCTTTCATTTTCAGGTACAGCAGCAGTTTTCGCCACAGGCTGAGGCACGTGGTAGAAGTTACTTGTGTCAACCAAAGCATCCGTGGTTAACGCTGTAGTCTTGGTTTCCAAGAATGGAACCCAGGTTCGGTCGTGAATGTCCTCATCATACCTAGAGAGAACACAGAGAGTCTCTTTTTTTATATAGTTAATTCAACACAAAGAACAAAGACAAATTTAATTCAACACAAAGAACAAAGACAACTTTCTTTTACCTGACAAACGATGGAGTGGGTGAAAAGTAAACTCTCGCGACGGCGATCAACGATCCGCTTTGCGTGACGTAAGTTTCATTGTGCAAAGGACGAAGCTCCAGTGACGAAATAAACGGTGTTGTTTCCCCTGTCTTAACAAGACAAACTTGGAGGTGGCTTTGTGGTAAGACATGGATCATCTCGTGGATAGAACCATTTGTGACTCCTAGGGTTGAAACAGTAGTCCAATTGTTAGGACCGATGTGAAGTTCAAAGCTCGGAAGTTTATTCAAACCGTCGTAATTCCCATAGATAAAGGTTCCTCTGATCAGGTATCTGCGCTTCGCTGTGAGGTTGAAGTTGTAACAGTTTCTTTGACCCTCAGGGAAGCTTCTTAAGGCCCAAGTCTGTTGCTGAAACTGCGTCTTGTACGCATCGTTAATCTTCCCGGGCAATCCAGTTTCGATGTAAGTCGCGTCTGATTTGTATGATATATTCGTTGACTTCTCCACATACGTCGTGTCCTTAGGAACCAAACCGCAATCTAAGCTGATAAATCCTGTTCATGATCAAAGAAAGGAAACTTTAAAAACGATTTCTTGAAGCAGAGGAGTCAAAAGAATCAAGCTTTCAATGAAAAAACAGAGAAAAACAAAAAGCAGAGTACGGAACCTGATTGATCTTGAGCTTGTCCCAATTCAAAAATGGCAAAAGCTATGATCAAGAAGGGCAAAAACCTATGAAGAAACTTCATTCTTTGTTTTGTTTGGGATGTGTGCTCTGTTTCAAAGGAGGAACTTATTCATTGTTCATCGTTCATTGTTCTTGATGTGCAAAGATTGACATAACATAGTATTAGTCAATTAAGTTGGCTAAGTCTTCACCATTAGATCTATTCAGGTGATTGTAACACTACCATTATTTTCCTACGAAATTCTCTTTGTCTTGTGGAAAGGTTCAAATAAGTATTGGTGGCAAAAAGTATAATCCAAAACAAACAAAAGAATTGGCAAATTCAAACGAAAGTAAATTAAGAAATAGAAAGAAACAAAGTAAGAGATAGTTGCAGAGTCTTACTCTAGCAAAATATTTCTCAACTTGTCTTCAAACGAAAATCCACTAACCAATTGTCTTAAGAAAATTCTTAAAACTTAGAAGCTTATCAGATCAATCTCAGTTGGAGATGAATGTTTAATATTGAATATCTATTAAAAAAACGTTAAAATCAAATGTGATGAAAAAATGAACGTGTCAACTTATGTAATTCTGATATGTGACCTCGTCCATGTCTACATTCCTTGAGAATTTCAAACGTTGACTTTAATTATATACCTCGAGTTAGGTGTATATAAATTCGTCATTGATTTTGAATTTCAGATTTTGGTAAGCATTTTATTAGGATTATTCTTGAATAAATCAGCCGAATGACTCGTTTCAAAATGTAAATTATAATGTTATAAAGATTCAAGTCATGCATATTTTACCCGGGAAAAAAAAAACACCCAAATTGAGCTTAAATAAATAATAATAAAGTTATTGTTAATACCTTTGACTCTTACTTATGGGCTTGGATCAATCTTATTCAACCATAACTAAAGCCCATATATAACAAATGGGCCGTATCAACCTGTTGGGCGGGGAGTAAGGGCCTTCTCGGAATTTTGCTTCGTCTCTTTTCTCCCACGACGGCGCACTCACTGTAACGCGGCGGAGCAGATACAGCTTCCAATGCAGCCACCGGAGGTACGGACATAACTAACTGCCACTGATAATAACTTTAGCGACCATCTGTGGCTCGAAAAACTTCTCTCCTTGACCCGTAACTATGCCTTTTATTACTTAGCTCCTCCGTTTTACGACAGGACCCGCAACAACGAGTTGCTGCGATGAAGATTCGATCCGTGCATCCTCTTGTAACCTTTCTATCGATTTCGATTACGAACTCGACTTTATATTTTCTTCTCATTTTCCTTCTCGGGGAATTTTGAGATTTGGGGGTTTTTTCATGAGTTTGAGTTTGACTGGTATGTCAACTTAATAACTGAATAGTAAAATAGCTGAATAAAAAATTAGCAGAATCAATAGAATAGATAAACTGAAAACTAAATAAATTCAAAATGCTAAAAAGCTAGTATCTATTAAATAAATAGATTTTTATCAAAACTAGTTATAAATTTAAAACGTGCAGGATAAATTGAAAAATAGCATGTTAATTTCCACTTTTTATCATTCAGTATTTAATATTGTGAATAGTATGCATTTAGTCGAATCACGTTTTCAAAAACTGAAAACTTAAAAAAACCATATACCATTCAACCCTTTTGGTCTGCTAAATAAAGCACACACTTAACTACATTTGTTTTTCCTTTTAAACATGATTGTTTAACGATGTGTGATTCATCTTTTTAATTAGAGAAATAATTTTATCACACATTTTTATTAATCTAAACAGATTAAAAATTAAAAAAAATACTATCTGTAACTAGAAAAACAGTTATGATTACAAATATTTTATTGTTAAAACTTCAAAATAATAACAGTCTAACAATTTCAAAAAGAAAAAGAATCTATAAGAGAAACAAAAAATTTGGATTATTCGATCATGAACATGGAATGAAATGTCTTATGTCTAATACACTTTTTTCTTGTCTTTTTTCTAATGAGACGAAATAAACTTTCTAGTTAAACTTTTATTCAGATCGACAAAAAAATATCTTTATCACTTTCAAGTTAAAAGTGATAAAATTAGATTAAAACTATGAAAAAGTGTATAATATTTGTGAAGGATTTAGTGGGCAAGTGTTAAGTATGGCAAAGTGGTGCTCCTATAATTATTGAGAAAGTCAAGTAAAACATGGGCTCAAAATAAATGATTTAAGAAAAAAAAAGAAACAACTAAATCTTTTTTAATATGTGAAAATCCAAAAAATACAAATTAAAATTCCGAACAAAAATAATGGTTAAGAATTACGTTGCTGTGTCCTAAGGGCTTTGAAATGAGCAGCAATTTGGTCGTAATCAGGAAGCTTGGGATGAACATGTTTGGGTAATAATCTTCGTCTTAGTTCTTCTTCTTCTTCATCATTCTTCACTCTAAACACATTATAGACTATATGGTAACAATTTGATGATGATCTTCTCCTTGGACGAATCCTTTTTTGCCTCTTATAGTACCTCAAACTTTCCATGTCCTTAAACCCTCTTGATGATAATGATATTGATGATGATGATAATGATGATCTCTCTTCTTCACAACTTTCTCTGAATCTGAATACTCTTTGATCTTTTCCCACTTGAGTCTCCTCTATGTAATTATCTTCCAATATTGGTCTCTCTTCTTTGCTCTTCTCTTCTTCAACATCCGTGAGACTAAATTTATAAACTTCTGGCGACTCATCATCAGAGCAATCCAAATCCATTACTTTCTTCTCTTCCTCTTCATTTACCTATACATAACACAAGTCCAAGACTTATGAATCCAAGAATACAATCTAGATATATATACAACAAAAACAAGTAAAAAAAAGAAAAGAAAAACACCTGTTTTTCAATTTCAGGTGGATATTCAAGCCTTAACATTTCTAAACGGAGACCAGATTCCTTTGCTATTTCATCCAACAATTTGGATTTTAAATCCTCAGATACAGAAGTTACCGATAGTTTTTCTTTGATCTGCAGCTTCAGCTTGAATTAGAAGTATAACCAAAAAATTAGGGTTAGAAAAAAAAATGTGTGAAAGAAAAATATTTTGAAACCTGGAGGTTAACAAGATTTCCAGGGAGAAGCTGAAGAGCTTTTGTTACATAGTTTTGACCGTAACGTTGAAGAAAGAGCTCTCTGATGCTAATAAGCTCATGTAATTCTCCACACCTCGCTGAGGCAAACACAAGACTCGAAACTGCTTCGTTAATCTCGTCATTAACCATTTCTCTGCAAGTTTAAAATTGATCAAATTAGTCTTTGAAGTTTCCTAAACAAAACACACATATAAGAAAAAGAAGATGATATAACCTGTGTTTTCTAAAGGAGGAGAAGTGGAGAAGGATAAATTCAGAGAACTGAAGCAACAGATCGTAGACTGAAATCGAGTTTTCGACGAGGAAGAGCTGGTCGGTGCGAAGGAGAGCTCGTGTGTGATCATTGAGTCGTATGAAGAGAGCAATGTCGTGACGTAAATGTCTTGAAATTGCGTATTTCTTGTTCTTGAGTAGCTTAAGACGAGACTGAAGCTGCTGCAACAGTTTCTTACATTTGGAAGCTTTTCGCCATCGACGGAACAAGAAACCAAACATGATTAGACTCAGTTTGTGAGCAAGAAAGAGAGAGAGAGTGGGTTTTTGTCCATTAACTTTATGGGAGAGTGGCCATTGACGGTTATTATTTACCTCCTTTTTTAACTGCCTCGTCGTATCAATTAAAGAAGACCCATTCGTTTTATTTGGGTTTAAATCAGTAATTGGGCCGGGTAAGTGCATGGCCCATGTGAGTTGTAATCGCACGCTTTTTTTTTTCTATAATAATTTATTATACAGAAATTAATTGAGAAGTTGTATTGTTTATTTTCTTAACGTAATTGAGAAGAACTGAAAAAATATATGTAGAAAATTATATCAAATATCAATTCATATAAATCTTAAACGTATCGTTATAATCTTAAGGCGTTTTTGTTTTAAATTTATTATTTCATTTTTCTACAGCTTTTAAATAGAATTAACCCCCCCCCCCCCCCCAAAAAAAAAGTTATTTCATCATATGACCAAATGAAAAACACACTTAAATAATAAATTCTAACAGAGTGGTCTCTAAGAAAATATGAAACATAAACTCTAGATTCAAATTAGAGAGAAATAATCATTAAAAATTATTTATGAAAATGAAATGTTGTTTCTTGTAACCCAAGCAAGTAACACAACCTAAAAAGGCTAATTATACTTTTACAGAAACAAACCGCTTGCTCGATGCCCAGAGTTAACTAAACATTTCAATGAATAAAACATCAACAATCCTTGGGTTCATAAAACATCAAACCTTTTCAATTCACCTCGGTCCAGGATAGAAACTAGAAGAAGGAGATAGGATAAGCTCAATAGAATCTTTTGAACACGTCACTTGATGACTCCCTCGTTTCCTGGCAATTTCAGAGTCCAAGCACTCTTTTAGCTCCATCACAACATATGGCATTGTCGGTCTACGGCTCGAGATAGAGTTTACACAAGTCATAGCCAACTCCACAGCCTTCCACGCACCGTTTGTATCGAAATCTCCATTTAGTTTCTGGTCGATAATATTCCTAATGTCTCCTTCCATGAGCATTGATCCAATCCATCCTGTAATGTGACATTTCTCGCGGGTTGTATCAATCACAGGCTGGTTTGTGATGATCTCCAATAGAACTACCCCGAAGCTGTACACATCACTCTTCTCGCTTAGCAAGTTTGTTCTGTAGTACCTGAAAACGAGTATTAAAGATATTACATATTTCATATTCTATATTGAACAAGATAATTTACTGATTGGTTTTTACTCACTCAGGGTCTACGTAACCAGGTGTTCCTGCTACGATTGTTGATACATAAGATTCACCATCGACCTGGGAAGACCTAGAGAGCCCAAAATCGGCTAGCTTAGCTTGAGAACGCTCATTCAATAGTATGTTTGTAGTTTTCACATCTCTATGGACCATAGGAGGTATACTTCCATTGTGTAGATACTCCAATCCTATTTCACAATTATTTATTTTTTTATCAGTTTGCATTTTAGACATTAAAATCAGAATATAATAAGCCAAGAGTTTTTTGTTGTTGCATCACCTTGTGCTGCCTCCATAGCTATTAGCATTCTGTTTTCCCAAGTTAGAACATGTCCACCACGTTTTCCTGTATCGGAATTTCAATTTTATTTTACTATGAATTTCACAAAACCAGAATCTCTTAGTGAGAGTATTTACCTGACATATTCTCCTTCAAGTCTCCATTTGCCATGTATTCATAAATCAGTGCCAAGTTATCTCCATCGTCACAGTAACCCACAAGTCCCACCAAATTTCTATGGTGGACTCTTAAAAGAAGTTCAACCTAAGAAAGATGTTAAATGATTAGAAAACTTGGTAACAAAAAGAGTCATTTCTCTATTTCTCAAGATGTTAAATGATTAGATAACTTGGTATATAACAAAAAGAGTCATTTCTCTATTTCTCATTTAAAAGTTACCTCTGCTTTGAAATTTCTGTAATCTTGCTCAGCTGATGTATGTAAGAGCATTTTCACAGCTACTTGAGTATCATTTACGTTTCCATAATACACTCTTCCATAGCCTCCTTTACCAAGAACTCTCTCAAAGTTGTTCGTCATCTTTAGTATCTCCGAATACGTGAATATCTTCTTTTGTGTTCCGATTGATTGACTTGGTGGTATTGTCTCACTTCTTGAAGCTGATGCATTGGTAAAAGCAGATTGAATCAATCAAATGTAAAAATCTACATTAATGATAAAATCTGATCCAACGATAATATACCTCTAGTACTTTTACGTTTTTTCTTTGCAACAATGTAACAAATGGTGAAGATAGCTAGTAAAGCGATCAAGGCAGCCACCGAATATGCAACAGCAACCAAAGCAAACTTTCTACCCGATTTTTCATCTGTACTACAATCATTAAAAGTGATGGGAAAAAAAAAAAAAAGAGATTAGTAACCCTAAGGAGAGGGAAACTAAAAATACGTTTTATAACTCAGAAGAAAATAAAGGTTGTGAACACATCTTACATTAGTGTTAAAGATCTGTTTTTAATCCTTTGCTGAAGAGAATCTGGTATTGTGAGATTAAGCTTAGGGTTTCCGCTTAAGTTTCTGCGAATGAAAAAAAAAGAATGAAATTCTTAAAAACAAAATAGATAAATAGAGCAAGCAAGATTTCAATAACAGAAACTCACATGAGCGTCAACATCTTCATATCAGCAAGAAAAGCTGGAATCTCTCCGGATAAATCATTCTTTGATAAATCTCTGTCCATTGTAGGAAACCAAAAAACGTCTTTGAAGAGTTAAAATATAATCAAATAATTAAGTTTATTTGTGTCTTAATAGTTTCAGATGCTTACAGTTCTCTCAATTGTATCAGATTAGCTATATCAGGTGTTATGGCACCGCTCAATCCACTCGCTGCCAATTTCCTAAAATGTTTTTAAAGAGTTAGAATTTCGCAAAACAACAAACTACAGAACTTATGAAATGTGTGAACAAATGAATTAAAAAAAAAAAAACAATTACAATGATATGATGAGAGGTTGATCGGAGTCCAAATAAAGGCAATCTACATCTTCCCATCGATAAATCTGAGGATTACATGGATCTCCTTGCCAAGTAATCTTTTTACTCAATCCATATGTTTTCTTGATGTTCATCAAAGCAGACACTGAGACTCAAAATAATAAACAAATTAGGAGGTTTACTGTGGATGGAGTATTTTAATAAATTTGGAAATTGAAACAAAAGCTTGTGTTATTTTGATTTGAAATTTTTGTCAAAAGGAGCTTTTTAGTATTGATAAATCCTAGCTAAAATATGTTACTATTCAGTTCATTCAAGTTATGGATTTTAACAAATACAAAATACAAAATCTTAGATGCATTATGGTCATTTGGAAATCGATATGTATATTAAAAGTATTTTTAAGCAATATGGGTTTTAAGTAAAAGTTACCGTTTGGCCAAAAAAAAAAGTAAAAAAGGTAAAATTTACCTTCATCTTGGTATGTCTCGAGCAGCAAATTTTCAACAACTGTATAAACCTCAATGGCATTGATAAGTGGAGGAAGCGTAGAGTCTTCGGTCTTTGTAAAAGTGAAATTGAATTTCCCATCTGAAGAACTCAAAGCTTTTGAATTAAAGCTTGTTGTGATGTTGAGTTTGTGAGGTCTACAGAGATCTTCCCAAACCTGATCACCATTGTAAGAAATGTTGAATTGTCTAATCTGTTGAGAACCAAGATTCTGGATTTCTGCGAAATGCATGTATATATATGATTGTGCACTGATGTCGCCGAGAGTCCACCATATGTGGAGAGGAAGAGTAGCCTTTGCAGGGGCTACTGCGGTTTTCACCACATTTTGAGGCACATCGTAGGGATTGCTGTTTGTATCGACTAGAAGATCGGTGCTTAACGACACAGTGTTATTCAGCTGCAATGGATACCAAATCCGGTCATGAAAGTCTTCATCATACCTAGAGAGAGATTTGCATGATTTGTTAGATGAATAGAATAACAGTAAGATAGCAAAATGGTGGAATGATAACACTTCTTTTTGTAGATTGATTGATGACGTTAAAACAATTTTTGTAAAACGTTTTCAAAACGTGAAACGGAAGAAAATGTGAACGGAAACGGAAGAAAATGTGAACGGAAACGGAAGAAAATGTGAACATAAACGCTTAAAACAAACAGGAAGGTGCTCCATATGTTGGCGTTTGCATTTTACAAAAACTGTTTAATGATAAAAACTGAAAAATACTTTGATTTTTTGTTAAAGAAACTGAAAATATGTCTACTTCAAAAATGTCAATTATTTATTAGAAAAAATAAAAAGAAATGCTCCAAAATGATCCAAAATAATAAAATAATGTGAAATGAGTATTCTATTAAAGAAAAATTATGAAAATTATTTATTTTTACGATTTTTATAAATATCAGCGCTGCCTATCAAACTACTGTTATTCATAGACTAATGACAGATTAACGGTAAAATGAATGAACACTACTGGCAGACTGTTTGGTCAAATAATTGAATATAGACTACTGACATATTAATGCTAGACTAATTGCAAATTATTGGCAGACTAACATCAGACTGAAAACAAACTAGTAGATCTCTCTTATGAGTCATTTTAGAAAGGATCATGTTTCATATGAGTTATTTCAAAAATTATTTCGAAAAAAAAATAATTCATATAAACACAGAAGTATGAATTCAAAGGTGTCATTTTCTTACCTGAGAAACTTTCTCGATGGATCAGTGTGGGGAAAGTAAATTCTGTTAAAAGTCATCAACGATCCACTCTGAGTGACGTAAGAATTATTGTTCAACGGACGAAGTTCCAACAACGATATAAACGGTGTCGTTCTCCCTGTTTTGACAAGACAAACTTGAAGACGGTCCTGTGCTAAAACATGAATAATCTCGCAGATCTTCGTATTTCCTACTCCTTCCAACACAACAGAAGTCCATTTGTTAGGACCAACGTGAAGATCAAACCTAGGAATTTGATTCAAGCCGTCGTAATTCCCATACACAAAACTTCCTCTAATCAGATATTTGCTGTTCGCTTTGAGATTGAAGTTGTAACAGTTTCTTTGACCTTCAGGGAAGCTTCTTAAGGTCCAGGTCTGTTGTGGAGACTGTGTCTGGTAAGGTTCATCGATCCTCCCGATTAATCCACTGTCGATGTAATCTGCGTCTGATATGTACGTTATATTCGTTTTATCATCCGTATACGTTGCCTCCTTAGGGTTTAATCCACAATCCAAGCTAATGAATCCTGTTCATAAAGATATTATATTCAAAGTGACAGAAATTCAAAAGGGTATTGTTAAAAGCGTAACGCTTCAACGAAAACGGAGTAAGAACCTGATTGATCTTGAGCTTGGACTGATCGAAGAATGGCCAAAGCTATGCTTAATAAAAGCAAAAACCCACTAAGAGATTTCATTTTCTTTTCAAAAAAAATTTCAACATTTAGATGAAATTATGTGATTGTAAGAAATCAAATGAAAAAATATAAGGAAACGGAATGAAACAAAGAGAGACAATTGCACAGAGTCGTGCTCTGTCAAAATAATCTCAAGCTGTCTTTCCCCTTACACACAGTCAAAAACTATTAAAACGAAAAGGGGAAAAATTTATTAGGGAACCAATCCTAATTTTAATTTATTTAGGAACAAATCTATACTTTTATATAGAAAACAAAATTATATAGGGAAGAAAATCCCAATTTCCGTAATAAGATGTTTTACTCTATAACATAGTTCTTAAAATCTTTTGTTTTTTTTTTATTTTCTCACCTTGATGACGGCTATTTTAAATAGTTGAAAATCGAAGAGAAACATTAAAATGAATTGGCTCAATTTGAGATAATTAAATTGAATGAAGAATTTATTTAAATTCAAAAACAATTTTTACAATGAATGCAGTTGTTAGTGTATAGTGAGAAAACTACATTCAATTTAAGATTAAGATTTAAAAGGAAGAGTTGAAAATTATGGTGATTCTTTAAGTTTGAACTTATACGATTATATATTTGTTTTTGAATTTGATGAAGCGAATAAGTGGTGATGGATTTTTCCGTGCTGACAATTATTTTTTTTACGTTCCGTTTCACAAAAAAAATGTCAGAAAAATCTGTAAATATTTATTGTATCATATGCTGATACATTAACATAGTTTCTTTCTCTAATTAATAAATTAAAATAATAGGGATAAAACTAAAATTTAATTTTAAAAACTGCATTAAAAATATAAAATGACATTCTTTGTTAACAAAGAAAATGTGTCAAGATGACACTATTTCTGAAATATAAGAAATATGATTTATGATTGATTGAAGAACATAAGTAAGGAGAAATGGTTTGTGCCTATCGAAATTTGAGTTGTGTAGCACAGAAAAGAGATGATCCCACAGCTTGTGAAGTAATCAATAATCATTTGGCCAATTATCCATTTGAGTTTCTCGATGGTGGTTAACTGACATATCTTTACTAATTTATTTAAAGTGCTTACAAACAAATAAGAAAGTTACTGTTATGGGCTTCCAATCATTACTGCACAATTTGGGCTTAAATCCCCTTCATTTGATTCAAAATATGATCACTTATTATATATATGTACTGGGCTAGGCCCGTAAAACACTAGCCAAAGGTTGGCATGTATTATTTTTCTTTCTTGCATTTTAAATATGAAGGCCATTTTCAAAAAAAAAAAAAAAAAAAAAAAAAAAAACAAACAAGAAAATTAAGTTTTAACGACGGGCCTCACGAGAGGCCGGCTCACTATGATGACACTGGATGGGACGCTCCGGGATTCAACCTTGTGTATTAAAATCCCAATTTTATTATATATTTTATATATTAGAAAATTTAAAAAAAATAGAATAAAAAGGGTCCATAAATATTTTTTATATCTACATATTTTTACTTTCATAAAAAGAGTCTAAAAAGTTAAATAATAAATCTTTGAAAAAAAAATTAAATTTTTAAGGATCCAAAACTTATTTTGGTCCTACAGTTCATAACAATGTAGAGCCGACCCTGCTTGCTTACAAGCGAGAAAATGTGAGATACCATTAGCAGCAGTGCATTATACTGTAATTTTGAAACTAATTTAAAATTGGTTTGGTTAGAATTTAATTTTTTATTTTCAAATAAAAACTAATTAAAAATAAATATAAGCTGACTTGATTTAAATCACTTGTTTTTGTTCGGAATTATGTTTCAGTTATATATATTTTATTATTTATTAAATTTAATTTTACTTTTCTTTATCGGGTTTTCAACTTTAAAATCTTGGGAAAGATTTGCATTCTATTAGTGGTTTTTCTTCATGAATAAAAATATTGATTTAAATGAATGTGCAGTGACATTTTAACTCATCCTAATGTTGTGTTTATTTTACTAATAAACAGCACCTAGATAATTTTATGTACAACCAAAAAAAAAAAAAAATTCTACAGCCACAAAAGTAATAAAATATAAATCGATTGGTTCAGTTTAAAGTTGTAGAGAGAAATAAGGCTGTGCACAGCAATCTCGGGTTCCACTAATCATCCCCTATCTTATTGCTAACCCTCTAGACCAACTTTGTTGCAAGTTCATTCTTGGGCTTATATAAACATTATCCTACAACCATGGTTTTCAACCTACAATCAAATCAAAAGTTTTTCTTAAGTTCTTAAGCAATTTTTTAATATCAGAAAGCTGCAATGGCAACCGAGCGATCAAGCACAATCATCTTCCTTTCCGTTCTTGTACTTGTTTTGGTCTTCTCTCCGATCCTTCCATGTCAAGCAGCTCGAGTGCATTTCGATGGTAAGCGCTAAAATGTTTTGAATCAATTACAAAAACCGTATTGATTTCCCTTTGATGAAGTTTAATTATTATATATTATCGTGATAGCTGAAGGTCGTGTGCTGCTGAAAGAAAAGTCCACAGACGACTTATATTGCCCGGCTTGTGTGTGTTGTGGACCGGCTCCAAAAGGTGGTTGTTGCCCATGCCGATGTTAACGCTCCCTAAAGACTGCAACTTTGATTTTCAGCTATAGCATGTGATGGGTTTGATATTTGTAGACTATTAATTAAATATATGTGTATATGAATAAATAAGCAAGTCAAAAGCGTAGACTCTGATTACTCAAGAAACTGTACTTTTTATTATAATATTATATTATGTGGTTCGAACACAGAACTGCGTTAAATGTTATTATGCATTAGCTTACAGAACTGTGACTTCTCATTTTTACACACAGAAGAGAGACTTTGAATCCCAAATTGGACTGTGGAAAAGTCATCTTAGAAAAACGCATGTAAATACATATTTAATACCCATTTTCCTCTTATATCACAACCCGTAACAAAAGCAGAGCAGCAATGGCGTTTCACTGTGGAAAATCCATCTTTGTGAAGCTCATCGTCCTCTCTCTGCTACTTCTTATTCCCTTGTCACAAAGCAACGCTGCTCGTGTCCCTTCAATCCCAAGAGGTACTAAAGACATATATAAATCTAATGATGTATACTATATAGTCCATCATATTTCCAATGAATTGGTTTGATGAAGAACCATCTGTGAAATTTTCTTGGCATGGATATTCAGATCCTACTGGCCCGAGGCGACCGATTTGCCCGGCTTGTGTGTGTTGCGAGCCAGCCCCGCTAGGAAGTTGCTGCAGATGTTGTGCATCTCCTATCGTCACGCAAACTCATCACCACTCTCAATCTCCATGAAAATATAAAACTAAAAAGCTTGACTCGGAAGAAAAGAATGAAGAATAATAAAGTTGTGTGTAGTACATGTTTCTGTTCCCATGCATGTCCTATTAAAGCAAAATAAAACTGTTGTTTCAAAGTCAACTCTATATTTGAGTTTGAATTTTCAAACTTTGACCAAACCTTCAATAAATGTAACAAAAAATTATAAACGCGGCTATTTACTTAATAAAATCTATTAATTAAAAATCATAAATCATAAATCAAATTAACAGGAGCACGACAACTTGGACAGCTTCGGTGGCTTGTAAGCCAAGAATCTATACAAAAACGATGAAAAACATGTCTACACTTCTTTAAACGTCTAATCTCATGATCATCCTCGTACGCTTCCAAACAAATTGGACAACATCGTTTACAAAATCCTTCGTCTTCTTCTTCTTCTTTGATATCTTTGAAGTACATTAGGACTTTCGTCTCTACCGGTAAAGGAAGTTGTCGTCCAGATTCAATGTCTTGTTGAGGTAATCCCGTGGGACTATTCATATTGCAAAGGCAACGACAAAAGATGACCATGATGATAATCCAATATAAAGTGTATAGGACTATCGAAACTGGCTGTACCCATGGATGTGAATCCGTCAATTGCTTCCATAGCGATTTACCCATATCCTCACACTACTTTTTTGTAACAGAAGAAATATCAAAACATAAAAAAAAATTTAATGTATATATCAAATTCCCAATTAGGTTAGGTATTTATCTTTTCCATTTAAAAAAATATATATTCCTAATTGTGTCTGAAAACACGGATCGTTGGAATTCCCTAAATCTTATAAATTATACGACACGATTTTCAAGGATATGATCAAAACTTATCAGAGAATCCAAAGATGAATTTCGAAGTTAACGGTGAAGATTGCTTTACAATCGGCTGGATAGTACCGAATATTAAAAAGCCCTAAGATGTACTTCCTTGCCAAGAGTGTTATATACGGCACTTGAGAGAACACGTGCGTGCATCCCAAGAGAACCCTACCAAAGTCGTTTACTTTGAAACCCTAATAGTAAATAATGGGATATTTTGGTTCAATGTCCTAACAAAATCTAGTTTCAAAGTCAGATTTTTTATTGAGTTCGATTTCAGTCTTTGACCAATACTTTAAATTAATAATTTTTATCATTGATTTTCCACAGGAAAACGGTTAAATACTGTACCATTATTTATTATTTTCAATTGACTCAAAACAAGGAGACATTTTTCATTGAGTAATTTTGGTTTGAAACGCAAGATTACTTGGTTAAATTGAAAATAACAATATTATATTTTCAGATTCAAGCTAACAAAACTTAATGAACTCAAGCCAGCTAGAGCAATAGTAGAGATGGCAGACAAGACATCCAGAAAACCACTTGGGATGCTAATTAACAGATTAACGATTACAAACATAAAATCAAAAGATAGGCCAGAGTGAATATGGATAATGAATTACCCATCGAATGGATTAATTATTTTGGCCAATTAATGGTCATATATACTTAATTTACTCTGGATTATTTTATTGCTAGACCTCTTGACCAACTCTTTGATGCAATGATTTTTTTCTTGGCCTATATAAAACATCATCCTACTACCATGGTTTCAAACTGCAATCAAAAATCTTTTTTCAATTTCTAATCATTTTTAACAGAAAACTGCAAATGGCGACTGACCGATCAAGCTCAGTCATGCTCCTTTCTGTTCTTGTATTTGCTTTGGTCTTCTCAACAATCCTTCCCTGTCAAGCAGCTCGAGCGCATCTAGATGGTAAGCTAATATATATATTTTTTGAATTTAACAATTTGTGGCGGTTTTCTTTAGGTGAATCTTTTGTTTCCATACAGTTGAAGGACGTATGCTGCTAAGAGCACCACAAGTACCACCCGCGGCACCGATTCGCATGTGTCCTGCATGTGCGTGTTGTGCACCGGCTCCACGAGGTTCTTGCTGCCCATGTCGATGCACCAACGAACCCTAAACAATTGAGGTTGATTTCATCTAATAGCTTGTGATGTGTTTATTATCTGTATAATCTTATTTACATGTGAAATAAGCAATCAAAAGATAAGGCTCTGTTTGACTCTGGTCACTCAGGCCATTGTATTGTACCCTTTGATTATGATATTATATCCTCTGATTCGGACACATAACTACGTTAAGGTAATTATATCACAGTGTTTAAGGAACCTGTGACTTCTCATTCAACACACACATATAGTCTTTAGAAATGCATATAATTATGATATATATATATATATATGTACCGTTAAATCTAATCCTCTAATAGCATGAAGCATAACAAAGCAAAGCATCAATGGCGTTTCATAGTGAAAGATCCATCTTTGTGAAGCTGCTTATCTCCTCTTTTCTCAGCTACGTACTTTTCTTCCGTTGTCACAAGCTGCTCTCTTCCCATCAATCTATCTAAGCTTCAAGTTGCTACACCTCCTGTCGTCACTCAAGACTCATCATGCACTCTAAATCTCCATGAAATATAACATAAAAAAAAAGCTTGAATCGGTAGATATAAGAACAGTAATAAAGAGTTTTTTATAGTCCATGTTTCTTTGTTTCCATGTTCTAAAATAAAATAAAAATTAGCTCCAAAGTCAACTTGCGCAGACCAAAAAATCAGAAATCAGATCAACAGAACGACGACAAATTGGACACCTACGATCGCGTTTAAGCCAAGAACGAATACAAAAACGGTGAAAAACATGTCCACACTCCTTCAAACGCCTAATCTCATGATCATCCTCGTACTCTTCCAAACAAATTGGACAAAAACGTTTACCACAACCTTCTCCTTCTCCTTCTCCTTCTCCTTCTTCTTCTTCTTCTTTGATATCTTTGAACATTAAGACTTTCCTCGAATTCCTCCTCTGTCCGGTTTCAATGTCTTGTTGAGGCTGTGGAGTTTCGGCAGGTGATTCCGTGGGACTATTACAACTTTTGCAGAATGCATAGATGATGATGATCACCCAGCCGATGACGAGGATCCAAAGGTTAACTTTATCAAAAGTATCCATCCTCACGCTACGTTTTCGTTTGTTACCTGAAGAAATATCAAATTACATAGAGGTAATTTAGAATTTGATATCAAACTTCGTATTAGGATAGAGGTTTGTTTATTTTTCCTTTTTTTTTTAATTCATAATCATGTGAAAAGGGTGAGATATATCATATCATTTAAAAAAAAAATAATGATAATAATAAAATGATCTCATATAAAATTGGTTTATGAATTTTAATTTATTTTAAGATAAGAGTCTAGATGCATTCATATAGGATTCTTACAATTTGCTAACTTCAAAATCTTTATTAAAAATCTTATGTTATTTGTGATGTGATTTTTAAATGTAAGTTATTAAAACTTGTGACTTGTCAACACACATAGAGTCTTTAGAAATGCATATAATCATGATATATATATATATATATATACCCTTTTAATATAATCCTCTAAAAACATGGCGCATAACAAAGCAAAGTAGAAAAACAGTAATAAAGAGTCTTTTCTAGTCCATGTTTCTTTGTTTCCATGTTCTAAAAAAAAAATTAGCTCCAAAAATTATTCTAGTCAACTTGAGTTTGATTTTCAACCTTTCATCAAAACTTTGATGAATGTTAAAATATGATAGTAAATAAATAACACCGATTAATTAGAGACCGAAAAATCACAAATCAAATCAACAGAACGACGACAACTTGGACAGCTTCGGTGGCGTGTAAGCCAAGAATCAATACAAAAACGATGAAAAACATGTCCACACTTCTTCAAACGCCTAATCTCATGATCATCCTCGTACTCTTCCAAACAAATTGGACAAAAACCTTCTCCTTCTTCTTTTTTGATATCTTTGAACATTAAGACTTTCCTCCTCTGTCCTGTTTCAATGTCTTGTTGAGGCTGTGGAGTTTCAGTAGGTGGTTTCCTGGGACTATAAAAGCAAGCTGCATATATGACCATGCAACATCCACAGATTAAGATGATTATCCAGACGATGACGGAGATCTTCTTGAGGTTACTTATATGACTCTCCTCAATAGATTCATAAGTATCCATCCTCACGCTACGTTTTCGTTTAGTTACCTGAAGAGATATCAAAACAGATGTTTTGTTTTTAGTTACATGAGATAATTTATAATTTGACATCAAACTTTTCCTTTTCCTTTGGTTTTTTGGATTCCTAATCATGTGAAAAAGAGGTGAAACTTATCATATCATAGAATAATAATAATAACAATAATAATGAAAATTACTATCTCATATAAAATTTGTTTATGAAATTTATTTGATTTAGAAATCTAAAAATATCACGTGCTAATGGTTCGTTAACTTTAAAATCTTTATTAAAATCTTATGATGCAAGTTAAAACTCAAAAGTACTATCCTACACGGAAATAGTTAAATGACTGCAAAAGAAAAAACCATGGAGCGTAAGATTTATCATGTACAATAAGAAGATTGATCCATTAACACAAACCTCTAAAACAATTTGATTAAAACATTATCAAAATTCACCATGGCTGATAATCATAACACATGGACCAATATCAAGCTTGATGTTGCTTGATGTTGGTCCATCTTCTGCATCTGACACAAGTGATTATATCCAAAAAAACCAAATTTATGGTTTTGTTCCATGTATCATTATTATCAATCTATCGGAAGTAAAAAAAGAGTTGTTTTGTTTGTTAGATTGCAACATATCAAACATATAAACTCATACATCTCTTCATTAATTCTCTAAAATGAATAATCATATAGAGACAGGCAAAGAGCAAGATCTGGAGGATATAACTCTTTTAACTAACTACTTAGCTGGACTGTGATTGATCATTCCTCTAGACAAACTAGGCAATGGCTAATCGTCGATACAAGGAAAAGAAAAAAAAAACAGTCTTAACTCTTTTTAAGGTTTCATTGTTTTTTATCTTCCTTGGACAAGACCACTAAAAACTTGGCTGTTTCCAGCAAGAGTTGCCTCCCATTCAATGGAAGACAAGAGTATCTGCGAGAGCGATATAACCACTTGCTTCATGTTTGGTCTAAGAATCGGATCATCATCTACGCATTGCTTCGCCAACATAGCAGTCTGTCCACAGAAATAATCCATTTTCACAGTTATAAACTCACATCGTTACCATCTACTAAGCATTTGTTTCTTAGTTTATACCTTGAATAAACAGTCGTGTGGGTATAAATCCATCATGTTGGGATCCACAAACTCCTTCAGACTCGACATGTTCATAGAGTCTGGTGAGTTCTTAAGAGCTATTAACATCTGCAATGGTAAACGAAAGCAAAAGAAAAGGGCTTTGCGAGTGAATTTTGCATCAAAGAAGTGTAATGGTTCAATATGTGTTTAACTCCAAGAACTTACAGTAGATGCCAATGGACGTCTTTCTGGATTCTTAGTTCCCATTGCCTCTGTTCTTATAACGGCTTCTCTTCCAGAAATAATCTCAAAGAGAACAACACCAAAGGCATAAACATCGCTTTTCGAAGTAGCAAGACCGTCACTTAGATATCTGCATAGGGAAAAGACAGAAACGTCGCAGGTAAGAATTCACTAGAGTGTTCTTGTATGAAAACTAGATGCAGCTTCAGGTTTTCAAGTGCTTACTCTGGTGCAAGATAACCATATGTACCAACAACTTTAGTAACAGAAATTTCTCCTTCTCCAGTTTTCTCAACGAGTTTAGCAAGTCCAAAATCCGATATCTAGACACGTGCAAAGATAAGATCAACTCAGTCATCCTGTATAAGAATCACATAACATGTAACGGGTTTCATAAGTTCAGAATCAGACCTTAGCCCTAAATGCTTCATCGAGCAAAATATTGCTTGTCTTGATATCTCTGTGAACATAATGAGTTTTAGTATGTTCATGAATATATTCCAAGCCTCTTGCTGCGTCAAGTGCAATCTGATTCCTCATTATCCAAGACAGTGGAGTATTGCCTTCAATAACATCAAGATATATATATCATTATCCTCATCAAATCATCATCATCTTCTCGTTAAAAATCTTGTCTGTATTAGTCTTCTTTACCTTTGCTCTGAGGATCATGCAAATGGTTCTTCAGCATTCCCTTTTGGACATATTCATACACTACGAAAAGCTCCTCATTGGTTGCAGCGTAACCAATCAACTCTACCTTTTACAAAGAATAAAAGCAAAACCAAGAGTCATAAATCATAATCTCGAATGATTCAGACAAAACATAAAGAAGATTACAACACAACGGGAATTACCAAATTGGAATGATGAACTTTGCAGAGAACTTTCATCTCTGCTGCAAACTCTTTAGTTTTTGTAGCAGTCATCCTTTTGACAGCAACTTCCTGCGATAAGTTTTCATCACATATTACAATCGCAACAGCTCAAAAACTCGGAAAAACAGAGATGGGACTCAAGGCACAAACCTGTTCTCTAAGTAGACCAAAGTATACTGAACCATAATTTCCATGACCAAGAAGATTAGAATCAGAAAACCCATCCGTAGCCGCACGGATCTCTTCGTAAGTGAACACCATAGGCTTCTCTATCTCAAACATTCCGTCACCAAGAGCTAATACAAGAAAAGAAAGTCCTTTATAAGGAGAAACCACAGAGGGATGAAACCAAAAACACCATACCTTTAGGAATAGCAACAACTTGATGATGGCTCTGAGTTTCACCGTTGTTCTGTCTGAAATCCCCGGATCTGCAGCAGTTATACCGACCAGAACCGCAGAAGAAACCGGACTTCCTGAGGATTTGGAAGTTGTGTCCACCACTGTCTCCATCAGTGGAACCGCAGCTAGATGCTCTCACGCAGATGCACACAAGTATACACATCACAAGAAGCGCAAGCACAACTCCAAGACCACCAACAATCCATATATAAGGCACATGACTACCCTTTGCAGTGTGATTCACCTGGTCAGCTTTTCCCAAAATTGGAAACATGAGACTCATCATCATATACTAAAAATAGAAACTTGAGACTCAGATTAAGACAAGGAGAAAGATAAATCAAAACCTGAGATGTTGCTATTGGTTAATCCAGGCGCAGGAGAAGGAGCAGGAGGGTTTATCTTCTTCGCCTCATAAGGCTCTCCAGGTACTTCACAACAACAAGAACAACAAAAATCAATACATCAAAATGTTATCTTTAAACTCCCTAATTTCACAAAAAAAATTAAAGATTTCTTTACCGGAATCAAGAGGGATGTAAATGAGATCTCCGGTTGTGATATTATCAGGATTCGAGATTCCGTTGACTTGTTCGATTCGATCCATACTAACACCGAATCGGCTCGAGAGCGATTGAACACTCTCTCCAGAGACCGCCACGTAGCTCATAAGGTAGTTCCAGAGACCGCTCGAGCAACCGCAGAGAAGCTGCACAGAGACCACCGAGGCGGCACGAGCTGCTCTACTGTTGTTTGGTGGAAACGCGAGACCAGAGTAAGCAGAGACCACGGCATCGTAGACGTATCCGCGGTTTTGTGTGATTGTGAATGTCGTGTTCGTTGCGTATTGGTGAGTCGTGCTGAGACAAGAACAGTTCTTCCTCACGAAGATGTAACCGCCGTCGTCTCCGGTGAGATCGGCGGTTATGTCCGCCGGTAATACGTCGAACATGCTTTGGATTACGGAGAAGGTTCGGTTTGGGTTCGGCTTGAAAGCGAGGAAGGAAGTACAGAGACGAGAGGTGTCGGAGCAATTCATTGGCTTCGAGGAAGAGAAATGCGGTAATGTGATGAGGAAGACGAAGAAAGAAAGAAGACAGAAACTGGAAGTTGTGAGCTTCATTGTGTGAAGAGAAATTGAAAAACCTAACTGAAATCAGAATCGAAAGGAAGGTTTTTTTTTAAGGATTTAAGAAGAAGGAAGGAAGAAAGAATCTTAATTTGATGAACTTTAACCGTGAATCGAGATGGGTTTTGGTTGATTTTGCTAAAGGAGGTGAGAAACAAGTAGAGAAATCAGATGAAATCAGCCATGGGAGGAAGAGTGAAGCTCACACACTCTCTTGTCGGACTAAAAAAATCTAAAATAAAAATCCCTTCTAAATTGATCTGACCAAAAATAATTTCTTTTAATATCTAAAATAACAACATAGTTTATTACTTTTTTAACGTAGTCTTTGTCAAATCATTTTTATGAATTCCTTTGTATATTCAGATAAATGATCATGATAATACTAACCCAAATTTTCTATGAATGAACTTTTGTAAAGTAAGTAGGCATTTAGTGTATTTAATTAGGTTCGGTGTAGGTTGATACCTAATACTTATGTGTCTATATTATAGTATTCTCCGGACTTGAGGATGATCAACTACAGTAGCTGTTCAAAATCAAGAATAAATTATTATCTGGCTTTTCATACCTAAGGTTCTTCTCATAGCTAAGATTCCAATTGATTAGTTCTGATCATTTATACTTATTCGTTTAACAAATACCATCTACAGTTTATAAAATTAAATGTTTACAAATTTTCAAATATATTAAAAATGTATTTATTGGAGTATAGTTTTTCATTTCTAACATCGAATATTAATTGGTTTATTTATTTGACGGAAAAAAACATTAGAAAATGTTATTTATCAGAGTATCTAAATTATAAAGCATCTTTCTTTATAAACAGTTTTTCTTTTTCTAAAACATCTTCAATTAAGAAAAAAGAGCTCAAAAGAATTTTTTTTTATTTGTTTAAAATTTCTAAGATACTTTTGTCAAAATATTTAATTTATTTTCTTAGGACTGCGTTAAAATATGTAAAATACTTTTTTGTTTCTGTAAATGAAAAGACGGAATATTATTTTATAAATAGTACATTCAAAATATGATAAATCAATAAATCAGGTACCGCATTGAATAGCATTAACTAGCATACAGTAAAATCTAGATCTAAGAAAATCTATTGCTTTGTTAAAAAGCAGATAACATGTGGAAAAGGCTACAATATGGTAGAAAATGACTACAATATCTTCTACAAAAACAAATGATGACTGAAATGGATTAATTAATCAAAAGATTTGAAGAATTGCTTTATCGAATGGAAGTAAGATAATATCCAGAAGAAGAAAAAAAAAAGTGGGAAAAAGACAGTTTAGACAAATGTAATATTTTATTTTATTAGTTAGGATTTAGGCATTTAGCAAGTGTGTTTGACAAAAAAAATGAATAAGATTTAGCAATCGATGAGTTACAGAGAACAATGAGCTGTTACTGACAAAAGACAGTTTGCTTCTGTCCCACCACACCTCCCAGATCGCATTGTGGACCTTGATAGTGACTTTTTCTTTGTTTTCCTTGTATTTTTGTATATTTAAATTACAACAAATTAAAAGAGAAGGTCACATTTTTTTGTAAAATTGACGCTAAAGAAGAACTTATCAATTTCGGAAAACAAATATATATATATATATAAAAATATGAGAAAAAATGTGGAAATTCGACATTCAATTCTCTCGGAGATAGAAATCTTCAGCACCTGCACTATAATTCTCTAAAGAACACATTAAATAATGATCAAACGTAAGAAGAAAAAACAGATGATAACATCATTTATTTGCTCGTTTTTAACTCTTTAAACTGGTGCCAGCCCCAATCCTCTAATTATATTCAAATTGTTATTCTATCGGTCCAATTTCTCATTCGATTCTAGTTTATCAAAACAGTAAATCAAAATCAATCATAAACAATTACATTTTCTCTTAAGCTCAACATCATTTTTTTGTACAGGTCTTGCCAGTGTATATATATGTGGATTTTGTGGAATGGTACCACATCTAAAATAAACATATTTTCGATGGCTTTGATTACTAATTGGGCCACCTTATTCGATGTGTGTCCATGGACCATCATAGGCAATACACTTGAAGCCGAAACTTTAAAACATTGTTTACTTATCCTTTTGGGCAACATAATTTTATCAGCTTCAATGAATAATTGTTCTTAAACCTTTATATTCTTTTATCTACTCGATGGTTATTGGAGAAAACAAAAGAAGCTTTTTTCACTTTTTAAGAGTTGTGCTTGAGAACTTTGTGACCCCTTTTCCTTGGCTTAATGCTTTATCACAATAAGTATTAAGCATGCCACTTTTTATATAACTAAATGAATCATAATCTTTCTATATAAAAATAGTTGGGGATGAACTGATAATGTCGTAATAAGAAGATCATTAGGCCCATGGTCGAGTAAAAAAAGACATCATAAACCATTTCTAGAATGTAGAAATGTAGAATATACATTAGATGATTGGGCATTAACTGGTTTCGACATAAATAACGAAGAAAGAAGGATATATCCACATAATACCAACAATGAGACAACAATCACCAGTGTATTATGTAGTTTCAGGTTTAGGATTCAAACTTTATCAAATACTCCCTCTGATTCTAAATGTATGATGTTTTAGTTTTTTTTTTTACAAAATATGATGTTTTAAAATATTAAATGTATTTTTTTGTAGATTTCAAGAAACGTAATTAAAAAATTATTTAAATTTTTAAATTTTTATTGGTTAACAGTTATTAAAAAGTAATCATTATACAAAAGTAATATACTAATAACTAAAACATAATTGTTTCTTAATTTGTGTGAATATGCCAAAATATCATATTTGGAACGAAGGGAGTATAAACTATGCATAGTACCAGCAATAAATGATACTAAAACTAACCATAAGTAAACCGGATGTACCTATAAGAGTTAACGCTATTTTTTTTTTTAAAAGGGTCATAAGTTGATGTTTTATTATACTACTATATACGTTTATATGCTCAAGATCAGATAAAAAGTAGTTGGTATACATATATTCAACAAAAGGAAGAATGTATTCAAAAAGCAACTCCAGTCAAAATAATTATCAAGTATTCACAAACAATTTTCACGTTTGGATTTGGAACCGAATCTTTTGCACTATGAAATGCATATACAAATAATTGACTTTATAAATTCGCTTTTATCATGAGATTACACTGGAAAACAAAATTCCTACAAAACAGTAAGTGCACAAAATAGTTCGATGATTTAGACAAATCGAACTAAAATATAAGAGAAAATATATAAATGTGAAGAAGAAAATCAGGTTAATCATTTTCGGGGGTGGAGCCATATCACACGATCCATCTGTGAAGAGTATCATTTACCACTACTATTGCTTTTTTCTCAGATTTGACATTTAATTCACGATTTGTTTTATTCCTTTCTCTTTTTTTTTGTTCTGGAGTCGGCTATCTTTTTAATTGAGTGTACGGTAATAATAGCAGCCGTTGCTTGTGGCGTAATTTGAGTTCTACGGTTGTGATTAAACCTTATCAGAAGACCTAAAGCTCACTGTACAACTTTTGTCTACCGTCCAGATAGAGAGAAGAAAGTACTGTCAAAGTCAGAGATTCGGTCTCTCTCTCTCTCTCTCTCTCTAGTCTCTGTCTACTCTACTATATTGCCACGTGGCCTGTACAAAGAAAAAGATAAATCAAAACGCGCGATCTACCAAACACTGTTGTGTGTGTGTGTTGCAATATGAAACACAAACGCTATTTGAGCTTCTAAACCCTTAGAAGAACAGTGTCGGTGTTTTTGGCACCATGCATATCGTTTAGCTTTTTTAAAAAACAGTAATAATTATGAACGGTTAGAATATGCAGTACATATTGTACTATATGAGATTGATAAACGTCGAAAAATATATTTAAATGTTTCAACTTAACTGGTAAGTATTTCTTTTTAACGTTTTCCATTAGCCGCTAAATTTTTTTTTAACCACTTTGCTATACCAAAATCATCAATTCAATGGTGGCTTATAAAAAAAAAATCATCAATTCAAATACCAAAAAAGAAAAAGAAAAAATAAACCATGGATGATTAAAGTTAGGTGAGTTTAAATATAGAGCTTAAGAGCCGTGATTAAGGTTGTTGTCAGTCTTTTGTCTGCATATTAGCCGATGAAAGAAGACTGAAATGTGATAAGAGTTGGGTAATACGGAGACAAGAAATGACCAGTGTGATAGATAATTACATTATGTCAAAATTCCTAAATTACCCTTCCTTTCTTGACCGAAACTCCCACGAGCGAATTTTGGTTCGGTTTTTTTTCGTAATATCGCCGTCACACGTGGCGGAAACATGTCCAATACTTTCCTCCATCTCTTAGAACCAAGAGAGCCTAACCGTTGAATATATGTTCTTAATTAACACAACACAATAATTCTAGTTTTATTCATATACGTTAAACTTAGACAAATGCGAATCTAAAAATCAATCATTCGTTTATTAATTTTTTTTTCCTCATTCGGGTAAGAAAGCGACTGATATCTTATTAGTTTTCCGATTTAGTTATATAAATTATATGTATAGACAAAATATTACGTTTTTACATTTAACGTCATAGATATACTAGAATGAACAAGAAAATAATACTGTGCATATATTTTCTCGGATCTTATTCAATTCGATCGTTCTAAACTGTAAGGTAACATGATACATTACTAACATTCCTCGTATCACTCGAGTTTTAATTATGACAATAATGGTAAATTGGTAATGTTAGGTAAATAATTAAAGAAAATATTAAAACGTGAATTAAAAAAACAACAAAATAAGAGAGAGAAAAAAAGAAAAAAAGAAGGGTTTCGTGTATAAATTGTCCAAATGCATTTTAACTTTCCCAAACATTGGAATATGTGTCTCGTATGGGACAGAGTCGATCAGCAACGGATCGTAGAATCCTCCATTTCTTTTTACGGCAACCTTATTTTAATAATAATAGTTTCAAATATATATATATACATATATATACTCTGCTGATGATGTACTTGCTACAAACTTAGTGGCATGATTTAGTATAGTTTACTAATTAATTGGTAACTTTTACTATTGGCATACATAATCTACCGTAAGCTTTTCTCTTAACTTTTTTTGTTGTTTTTAAACTTTATATTACTTTTTCTGTTTTTAATCATATAAAATTTTAGAATTTACACACACATTAAAACAAACTTTTAGAATAATTTACTTTTTATTTTTTTAATTATTTTAATACTCCCTCTATTTTTTATTATATTATATTTTAGAGATGTGCATACAAATTAAGAAATTATTTAATTTTTTTACTTTTTCAAAACAAAACATATTTTTTTGTCAATTTCAAAACAGTTCAACCAATAGAAAAATAAGATTCAAAACTAAAACAGTTAAAACAACAAAAATATAATTATTTTTTGCATAGAATCTTGAAAACATCATATATTTTGAAACAAAAAATAAACTCTAAAACATCATCTAATAAAAAAAGGAGAATTATTATTATTTTTTGCTTTACCAAAATATTATCATTAATTTGTGTCTCGTAACACTAAATACATTAATTAAAAACTAAATATCAAATATTAAAATATAAATATAAATTTTAAAACATCAAACAATTAAAAATAGAGAGATTCTATATTTTCAATCAAAAAAAAATTAATAATATTAGATACTTCCTCTGTTTTTATTAGATGATATTTAAAGTTTTTACACACAAATTAAAAAATCATTTAATTTTATATTTTTTAAATAAAACATGTTTTATCATCAATTCTAAAATAATTTAACCAATAAAAAAAGAATATACAAAATGTAAATAATTTAGATAATAAAAATATAATTAATTTTTGCATAAATATATGAAAACATCAACTATTTTTGAAAAAAAAAATTCTAAAACATTTTATATAAAAACAGGGAATATTTTCAGTTAAATTAGAAATAAATTCTTAGTATTAAAATAATATTAAAAATGTAGAAAAAAAAGAGACCTATGGGGTTGAAACAAAAGAGCACGCTTTGCTTCATCCATTAAACTACCTTACAGTTCTTTTGAGAGAGAGAGAGAAGAGGATTGCGTGTGTTTCACACCAATAAATTCCTTTTTTTAATACTATTTTACTGTTTTTCTTGGTCTTCAATTTTATTAGTTTCTGGTTTGATCCCTTTTGTTTTCCTCTGGTTTTATCACTGTCTCTCGTTCCGTATAAATCTGACTACGTCTCCTCTTTTCGCTGTATTTCCCAATAATCTCGTCCCTTTCAGAATCAAGAGAGAGAGAAGAAAGTGGAAAAAGGGAGTGTATGTGAGAGAGAAGAGAAAGAACCCACCAAAAAGTTTTCATTTTTTTTTAAATTGTAAAAAGCGAAGCTTTCGTTTGTATAAAAGACCCACTAAACACCTCTCTAGCTTCTCACACATCATTTCATCTCCTCTCTCTCTGTCTTCTAAGGTTTTTAAGGGTTTCTGAGATTTCAATTTTTCTCTTTTGCGCTTCACAAGTCGACATCTTTTAGTATTTTTTCAAGTGTTTTGGTCAAAGAACGCAATTTCTCTAAAAACATAATGGACGGTTGTTCAAGAAACGGGGAAATCTCTCCAAAGCTGCTCCATTTGATTCCACAAGGAAGAAGAAATTGGTTTCACGATGACAACACCTCTGTTTACAACACGGAAGAGAAGAAACTTGAGCTAAAGCTTGGACCACCTGGAGAAGATGAAGATGAAGATGGTGCATCGATAACAAGACACATCAAGAAAGAACCAAAAGACAAATCTATCCTTTCCCTCGCTGGCAACCACTTCTCTCCTTCTTCCACCACCAACAAAACCACATCTCAGAAAAGGTTCAAAATCTATCTTTTTTTTTAACCTTAACGTTTTGATTTTTCAACTCTTTTACTTTTGTTCTTATCTGTTTTGTATCCTTTTGACATGATGATATTCACTTGAAATTAACCAATAATGGTCCCATCATCTGCAAAAAAACTTTTGTTCATGTCTGCTTAAGATTGGATCTCAAAGTTTTTACCTATACACCTGTTCAAGTTTCACTCTTTTTACTGCCTTTGTTTTCTCTGTTGCTCTGTTTCACCTTTTTAATCATCTTCAGATTCTTTTCAGTATTTGCTCTGTTTTATTAACAAGTTTGTTCCTTTCTTTGATGTCTTGTGTTAAAGAACTGCTCCTGGTCCAGTGGTGGGTTGGCCTCCGGTTCGATCATTCAGGAAGAATTTAGCCAATGGAAGCTCTTCAAAGCTTGGAAACGAGTCCAGCTCCAATGGTGGTCTCCTCAAGAACCAAAAGTGTGAAGATGATAATGGCCGAGGAAAGCCAATGGAACCAAAGAGACAACAAGGAGGCATGTTCGTGAAGATCAACATGTATGGTGTTCCCATTGGTCGTAAAGTCGATCTCAATGCTCACAATAGCTATGAGCAGCTATCTTTCACAGTCGACAAGCTCTTTAGAGGTCTTCTTGCAGGTAAATTTTCCCTTTGACTCTTTTCTTGATTGTGGCAAAAAAAATATTCTTTGGAGTCTAATCACATCTCTTTCGTGATTATTGTCTATCAGCTCAAAGAGAATCATCATCTTCTGGAGAAGAAGAGAAACCAATCACTGGATTATTGGATGGAAATGGAGAATATACTCTTACTTACGAAGACAATGAAGGAGACAAGATGCTTGTAGGAGATGTCCCATGGCAGTAAGAATCTTTTTTCCTTTCTTTTTTGTTTTTCTGAATCTGATTCAGCTTTTTGCTCTATCAAAAGGAGAAGAATTAGATTCCTAGTCATACTTTGGTCAATAACAAAAGTTATTTTTAACTTTGATATAACAAAAATTGAATTTTCTTAATTGTCAGTATGTTTGCATCTTCGGTGAAGAGGCTGCGTGTGATTAAAAGCTCTGAGATTTCTTCAGCGTTAACATGTAAGTGTAGTTTTCGTTCTGAGAATTTCACTTGTCATAAGACTATTTATGTGAAGTTATATAATTTTATTTGAATATTTGCAGATGGAAATGGTAAGCAGGAGAAGATGAGAAGCTGAAGAAATAACTTTTACAGCATAAACAAGTAGAGATGTTATTATTTTGCTTTTGCCTTTTTAACTCTGATGATGAGTTTTGGTCTTGAAAAGTTTCTAATTCAAGTCTGATGTACATTTTGGTTTGTTACATCTTCTTTTGACCTTTGGGATTTTCATAGATGAGTTTTGTTGGAATTCAAGATCAGACAATGAAAAAAGATGATTTTGGGTCTTGAGTTAAATTATACAGAACCTTTTATGCATTATAGTCTCTCTTCTGTTTAACGCTGTTGATCATGATTAGTCACACTTGATGAACACTTTAAGAACATCAATTTTACGTTTTATAACTCTATTTCTGCAAAAGCATCTTTTTTGAAAAGAGGAAAAGAAAGAAATCTTTTTTTTTCTGCAAAAGTTCTTTAGCTTTCATTAACTCTACTTCAGCTATTGTAATGAACTATGACAGTGAAAGGTTCCTAAAACATCTAACAACTTTTCTTAAAATGAGTTATATTTCTTTTAACCAGTTTCTAATTACATCTTAAGTATCTGTCTTGGCCAAAAAAATTACATATCATTAGAAGAAACATCACTAGACTTATTTATAATCGTCTGATTAATAATCTATATTTTCTCTGTTTCAAAATAAGTATTATTTTGACATTTTTCACACAAATTAAGAAAATGATTAAAAGTTCTGTTTTACTATTTGTTCACACACAAAATAACATTTTTCTCTCTAATTAAAACAATAAAATTCAAAGGTTAAAACTGAATATTTATTCAAAATTATGCATTGAAAATGTAAAGTGACACTTTTTGTGAAACAAAAATAAAACTTTAGAATGATACTTATTTTGAAACGGAGGGAATATATACTATATTATTTAACATAATAAAGATTTAAGATTGGGTTGTTGCGTACTTGCAAATGTGTTGATTTCAGATTTTACTTTTGTATTTTATCTATTTCGTTTCCTAGAGTAGAGATGCAAAATAAAGGGCAAATTCTATGTATACATATGATGAATATATGATTAATAATTTTTAAAAAAAGAAAAGAAAAAATGGTGGCTATGGAGTTTAAGAAAGAGACTTAAAATAGACACATTGAATGCAGTGAAGAGAAGTCTTTTTCGTTGAGAGACTTGCCTAACAATTCAAAGCAGCAAAATGAGACTCAATAGTAGTTACTTTTTCTTCTTGTCCTCAGAATCTGTTTCCTCCATAAAAACAAAATATTCTGATTTAAGTTCAAGCCATGTTTACTCTTATAGTAATGTGTTTGATAAATTAAAGTCATCGACATGTAAATGTTAAGAAAAATCGAATCATGAAAAAAAAAATGAGGACTCAAAAGAGGTTTGATAGAGCATCAGTATTGCACAACTCTAACATGAGGTTATTATTAAAAAAAATTAGAACTGATTCTAAAAATTCTTAATTAGTTTAGAACAGATTCTTAAAAATAAGCATACCACATTATTTTTTATTTTATTTTATTTTTTTACCTAAGAACTACTGATGCTTTAAGAAAATGCTTCAAATTATAAGAAGAAAAATGTTCAATGACCACTGCTCACGAAAAACCCTAATTATAAGGAAAAGTTAGTTTAATATATTATATACTAATGAATTATGAAAGTTCCATGTTTTTCTCTTGGAAAGCATTCTCAAAAGTTTTATACTATCACCAATTCACCATCAAATGTGATCATACAATCAATCAACTAAAATACAAGCAATAAGTTTGCATATGAATAGTAAAATACAAAAAGAAAGTTAGACATTGCAACAACATTGTGCACTTGCCTAGATTCCGATCTACTTTTGTGTATCTGTCGTCGATCTTTACAATCTTTCGACTTCTCTCATCGTACGCCACTGCATGGAACTTATCCTATTTTATTTATTGATAAAAAACACAATTTAGTTTTGAAATTGACTCTAGTGAAACGTATCTTTAAGAGTCATTGACATTAGAGGACATACAAAACTTGCTGTGTGTTCGTATTGTAAAGGTACAATCCATTAAATTTAGAGTCACTGACAATAGTGGAGATGGTTTGGTCAACGTCCGTCATCGAAGACAACTGGTGTTTATTATTTGCGTTGACGATTAAGAAAACGAGAAAGGACTGTAGTAGTAATAAAATACTCAAGAATTCAAAAAAAAAAGTATTCATAAAACGGTCCATTGCCCCATTTAAACCGATCAATCAGTGTCACTGATTATGTTTTTAGCTATTAAGAAAAATGTAGGGATGTGCTTAATTAGCACTTTAGTTACATTTTCAAAATGGAGTTATAGAGGGAAATGCTTAATTATGGGGGATCGTTGACTCTTAACACAATGCTCCATACAATGCCCGATCAAGAAATACTTTAGACTGAAGGAACAATATTAAATATCATAATTTATGTATATATTTAAATTATTTAATTATAAATAATAAACTTTTTATTTTATTAATTTGTAAGTATCTAGGAGTATGTTGTAAATGCTTTATATATATATATTATTTCATCAATTCTTTTTTGTAGGAGCTTTTTATATAAACAATCAAACAATAACTTTGTTTTTGGGTCAAAAAAACAATCAAACAGTAACTACTAAGCACAAACTTTGATGGAAAATTCAAAAATATCAAAAATGGTAAAACTAATTCAATAATACAAAAATAAATATATTGACTTTATAAGTAAAAAAAAGGAAATGTGCAAGAGGATTAGTCTCCTGATTTTCTTAAATTAAAATTTAAAATTAACAAAATAAACAAAAATGGAAGGTAAGAATCGAACAAGCAAAGATGGGGACTAAACCATTTAGTGACCAGGGCAGTTACAAAAAACAGCCATAATTATCGTCTATATTTGGTAACATTTTAATACAAATTTTAATTTTTGGGGGAGGGGCAGATGCACCCGGTCAGCTTTACTTAGATCCCTCCTGGCTCCATACATAAAGGCTAGCCTCTTCTTATGTGAGAAGCAGAGTTTGTTCGAAGATTTTAGCAAAAAAACAATTTTGTTCGAGGCACATAAATCACTTTTGTCATTTGAAGGCGAGTTCTACTTTTTATTTTATCGTTCTTAATTTTTTTTTTTAATATTTCTATTATACTCTTTCGTCGTCGCTCTCTGTCTACAAATTGATGTTCCATGGCGATTGATTTCATGATGCTTTTCGTCTTTTTGAATACAATTTAGTTATGAGCTGTTTCTCGAATATAAAAACGATTCCAAAGAGATTTTTATTGACTCTCCATGACTTCATTTCTTGTCTTGAGTAATTCAGGTTTTCACGAGGTCGTGTCAGAACGATTTTTGAATCTTTTTTCTATTAAATTTTTTTTTTGCCAACAATTATATAGTATATTTGTTTACTACCCAAATTCTAAAATATGGAAGATTTGCATACATATACAATATATATGTATATTAATACAAATTCATATATATATATATATTTGAAATTCAATACTCAATGTAGTATAATGATTCAAACTTGTTTTATCTGAAAGGCTGATAAAAGTATTGTCAGTTCATTGCTGTTTATGTCATGATTACAGAGTAAAAAAAATAAGTAAAATCTCATTTTATAATTTTCAACCAATTTATTCATAGTAATACCCTACTTTTAGCTATGTTCTTGTCAATGTTATATACTGTGATGCTTTGGATTTTTGTGAGGAAATATAGACATAAGACAAAAAATTTGTAATAAAAGCTTGAAAAGCAAAAAAAAAAAACATTTAAAAAATCAATATATTAGTGAAATTTTGTTTCTCTCTTTCGTTTGGATATTCGTAAATTTTGTCATTCTTAAAAATCTTTCTGAATCGTCACATCACAGGCTACAAAGAAACGAAAGTGTTCTTGGTTCTTCTATATCGAGATGGGCGGAGCAACGAGATGGTTTAACCGATTGTTTGGCACGAAGAAAAACAGTGAAAGAAAGAGCCGCGTTTCCGGCGATAATTCTCGGAGAGGCGGTGAAGATTTCGGCTACAACAGTATCCCGACGGATACTGTTTGGTGGAGAACATTTCTGACGGATACAGAGAAGGAACAGAACAAGCACGCAATTGCAGTTGCAACAGCTACGGCCACAGCCGCAGAAGCAGCGGTTTCGGCGGCTAAAGCGGCTGCGGCAGTGGTTAGACTGACCGGTGAAGCAAGAGCGGGAGATATCATCACGAGGGAAGAGCGGTGGGCGGCGGTGACAATTCAAAAGGTCTTCAGGGGCTCTTTGGTAATTTTCCGATCTTAAAAAATGTTTTTTTTTTCTCTTTCCAATTATCAAATTTGGCAAATGGGTATGTTAAACTTCGAATTTTTATTTAGCAACGATTTTCAAATTTTGAAAAAATCTTCAAAGCTCAAATTTTGAATTTTTAGGAATGTGTATTGTTAACGTTCAATTTTTTTCTTTAGTGATCAAATATATTGATTACAAATAATTGTTAATTTGAATTTCTTCTTGTTATGGGTTAGGCAAGGAAAGCATTAAGAGCTTTGAGAAGTATAGTGAAGCTGCAAGCTCTAGTGAGAGGATACTTGGTAAGGAAACGCGCGGCTGCGATGCTGCAAAGCATACAAACTTTGATCAGAGTCCAAACCGCTATGCGATCTAAACGCACCAAACGCTCCCTCAACAAATACTACAACGTGGTTCAACCACAAGAGTCCCTTGTAAGAGCCAACCTCACTTCCATCGTCTCTTGTTCTTTAAGCCAAAACAATGACTAAACTGTGTTCTTTATTATTAGGATAAGTTCCAAGAAGCGGCGTACACTGAGAGAAGTCCAAAGACCGTAGAGATCGACGACAGATACAAAAGGAGATCGAAATCTAAGGAAGTGCACAATGTTGTTGCAATGTCTCAATATGGTAACGATTTTCATTACAGAGGGAATGATTTGGAGTTGAGTTTGTCGGAGGAGAAGTGGAAGTCTGCGACGGCGCATAATACACCGAGATTCTCGTCTTCTTCGTCGTACCATGACGCAGCTAATAGTCGCTACTATGTAACCAAGAGCCAGGACAATGGAATGAGTACTCCTGGCTACATGGAGGAAACGCAGTCGTTTAAGGCTAAGCTGCGTTCGCATAGCGCACCGCGTCAGCGATCTGAGAGGAAGCGGTTGTCGCTAGATGAGGTTATTGCGTTTAGGAGTAGCGTTAACGACGAGAGATTGCTCCAACAGCAACTGCAGCGCTATTCTTGTTCCTATGATCCGTCCTGACTTTTATTATTGTATATTTTGCTTCTCATGAGTTTTTTTTTTAAAACGTTTTTCTTTTTTTCTCATGAAGTTAACAGCATATTTTCATCGTCTGCTTTACCAAATCTTGATTTTTATTAAAATTTTTTTACAGAATGTGTTTGTTTTCTTGCACCATGGTGCATCAATCTTGAATTATAATCTATATGTATCACATTTTCTATCAATCTTGATCTGAACTTATAAATCCACTGATTCAACAACCCAATAAATTCCTTAATTTCTAAGAAATTTAGAAATCATTGATAACCTTAGAACAACAAAATTTAAAGAACTATGTGAGCAAAACTTCAAACAAAACTGTGTTATCTGACTTCTTCTAAATTAAATCTTCGAGCTTCAGGTACAAATTTTCCAGTGCAGATTGTATGATACACTAATGTGATCATCAGGCAGAGTATTACGGAGAAGACCACCACACCGGTGAAGAGCTCATTCAAGAAACTCAAGAATCTGCAGTACCCATTCTTCAGCCAAGAATCATTCTCAAAACCCTCATTTCGCTACAAAGGGCTAACCACCCAACCTGTTATCGGATTCTTCCTACGAATCCGTGATTTCCCGTGCGAGCCAGATTGAATCCGCTCGAGCACGGTGTAGGTAATCGAATCAGGTGTGAGCCCTTGCTGCTTCATCTTTGTGTAGAGATCAACTGCTTCCGCTGTTCTCCCGCTCTTCTCTAGACAATCAAGCAAGATGTTGTACGTCACGATGTTCGGGTGACACCCTTTCACAAGCATCTCTTCCAACAATCTATACGCCATCTCGACTCTCTCTGTTTTCCCAAAGCATTCCATCAGAGTGCTGTACGTGACCACGTCAGGGTTTAGCCCTTTCTCCTGCATCTCCTTGAATCTCACATGGGCTTCATCAACATCACCGTTCTTCCCCAAACAATTGATCAAAGAGTTGTAAGACACAATGTCCGGTTTACAGTCGCTACTCTCAAGCTCCTCGAAGACTTTGATAGCCTCGTCGACTTCCCCAACCCGACCGAAACTTGAGATAAGTATGTTGTATGTGAATATATCTGGAGAAGGACCATCCTTTTTCATTTTCTCGAAGAGATCATGGATGTGAGGTGTCTGCTTTAGCTTCCCAAGCGCAGAGAACACGGTGTTGTACATCATAGTATCGGTCACTACGCCTTTCTCATGAATCTTGCTCAACATCTCTATAGCTTCGACGGTTTTACCCGCACCGCACAAACTCTCTAGCATCGACATGTAACTGTCTCTCTCTCCTTTCACAGGGAAGCTCCACATATCACAGAATAGCCTGTGAGCCTCACTCACATGCCCTAGTTTGCTCAGCGTTCTAACCAAATAAGAGTATATCCCCTGAGTCATAAATCTTTTCGACATCTCCACGATCCCATCTAGCTTCACAAGCTGGCCTTCGGCTACTAAGAGATTCAAAACCAGACTATACGTATACTCGTTGGGTCTACAACCCGTTTCCACCATTTTAGAGAAAACCTGAATAGCTTTATCAACCATTTTGCCTTTTGCAAGAACTTGCATCAGAGTATTGTAACCGACAACGTTAAGAGTAAGCCCTTCAGATATCATCTCGTTGAATAGAGAAACAGCTTCACTGTATTTCCCAATCCTCCCCAGCGTCCTGATCATAATCGTGTAAGAATATTCGTCTCCTCTACAATGCTTTCTCTTCATGTCTTCGAAAACTTGGCAAGCCTGATCAATCTGACAAAAGGCTGCACCATTATACATGAAACTCACTCATCTGATAAATGAACGTCCAAGAACATGTTTTTTTTTTTTTGATGTGAATGAATCAGTGAGAGAGCACAAAGAAAGTACCTTTTCATCTTTGGCTAAAGCATCAAGCAACATATTGTAAGCGAAGATGTCGAGTTTATGCCCTCCTCTTCTAATCTCGGAATACACATCGTATGCTTTTGAAGAATCATGAGATCTTAAGTAAGCTTGAAGCAGACACTTGTAGGTGAAAGAGTTCATCTTCAATTCCCATTTCTTCACCAATCTTAAGCACAACTGTAGATCTTCTGTGTTCCCGAAGAAACCGATTAAGATATTCACGGTGGAGATATTGCCGCGGACGTTTGATTTCACCATCAGATCGAGAATCGAGCGGACGCGATCGAATCTGTCAGGGAGATTTGACCTGGAGAGGATTAAGATGATGCGATTGTAGAGGAAAGGGTCACTGTGGGAGTTAGGGCAAACAGAGGGAACGAATTGGAAGAATTCAACGGCGAGGCGAGGGCAGTTTAGGGATTTCAGAATCTCGGAAGCTTCGTCGGGAGTGAGGGAGAGTGAAAGGGAGGAGAGGTAATCGGAGAGGTCAGAGAAAGCATCAGAGAGATCAGAAGATGTTCCGACTCCTCCTACGCGGTGTCGGAGAAGGAGATTGGTAGCTCGGCAGATGAGATGGCGGCGAGGAAGAGGGTAGCCGCGTACGTCGGCGGGGAGAGGATTAGGAAGGGAAACTTCGGCGGAGAGGGAGCGTCCGGAGGGAGATGATGAAGTAACCTTGGCGACATACTTGGTGGCATAACGCCGACAGTTGCCTCCGGTGATTGCATCGACGGGGTTGAGGAAGCGGCGGCAAAGAAGCCTCATGTTTTGCGGCCAAGAACGAAGCTAGCTCTCTGAGCAGAACTTGAGGCGATCATTTAAAATGGGCCTAAATTGGTATAAATGGGCCTAGAATTTATTATGGCCCAAATCAGCACAAACGTATAAACTTGTTAAACGGTAATGTCTCGTATAAAGCCCTAGTTCGAAAATATTTTGTTATGTTATTCCAATTTTAGGAGTTAATCAAAAGCTTATCTCGTTCCTCAAATGGCTGGAGTCTCCCTGGTCAATCTCAACAGTTATCAAGCATCCCGAGTCTGTTGTATATAGCGTTTTTCGTCGGGTTAGCTAATTTCTCGGGTGATCTCTTCATCATTTTTTTTTTATTCAGAACCTGAAGAAAGAGATGATTCTGCTTCAGATTCCAGATGCTTCCACTAGCAAGATCCTCTTCAAGTATTCTATTCTAATTCAAAAAGTTGCTCAAGAATTAGAATACTTCTTGAAAAACTGCACCACTGAAGTTGTTTTGCACGTAGTAAAAGACTATTTATTGGAATACAAACAATTCTTGAAAAACCGAAGAGAGACGGACAGGAAAAAGTCCGCCATTAACTGTAGATGGAAACAAAAAGCGATTTGTAATAAAAATAGGACCGTTGAAAAAGAAAATTAAAATTGTTGGGTCTTCTGCTTCTTGTCCCAAAGATCTTCTTTATTTTACAAGTCCCAAAATACTGTTGAATTTTTTTAGCAATCGTTTGTTGCATCAACAAAATTTGCTGCTTACGGAGTCATAGCTCGGAACAGCCAACACTGCCAAGAAAAGAAAAGACAAGACGCAATATTAAGACACAAGATATTGGTTTTGGTTTCTTTTTTAAAACATTAAAGAGTTGATAAAAGCACATAAAAGTAAAAAAATAACAAAAGTGAAAACTTGTTTACCATCTCCGAAGGAACCCATTGTCAAAGGCTTTGAAATAATCTTGCTGGTGAAATCTGAAATGTCCTTCAAGGTTAGTTGGTCTACTGTCTTCAAGAATTGCTCAACTGGTTTCCTGCAAGATTTTTTAAGAATAAAAAACCATTATGCGCAAGAAGAAACGAAACTATTGAGATTTTGAGTGAATATATCTTCTGATCTTTGAATAAAATTTGCGTGTACCTCTCTCCGTATGTAAGAAGCTGCCTGCCAATGTCTTCTGCTGCAATCATCTGCAGAGGACAAACCGTTAACGCGTTAATAACACTTAATGGTTTGTGAATCGAGTATACAAATATGGCAACATGTTTTATTTGGTACCCGAGATTCCAAATTCATCAGAACTGCAGATTTTGTGGCTGCCTTGGCGCGATCTAGATGCTTCTGGTTAACTGTCCAATGTATAAACATAAGAGAAAACATTTTATATACGCAGCAATTAGACTAGAAGAGGTAGTTAAGTGAAAAACAGGGAAAGACAATCTGCAAACCTTTTCCTCCTGCAACGTCTTTCAGTTCTTTAGCTGCTAACTCAATTGCCTTTGCAGCGAACTCAGGACTCTGCATCCAAGGATGTGAAACATATCACTATATTTACCCGAATACACATATCCAGTAACGAACCGATATTCTTTACACAACTTGGTATCCCTTTAAATACACATCTAACCAATCAATGGGAAAAGCCATAGTAAGCAGCGTCAAGATTGCTGAACTCACCGAGCAACCATAGATTCCAAACAATCCAGTGTTGTTAAAGATGCTACTGAATGCAGAGCATGACTGAACTTGCTGATATTCGTTTAGAATACGAAGATCTGTAACCAGAGATAGGAACTTGTATCACTATTTACTAATTGCTTAGCAGTACTTGAGAATGTTTTACCAACTTGTTTATTAAACGCAAAAACAGAAAGCAATATAAAAAAAGCTAAGAACACAGTGATTTGACTTACAGAGCCATGAGTGCATTCCTTTTCCAGGGCCTCCAGCAGAGAATGAGCCACCTCCTCCCATAAGCATCTACAATAGCAATCACCTTTACATTTACTCAATCTTCACTAGATTGAAACGAGTGAAAATTAACACAAGCAAAAAAGTAAACTATTCAATATAGACACCTGGAGAACAGTAGCGACGACTGCTTCTTTCTCGTTGTTCCAGCCAGGAACCTCAAAGGCAAGCGCAAAGTGTGTAGCCTGAAAATAACAGAACAAAAGCTCAATTAGAATTCGCCTTCCTCTCATCTCAAACACAATTGTCCAATCATGGCAGATGTCTCATAAAATACCTCTCCACCAATGTGTTGGCGAAAATCTCCACCAACGTACTGAGATTTTGGCTCCGGTTGGCGCGTTACATTAGGAAGGTCAGAAGTCAATGGCTCAACAACTTTTAAAAGTTCCTCGTGTTCAACTCCACTTGCTGCCACTACCATACGCGCAGCAGTGAAATTCTCCTGAAATTCCCAGATCAAACAAGTTAAAAGAGAAAAGGACACACGACTGTAATCACAGAGATGTAGATAATCCTTAAAAGCTGACGAGTTCTTACAGCCATAAACTCTTCCAAGAGTTCCCCATTCAATCTGTCCAAAGCAGACTCTGGTGCGTACAGAGGATTTGCCAATGCACCGGAATAACCCGCAGAATGAACGGCCTCCATGAGGAATCCCATAGGGTTCTTTGCAAGTTCCGCTATCTCTACCTTCATCTTACGTAGCTGCCGAAATCAACACACACGACAATAAGTCACCATATATATTGCTTTATTCATCGAGTTATCCAAAAAACAACAAAGGGAAAGGAGATTTTACCTCTTCATTCACTTCCCAGTCCAAGAAAGCAGGGTTCCTCACACTGTCAATAAGAACTTCAACCATTTCAGGGACATAGGTTTTAAGAGCATCAATAGTGTAGCTCATCTGCTCCCGAGACGCAGATGCGGATGTGTTTCCTCCAATAGCCTCTATTTCCCTCACAAGACGTAGATGGCTTCTGTTTAACGTGCTCTTGAAAGCCATCCTTTCAAGCAAATGCGTTGCTCCATGGAAATAAGGAGCTTCGTAGATAGAACCACAATCAACATACAAACCAATGGAAGCTGCTGGATTCTGACCAAAAAAAGCCACCAATACACTTTGTTCAGGTCATTTCTTGCATTTTCATAGATCTTTCAGAGAAACTAGACACAAGATTGAGTTTTTTTTTATACCGGAGACATCTCTGATGCAATTTTGAGACCATTTGGAAGAGTGGTGATCTTAAATTTGCTCGGCTCGACGTGGTCAGGAAGCGGCGGAGGAAGAGAGACGCCCTGTAGTGGCATGTCCAATGAGGTAAGCGAAGACGATGACTTATCAGCTAACCAGCCCAAGAAACCCGACGACGAAGACGAACTCGTCGCCACAGCACTAGAACTTGCATAACGCGCCGGTCTCAAACTTCGGCTAAGGGATCCCTATAAAACACAAGAAAGCCATTTTTTCTCTGTATCAATCAATGAAAATTAGAAGGATTCATGAAAATGAAACTCATCTGTTTCCGCATACTAACAATTTCATGATCTCCGATTGAGGCAAAGAGGTACAATAGAGATAAAATAACAAGTCATTTCTCTTAATCTAACCCAATCGATTGGCTTCAGAAACCACGAAACGAAATCTCTAAGAGAAGAGATCATTTGTAAACCTAAAAAAAAGTGCCATCACCGCCGGGTGATCAATCGGAAAATATGAATCCAGATCTACAGATTATTCTTGAGAGTGAGACGGAGAATCACTAAATCGAACAAATCTGTAATTACTCGAAACGTTCCAGAAGCTTATTCAGGAGAAAGTAATAGTAAACCGGAAAAAAAGGCTAGGGAACCCGACCTTAAGAGCCATGGCTCGTGAAGCTGCCGTGCGATACATGGCGACTGCGAAACCCTAAATCGGAGGAAAAGAAAAAACGAGAAGCGAGTCGACGGAAAGAAGAGGCCGAGGCTGATGAATTTGAGAGGTGAGGGAGACAAGAGAATAGTCGCAGTTTCGCTTTAGTTTATTCGATCGAGCATCTAGTTGCTGCTAACGTACTCGGCGATTTTTAAGATAGGCCCGTTAAATGCAATAAGTCTGACCCATTTTAGTATAAATAAAAGAACTAAAAACTAGTATGTTATTATGGGCTTAGGCCCATTCCAATAACCTTTTCGACATTTCTTCTTGGGACATGCTACTACATTAGTACATTATTATTACTACATTTTACAAGTAAATGAATTCTCATACCAAAAACTATATTCGTTTCATCACCAAGATGCAGTATCTGCAAACAATTTTACAGATGAAAATATATTTAGATACAAAAACTGGATACACAATAAAAATGCATCCAAAATAATGAAATATCTTTTTGGGCGTAGTTTTTAAATTACAGTTTGGATATATTATATATACAAAATGTATCTAAAATTAATGTACACAAGTTTAAAATATTCTCATTCACAATAAGTTTTATTGTATTTCATTAATAGTGAAAAATGAATTTGCACCAAAAGTACGAAATCATATCTTTGTCCCAATATTGTAGAATCGCATTTTGGCGCCAAAATGATTTGATTACGTTGGTTCCACTCATTCCAATTTCCAACATACATATGGTAAAAGAATGAGAGTAGTGACTAATAATGAGTAATCAAGTTCTGGTTAAAATAAAAACGGAAAAACCCTTTTGCATTCGTTACAAGATACAGAGAAAAAAAAAACAGATTTAAATGAGAATGAACATAAACACACATCTTTTATTAAAATCGACAAGTGACAACACAAACATCACACTGAACACACAACACACAACACATGGACCATCAAGAGACCTCGAGGTGACAAATTCACAAGTATGGCTCTGATATCTTAACTTTATTCATATGGAAATCAAGAAACAACACACAGTAAATCTTCAGTTGGTGACTGGCGCGACATGGACTCCGATTTGATGAATCCAGTCACTAGCTTTTCCATGGAACCCAACGATCTTGTGACCTTCTTCCTTAAGCTCAGTATATTCTCCACCGGTCATTCCGAATGGTGTAGATTCTCGATTTTTGCTAGTCTTGAATATTAAACTCGTCACCAATGTCACACCACGTCCCTCTATCTGGACCTTATCGTAGTAAACCCCCACTTCTGTGATGTATTCACTTGGATTCTCAAGCTTGAACTACAGAAAACAGAAGAAAGAAAGAAGAAAAAAGATTCAAGAATTCAAATCTTGAGAAACAACGCATTAAAGGAAAACTTTGAAAGCAGATAGAGAGATAGAGAGAGAGAGCCACCGTTTCAACTACAGCAAGTGATTTTTGGCCATGACCATCGCCGAGAACTGTCTGAGATCCCTTGTTATAATCAATCTTCACGAAAGACACACCGTCCTGATTCTGTCCTACATGTATTTCTCTAACGCCGTCGAAAACGCCGTCGTCCCATGCAGCTCCTTGGTCACCACCAACTGCTTTTAGCTTCTTGCCAGTTTTTGAGGTGATCGGAGCGAAATAAGCTCCAAGGGAATTGATTCCAGAGTCGGCGAAGCCATGGAAACCGACGATCTTCTTGTCTTTAACTTCAAGCGAAAACTCTGTACCGTCTCCGGAAAATGGAGACGGAAAGTAATCAGTGGTCTTGGTGTTGGTTTTGATTTCAAGTCCCTGAATGACGTTGGATGAATCGTACCAACCCTTGACGGAAACGATATACTCTTTGGGATGAGCGATTTCAAACTGCACAACGAGGTACTCCGAGATGAAAACTTTCAGTAATCGAATCAACAATTTTGACAGAAAACGTAAAAATACGCACCCTTTCATCATAACTTCTTCTTCCTTTCACACCATGAACGGGACCTTCCTTTGGCTGACCGTTCTTGAGATAATCGAACCTGATTTGCTCAACTCCTAGTCCACCAGCTGTGACGGTTATCTTCGTCACACCGTCGTGATCGCCGCCGTCGTCCCATTCATTGCCTCCCTTACCACCTTGTGCGTCAAGCTTTTGAGTACTAGAATCGCTGTTAGTTCCACTTGAGGAGTCATCGGGCTTGGTTTCGGGGTTAACGGGTTTGGAACCGGTGTCGAAGTAAGCACCAATGGCATTAATAGCAGTACCACCACGTCCATGGAGTCCAACAAGCTTTTCTCCATTTTTACCTTTGAGTGTGAAGTTTTCTCCATTTTCTCCATCCTTCTTACCGAATAATGGAGAGGTGATACCATTGGAGGTTTCGAAGTAGAGCGATGTGATCAGCGTTGTATCATAGCTGAAGTTATGATCGTAGCTTCCACCAACGGTTGTGATGTTTTGTTTCGGATAGTCCACCAAAAACTGTATTACCATGGAAACACATTAGTAGCAAATTAATTTAAATATTAAGAAAATTCACACAAGAAACCTATTTTTTGTTTATTTTGACCTCTTTGAGTTCTCCGCTAATCTCTCCATGTTCACGGGTTTCAGCTTTACCGTCCTTAACGTATTCGATCTTGATGTAAGTTACATAGTCTTCATTTGCTCCAACGGTTATCTTCTTCACACCATCGAAAACACCATCGTCGAATGTGTTCCCACTCTCACCACCGACCAGTCCCGTCTTCCCGGAGGCATCAGGTTTCAAATCGTTTTTGCCGGGGTTGGTTTCAGAGCCATCAGGTTTCGAGTCTCCGCCACCTCCTTGTGAACCGGTGTCGAAGTAAGCTCCAATGGCATTAATAGCAGTACCACCAAGTCCATGTAACCCAACAAGCTTTCCACCATTTTCACCTTTGAGGTTGAACTCTTCTCCACGAATCTCACCGGATAGCGGAGAGGTAAACCCTCTTGAGGTTGTGAAGTATAGCGATGTGATAAGCGTCGTATCGTAGGTGAAAACATGATCGTAGCTTCCACCAACGGCTGTGATATAGTCGTCCGGATAATTCGGCACGGTATACTGTAAAATCATTTTTTCATTAGAAACAAAGCGAACCAATTAGAGTATTCAACAAGAAAACCATTTTATTTCATTCTGACCTCTTTTAGTTCCCCACGAATCTCTCCATGTTCACGGGTTACGACTTTTCCATACTTTTCGTATTCGATCTTGATATAAGTCACACTGAACTCATCTGCTCCGACTGTTATTTTCTTGGCACCATCGAAAACGCCATCGTCAAACGCGTTTCCACCTTTACCACCGGTCAGTCTGGTCTTTCCGGGGACATCGAAGTAAGCTCCGATGGCATCAAGAGCAGTGTCACCACGTCCGTGGAACCCAACAAGCTTTCCTCCATTTTCACCTTTGAGATCGAAGTTTTCTCCGCTCTTCTCACCAAATAACGGAGAGGTAGATCCTTTGGAGGTCGTGAAGTATAGCGACGTGATAAGCGTTGTATCGTAGGTGAAAATATGATCGTAGGTTCCACCAACGGCTGTGATATATTCATTCGGATAATCAACCGAAAACTGAATTTCATTTTTCCATCGAAAACACACGAATTAGTAGCAGATCTCCGATAGAATATATATCAAACATAATCCACAAGAGAACCTTTTATATTCATTCTAACCTCTTTTAGTGTCCCGCGAATCGTCCCGTGTTCACGTGTTTCGACTTTTCCATCCTTTACGTATTCGATCTTGATGTAAGTTACACTGTACTCATCAGCTGCAACCGTAATTTTCTTCACACCGTCGAATACACCATCGTCAAATGCTTTTCCACCTCCTTTACCACCTATCAGTCCCGTCTTTCCGGACCCATCTGGTTTGGTGTCGGGGTCAACAGGTTTGGTGTCGGGGCCATCAGGCTTGGTGGGTTTGGTGTCAGAGCCATCAGGCTTGGTGGGTTTGGTGTCCGAGCCATCAGGCTTGGTGGGTTTGGTGTCGGGGTCAACCGGTTTGGTGTCGGAGCCACCAGGTTTGGTGTCGGGGACAACAGGTTTTGGTATGATGCTAATGGGAGCAAAGTGAACGTCGATGTAGTTGAGAGCGTTGCCGCTGGTTCCTAGAAACCCGGCGATTTGACTATCTTTGGGTGCGCTTGCGGAAAAGTACTCTCGAGTTTTGTTTCCGTAAGGCCCATATGTCTTCTTGTTCGTCTTAAACGTTAACGCCGTTATAATGTCTCCCGAAAAAGTCGTTTTGGAGTAACCAGAGACATCCGTTATGTACTCGTCCGGGCTCAGTGTGAACTGGCCAACAAAATAACATATAGTTAAAGAACCACAATGTTTTATAATTTTTTTTTTTTGGATATGAATGTTAAGATGGTTAATAATTATTTCAATAAATTATAGTTTAGGACTAAAATGATTAACACTGTTTACTAACCCCGTCGGATTTGGTGCCAACGGTAGTGCCACGCCGCTGAGACTGAAGGGTGGTTCCCTCGTATTCGACCTGGATAGATCTGATAACGTCATCAAACGTAAGCTGAACACGCTTCACCTTCGTGTGCTTTCCGTCATCCCAAGACATCGTGACCGTTAAGATCCGTCCAATATCTCCTGAAAATTACTTAAAAAAATGCTTTCGAAAAAAAAAAATTTGTACAATCAATTGTTTTTCCAAAATATATTTCCTGAAAAATAATAACATAACGGAATTACGTTAATCTCTTTGATTGTGTAAATTAATAAGAGCTACACTCTACAGTCTACACAATATAATTGTTTTCCTGACAACGTGTTTTTTTCTTTTCTATGAACCGATCTGGACCTGGTTTAAATTCAGTCGATCTGAAACAAAACAATCTTTTTTCTATTTAAATAAAAGGAATGAAAATATAATATCTTTTTTTTTGTATGATAAAATATAATATCTAATCAATGTACGACTAACAAAATCGACATAGTACCGATATTATGAAAAACATACATATTTTATAGAATAAAAGAAATTAAAATGTATCTAAAAGAATCAAAGAAACAATTTAAACAAAGCATAATGCATCTATCTACAAAAATAAAAGAAAGGAAAGGAAAAAAGTATGAGCAAAAAAAAAAGGCAGGAAAATATTGAAAAAGAGTTGTTTGGGTGAATAATTGATATCAACTTAGCCACAAAAATGTTTTGTTCATAAATTCTTAAAATTCCTTTTTTAAGATATAGCCACCAAATCTCTGTATTTTCGTGGATTGTTTTATCGACAAACTGTGTACCTCTTTAACTCGTTTTGATCGGATGAATAGAATAATAAAGAAAGAGAGAGAGAGAGAGAGAGAGAGAGAGAGAGAGAGAGAGAGAGAGAGAGAGAGAGAGTACCTGGTTGGGGAAGATGAGGAAGAGGAGAGTGAGATGCAATAATTAGGGGTGGTAAATGGTTTGATATTTATTGTCATTTTGGTGATAAGGTTAGTTAACGTTATTTATTTGTCACATGGCGATATTCAACATTTTTTTGGCTATTATAATAACAAAAGAATATCATGTTCAGTTAGAAAGAAATTATACATAACGAAATAAAGCCGAATTTTTTGTGTGTACCTGAATCATGGCCCCATATAATTGTAATAGTATAATTATTGGTGTAGCTTTAATTTTTTTTTTTTTTTTTTTTTGGTGTAAACGAAGGCTTGCAACAATCAAAGATCTATATAAATTGCTACAACCCTACCAATCACAATCTGATGTTTCATAAATTTCTTAACGTATATATGATAAGTTTCCAACTTTATTCGGTTGGAAAGAGTCGGAATCAAGAAGAGTATATATGATTGGTAGGGGTTAAGAATTTGTCCATGCTCATCACATGTACAACTAATTCAGTGGCATTTTGGTTATAACAAGTTTTGCATGTGGAAACCGAGGACATGGAAAGCAAGATGGACGTGGCTAGTGGCTTTCTTTTTCTAGCACTAAAATCAATCGAATCGGTTTTCTGGATAATGCTAGTATTGAGGAAATTCTTCAAATGTACTTAATTTAAGTTTTTATTTTATATATATACTAATATTCTAAAAAAATTATTTAATAATATTCTGTGAAAAAATTCTATCAACATTAACAGAAAAAGAATATTTAGAAAAAAAATTTTAAAAGGTAAAATCGGAAAACTCAAATGAAAAATGTTAAGAATAAAAAATTTTTAGCTTTCTTATTATATTTGTCCCGAAAATTTATTTTTAGTACAATTGTGAAAATTATCCTAATATATATAATCTTTTTTTATCTATTTATAACCATTTGTTAAAACTGTATGCTATGATTGTAGTTTGTAATCGCTATTTAATAAAAAAAAGTGTTGTGATCTAAAAAAAAGTGCAGTGGCGTTTTCGATAATTACGAGAACGTGTTTTTAAATTCGTTGAGACGCGCAGTTTAGCCTTATGCGATCATGTGATGTGTATACATCCAAATGCAGAAATCGTTACTTCAAATAATGGAAGGTTTGAAGAGAATTTCTTGAAAAATACTATTTTTATAATTACATTTTTTTTTTCTTCAGAAATGCCATTTCAACAAATTAGTTTATATAAAGCTGTGAATTTTCTCCTTTTTATAAATTAGCTTATAAACGTTTATAAATGTTTCCATTTCCATGCTTTTAAAATTTTATAAAACATTTATAAAACATTTATTTTCACTTAAAATCATCCCATTTTCATTTTTCAGGAATTTTTATAAATATTTCTATAACATGATGATTTTTAAAATTTTCATTTTTTTTTTCTGAAAATGAACAACAAACAAATGATTAAAAAAATAGTATCAAAAAATTATTTTAGAAATTCGTCAGGCTCTACAAGAGATTGGAAAGAACTTTATTAAAATCTACAAGTGACAACGCAGAAAGCAAAACACATCACATGATCGCATAAAGCCATAAAGCCTAAAACAAATATTTGCAGCATAGAAAATTATACAGAAAAACGCTAGTAATATCTATAAAAACAACAACAATCGATTTCTTAGCTAAAACGAATATTTGCAGTATAAAAAATTATATAAAAAAACGATAGTAATATTTTTTGTGTGTGCATATAAACGCTAGTAATATCTATGAAACAACAACAATTGATTTCGTAGCTAAAACGAATATTTGCAGCGTAGAAAATTATATAGAAAAACGCTAGTAATATCTATGAAACAACAACAATCGATTTGTAGCTATTCACTACCTAAAATAAAACAGATAATGCATGGAAGAAGGACGAAGCAATCTATAATTTGGGGAGAAAGGAAAAGAGACCTTCAGGTTGGAAAAGAGCTGTGAGGAATGATATTGGATTTGTGATACGGTGATAGTGCTACTTCCTATTTACTGACATTGACACTTTTTTCGGTAGGATTTTAGTTTTTTTCTTTTTTTATATTACACTCCCTATATAAAAGATTTACTCTCCGTCACTTTTGAGGTATTTCACATGAATTTTTTAAAAATATTGTTTTAACAACTTTTAATAATTAAACTGAGCTCACCAATACAAGTCCTTTGCATTATTCGTGACAATGATAGCAGTTGCGATTCTCGAAAACGGTTACATTTGTCATAAACGTGAGAGAAATGCTTTCCACGTGGTCTGACAAACAGTAAAAATCCAAGTAACCACGAATTTGGTACACCCAAACAAACAAAAAATGACAAAAAATCTTCCTTGTAAAATGGTGGACCTGAACCAGTACACATGTCTTTGGGATCACGTGTCCCCAGCTAAATTTTCTAAAAAAAAAAGAAAAATAAATCCATAATAATGTCCTCCGACTAATGCTCCCATCTAACTCTTTCTAATCCTCTTCGACCTAGCAGCTAATACAAAACATTGGTTATATTTTTTTTATTTAACCTAGCAGAAAGTCTTCAAACAACTATATAGGGATCTATAGTTTCTGAATCTTCAAACAAAAAAAAAAGGTTTAAGAGGTTTTGAAATCATCAGTTCACCATACAAGTAATTGACGGCAAGTTAGGTAAGCAATATATATTAGGTATATTCATAGTTGTTTGCTATTAAAATTTGAAAGAAACATCAAAATAATTGTTTATGTTCACTTGTTGATGAGGTTCAGTTGTTTGAACTATTTATTTATGTTTTTATAGTAGTTGACTTGATTTTAATTTTGGTCGACTTAATTTCTTGGCAATGAAATTATGTTTTGGTTGGTTAATTTATTACAAAGCTGTTTGTATTTATGTTTTTGTGTTTAGTTTTATATCTTTAATTCTTTTTCAAATGAACCAACTATTTTAACATTTTATACAATTTTTTTGTTTGTTATTTGTAATGGCAAACACAAATTAAATGCAAATAGAAGGATTTTCTTCTGTTTGGTGTTTGCGTTTTTAGAAAAATATGTAATCAAAAACTAATAGTATTTCATATTTTTTAATGTATTCATCTGCTCACGGTTAATAGAATAAACACAAACATTTACCAAAATCTAAAAAGAGATTGAAAGGAAAATAAAACCAAAAAAAAAGAAAGAGATTGAAAGGAAAACATCATTTATATAACAGTCTACAAGTGACAACACATATTCTTTATCAAGGCACAGAACATCACATGATAGGATAAAGCATTAAGAGTAAAAGACACACAAACATGGTAAAAGCAGACTTCGAGTGACCTTATTTTACGAAATCAAAGAGAAAAAAAGGAAACTTAAGAGTAAGTCTGTAATTGGTGATAATGGACTGCTTATCTGATGAAACAAATCACCCAACGATCTTGTAACCTTCCTCCTAAAGCTCCTCCATTACCACCTCCCTTGGGATCAACCCGAACCTGTGTCAAAGTGAGCCCCAATAGCATCAATAGCACCACCACCACGTCCATGAAACCCAAGAAGCTTTCCTCCATTGTTACCTTCAAGCGTGAATTCTGTTCCAGCCATCTCACCGAATAACGGAGAGGTATATCCTTTGGAGGTTTTGAAGAATAACGATGTGATAAGCGTCGTATCATAGTTGAAAATATGATTGTAGCTCCCACCAACGGCAGTGATATATTCATTCGGATAATCCACCGAAAACTGTATTTCATTTCCAGTAAAAACAAACGAAATATTAGCCTTTTAGGGTTTCTTAAGAAAAGATTGAATTTGAACATTAACAAAAGTCGTTATAAAAAAAAAAAACATTAACAATAGTAACGAGCTTTTATTTATTTTTCACCTCTTTTAGTTCCCCTCCAGGCGTCCCATGTTCACGAGTTTCGAATTTTCCGTCACTTGCGTATTCGATCTTGATATAAGTCACACTGTATACGTCTTTACCCACAGTTACTTTCTTCACACCATCGAAAATACCATCGTCGAATGTGTTTCCCTTGATACCACCGTGTGGTCCAATCTTTACCGACAACTTTTGGGGTCTACGGGTCTCAAAGAAAGCTCCAATGGCATCAATAGCAGTACCACCACGTCCATGGAATCCAAGAAGCTTTCCACCATTTTCACCTTTCAGGTTGAATTCTTCTCCACGAATCTCACCGAATAATGGGGAGGTAAATCCTCTGGAAGTTGTGAAGTATAGAGATGTGATAAGCGTTGTATCATACGTGAAAATATGATTATAGCTTCCACCAACTGCTATGATATAGTCACTTGGATAATCCACCGAAAACTGTATTTCATTTCCAACTAGAAGCAGCGAATTAATAAAAGTGAACAAAGTGAATTAATAAAAAAAATTTTACTAAACAAATATATATATTTTGACCTCTTTTAGCTCCCCACGATTCGTCCCGTGTTCACGGATTTCGACTTTTCCATCCTTTTCGTATTCGATCTTTATATAACTTATAGAGTATTCATCTGCTCCGACGGTTATTTTCTTCACACCATCGAATACACCATCGTCGAATGTATTTCCTTTGATACCACCGAGCGGTCCAAACTTTGTGGTAGCGGGAGTTGGAGTTGGAGCCGGAAGAGGGCCAAAATGTGCACCAAGGGCATCAATAGCATCACCGGACCGGCCACAAAACCCGACAAGCATGAAATCTCTTTCATCGAACACAAATTTCCTACCAACAACATTTCCAAAAGCAGGGGAGGTTCTTCCCTTTGATGTTTTAAACCTAAGCGATGTAAGGTAGCCATCGATGGTTCCCTCCACTACCGTAATATGTTCAGTAGGATAATCCACCACAAACTGCACCCAATTATTTATTTTTATTTTATTTTATAAAAATCTGAATAAGCACAAAACTATACACACATAGATTTTATATAAACAATACCTCTTGTGGAACCTCCTGTCTCTTCCCATGAGCATGTGGTACCATTGTTTCGCCTTTTGCATACTCAAACCTAACATAACTCACAAACTTACCACCTCGTCCAACGAGTATTTTTCTTACACCATCGTAAGCACCATCGTCCCAAGCACTCCCTCCATTCCCACCTTCACGGTTAAAGAGCTTAAGAGGAGGATTTGGAGCGAAGAAGTAAGCTCCAATGGAATCAAGAGCTTGACCAGAGCGTCCATGGAATCCAAGAAGCCTTCCTCCAGTTTTACCCTCCAGCATGAATTGTTTCCCAGCTGAATCGCCTCCGAGTGTCGAAGAGGTTCTTCCATAGGAGGTTTTGAATATTAGCGACTTGACCAGCACTGATTCATAGTATCTAACATGATCGTAGGTTCCACCAACGGATGTGATATATTCATTCGGGTATTCCACCGCAAACTGGATTTCATTTTTGATTAGAAATAAACAAATTATCAGCTTTTAAGGGCTTGATAAGAACCGACTGAAGAACAACAAAACCACGAATCACGTTATATTATTGTTATTACCTCTTTTAGCTCCCCACGAATCGTCCCGTGCTCACGGGTTTCAGATTTCCCGTCCTTTTCGTATTCGATCTTGATATATGATACACAGCCAAGGTCTTTTCCGACAGTTATTTTCTTCACACCGTCAAAAACACCATCGTCGAATGCTCCTCCCATGTTACCACCCATCGCTCCCACTTTTTCAGTCATTGTTGCCATCTCCTAATTTCAGCAAAACATTAAAAATTGAAACTCTTTTTTTTTTTCAATATCAACTAAGAAACATGAAACAAGAAACGGAATGGTTCTTGGTAAACGAAAATAAGATCTTTTTTTTTACTTGACACAAAAGAGAATTAATACCCCTAGTAGATTCTTTTCCGACAATTATTTTCTTTACACCGTCAAAAACACCATCGTCGAATGCTCCTCCATAGTTACCACCGATTGCTCCCACCTTCTGTGACATCCTTTCGGTTTCTCAACTTTACAGAATACCTGAAAGATTGAATCAAGAAGAAACAACACATAGTAGTTTGTTATTTCATATTCCACATAAGTTAGCGTGTAAAGAAAAACAGAGGAAGAATAACTCTTAAAACACTGCCTTTTCTTCTTATCATAGCAAGAAAACGTTAATACCCTTTAGTAGTTACTTTTTTTTCAATATAGAATTATTGTTTCTCAGGCACCACTAATGGAAAATACTTTTACTAGACACAATGTCAATCACTCTCTTTTGACTCAAAAAAGAAGAAAATCATCAGTAATAAAGCTCTGGATTTTAGTAAAGTATACGAGACCATGTCAGAACATAGAACCTTTAAGAATTTTAGGACGTATTTAAATTTTAAAATACTAACCTTTTTCTCTCAGTCCGTAAAGAGGTACGTAGCATACCTTTTCAGGAGGACACTGAGAAAACTTTTAGTATCCTTTTTCGTTATCTTTGCAGTTAAATTATATATTTTTACAATTGACCATCAATTAAAACTCGACCAAAACAAAAAACATCAAACCAAATTCCTAGTTATATCTTTGTATTGATACGGACGTATAATTGACAACACCAATTTATCCACACAAAAAAACCACAACAACAATTGAAAAGAGTTGATGCATGGCAAGATCGTATAATACATAGAAGCAGAGAGAAATTATATTTTACGATGAAAATGTGAACAGAGAATGTCGACAAAAAAGTGAATATAGAATCGTGGAATAAAGACGAAAAATTAGAGAAATAGACCTTCAGGTTTGAGAAGAGCTGTGAATTTATTGACTCTCGTTTTTGTATAGTGTTTTAGTTTTCACAAAACAATCTTTTTCTATTTAAATAAAAGGAATGAAAATATAGTATCTTATCAATGCACGACATATTTAGTACCGATATTATGAAAAACGTATATATATATATATTTCTAGATTTAGAGAAATCATAATGTATCTACAAGAACAAAAGAAATAATTAAACAAAGCACAATGTATCTATCTACAGTAAAACTTATATAAATTAACAATGTTAGAATTTTGAAAATTTATAAAAACTTATTAATTTATAATGATTATTAATTTAAAGATATATTATTTGGTTGATAGATCAATTTTATGATTTATAAAAAACATATTAATTTATTAAAAATATTAATGAATCGAGTATTAATTTATAGAACTTTTACAATAAAAAATAAAACTAAAAAAAAGAAAACAAGTGTTAGCAAAAAAAGTCAGAAAATATTTTTAAAAAGTTATTTGGGAGAATAATTGATATCAACGTAGCCACAAAGATGTTTAGTTCATAAATTCTTGACATTGTTATAAGACATAGCCACCAAATCTCTGTATTTTCGTGGATAGTTTTATCGACAAACTATACCTCGTTAAATCGTTTTGATCGAATGAATAGAATAATTAGAAAACTTGAAAAGAAGAGAGAGGGTACCTGAGTGTGATAGATGAGGAAGAGGAGAGTGTGATACGATTAGGGGTGGCAAATGGTTTGATATTTATTGCCATTTTGGTGATAAGGTTAGTTAATGTTATTCATTTGTCACATGGCAATATTCAACATTTTTCAGTTATAATAAGAACAAAAGAATATTTTGCACAAAAAATAAGAATAAAAGAATATTTTGCACAAAAAATAAGAGTAAAAGAATATCATTCTCAGTTCCAACTAGAAAGAAATTATTTAACGAATTAAAGCCGATTTTTTTTTGACCTAGATTTTGGCCCCATTGGTTATAATTGTAACAGTATAATTATTGGTGTAGCTTTAGTTTTTTTTTTTTTTTTTGAGGTGTAAATGAAGACATACACCAATTAAAGATCTAGATAACTTTAGATCATTTTTTAGAACTTGCTTGGTAAAAAACGGGGTAGAATTCAATTAAAAGTTGTGAGAAATCTTTACAACCCTACCAATCACACTTTTATGAGTGTTTCACAAATTTCTTGTCGATATGTACATAAATGATAAGTCTCCAACTTTATTCCGTTAAAAAGAGCCGGAATCAAGAAGAGTATATATGATTGGTAGTGGTTAAGAATTTATCCTTGCTCTTCACATATACAACTAATTCAGTGGCATTTTCGATAATTACGAGAACATGTTTTTAAAGTCGTTGAGACATGCAGTTTAGCTCCAATGTTTTTTAGAATATTTTCTTTTATTAAAATTGGTTATATGTGTACATCCAATTGTAGAAATTGTTGTTTCAAATAATGGAAGGTTTAGAGAGAATTGTTTTTGAAAAATGCTATTTTTATAATTCATTTTTTCAAAATACTACTACAATTTGTTTTTCTTCAGAAATGCCATTTCAACAAAGTAGTTAAATATAATTTTATGACTTTTCTCTATTTAATAACGTTTATATATGTTTCCATTTTCATACTTTATAAAATTTATAAAACATTTCTATAACATTATTTTAAAACATTTATTTTCATTTTAAATCTTTCCATTTTTATTTTTCAGAAAATTATAAACATGACGATTTTTATAAGTTTTTTTCTTTTTTTTTAATGAACAACAAACAAATGATAAAAAAATAGTATCAAAAAATTATATTTTTGAAATTTGCCACGATCAAGAGTGATAAAAACTTTATTAAAATATACACAAGTGACAACAAAAAAGGCAATGGGACAATTTGATAGATAATAATGTTTGAGATGAAAATTAATTAGAAAATATTAATAAAAAATGGGAATCTTGCAAAAATAACCCATAAATTTAAGTCAATTGCTAAACTAACCTTCCATTTTACTACTTTTAAAATTAACCATTTTATCTCACTTATATTCTTATCAGTTCTATTTATTTACAAAAATGCTATTAGATTATTGTTTTTTATTATTATTTCGGAAATCTATTTTACCAAACAATCCTCATCTTCCTCACTTATTCACGAAAATGCCATCACCATCAATTCATTCAACCACTATTTTCAACCAATTTGAAGCTTTTATTGCTTCAAAGACCCATTTTTTAGCTTTGTAACCTCATTTCTTCTTCTCTTAACCTTCTACTCTTCCATTTTTTCACCATTTTCAGCACAAAAACTCTCTAATCTAAATTTTTGAAACTTGATGTTTTAATATATTGTCATATTTGGTGATTTGGTCTAGCAAATCGTTTGGGCTTGTTTGGTGGTGGCTGGAATCAAAGAAATCGGTGGTTGAATTTCAATTTTCGTGAGTTTTCAGATCTGTGCCGCGAAAGTAGACTTCTTAAGAAGTCTACTGTCGATAGTAGACTTCAAAAGAAGTCTGCTGGTCAACACACATGTTAGTTTTGCAATTGACCGGGTGTACCAATTTCTGACAGTAGACTTCAGTTGAAGTCTGCGCCATTTTCTTTGATAACAAAAAAATAGTGTAAACTTCAAAAGAAGTCTACGTAAAAAGGGGTTAGTTTTGCAATTGACCAACGTTTGACTTTTTTGTAAGAAGTCTACTCGCAAAAGTAGACTTCTTCGGAGAAGTCTACTTTGAAAGTAGACTTCTCAGAGGTTAGTTTTGCAATTGACCAATGTTGACTATTTCGAGTAGACTTTGCTTGAAGTCTACTTTTCCGAGTAGATTTCGTTTGAAGTCTACTTTCTGAGTAAACTTCAAAAAAAGTCTACTCGAAAATAAATTCAATGTTTGGTCAACCCCAAAACTAACCCAAGTAGACTTCGTTTGAAGTCTACTTTTGAAGTAGACTTCAAACGAAGTCTACTTTGAAAAGTCAACATTGGTCAATTGCAAAACTAACCTCTAAGAAGTCTACTTTAAAAGTAGACTTCTCCGAAGAAGTCTACTTTTGCAAGTAGACTTCTTACAAAAAAGTCAAAGTTTGGTCAATTGCAAAACTAACCTTTTTTTACGTAGACTTCTCAAGTAGACTTCTCGGAGTGAGTAGACTTTTTTGAAGAAGTCTACTCATCTTTTGGCAATTGCAAAAGTAACCTAAAATATAGACTTCATACGAAGTCTACTTTTGTAAACTTCGTTGTTAGTCTACTATTTCACTTTTTTTTATAAACGCATTTTTATCAAATTTACAACGAATTATTAAGATTTTTTTGGTTTTACGATTGTTTTAGTAAGTGTACTTACATTTGTATCAGTTTTACATGTTTATATTATATATATTTGGTGAAATCAAGTTTCTTGTTTTATTTGGTATTTAGCTTATTAGTCTGTAGACTTCGTTTGCAGTCTGCGACATTAATTTTTTTTTTATATTAATTGATCAGATATTTGTAACAAATAAAATTTATTCTTTGACTCTTAAGTGTGTATTATATATTGTTCTTACTTATGTAGGAGTTTGACATGTTTATTTGTTATAGTTTAGCTTTAATTAATTTTCTTGTTCTAATTGGTATTTAGCTTATTAGTCCGTAGACTTCGTTTGCAGTCTGCGATATTAATTTTTTTTATAAATTTAATTGATCAGATATTTGTAACAAATAAAATTTATCATTTGACTCTTAAGTGTGTGATATTTATTGTTCTTGCTTATGTATGAGTTTGAATTTTTTTTTTGTTACAGTTTAGCTTTAACTAATTTTCTTCTTTTATTTGGTATTTAGCTTAATAGTCCGCAGACTTCATTTGAAGTCTACATAGTAGACTACGTTTGCAGTCTACTTTTTCGACAATGATTTCTAATGTGGTTTGAATTTTGTTTTTTACAGAGAATGGTTCACATACCCACTGTTTATTGAGAATGTGTGAAGAAAGACTAGTTGTGGTATTTCTAAGTAGTTTTACATGTTTTTTTTTGTTATGAGTTTTACATGTTTTTGTATAGTTAAATTGAATTAATTTTCTTGTGTTATTAGAGGTTCAAAGATGGTGATGACTAAGTCTGACAAAGAAGTCTGCATATGAAATCTGAATATGATAAAACACACATAATTTAAGAATATATAAAAATAACATTAATTGCAATCCAATTTTACATATAAAGTAGACTTTCTAATCAGACAAACATTTAAGGATCACTAATTATAAATCTTAAAATTAGCATATAAAAACAAAATGTCTGAAATAGATGTATGTGACTGAAGTCTGCTCGAGAAGTCTATTCGAGAAATCTGCAGCTGCTTCCAACAAAAACAAAAGAGAAATAAATAAGCTCAGGTCTGCACAATAAGAAAAAAAAATGTTAAAATTCATATTTCAACAAAATCTGCTATATTTACAAACATCATATCTGCAGCAAAATGGAAAAAAAGAAATCAGTTATGCAACAAAAAAATTATAGATCTGCAACAAAATAAACAAAATTCAGATCTGCAACAAAATAAACAAAATCAGATCTGCAACAACTAAAAATTCAGATCTACAAAAAAAAAAAAAAAATCAGATCTGCAACAACAAAAAAATCAGATCTGCAACAAATTCTACAAAATTTATACCATAAGAAGCGCATATTTGCAAGAATAAACTCATATCTACAACAAGAAGCTCAAATATGTAATAATAAACCCATATTTACAATATGAACACAAAACAAACAACAAAAGAAACACAAAACCTCAGATTTGCTTACCATCACCATAATTGAGATAGAGAGGATGGAGGATAGAGATGGGTTTGATGGCAAGAGAGGAAGAAGAAGAGATTCATGGCCAGAGAGGAGGTAGAAGAGAGAGAGGCATTTTTTAGAGGGAGAGAAAAACTTTATTTTTAACCCAATTAGGTTAATCTCCTTATATATGTAGGAAAATTTTCGGTTAAGTAAACTTCTTAAGAAGTCTACTGGAGAAGTCTACTCGAAAAGTCTACTTCGGTATATTTTTTCAATTTCGATTCCCGCCCAATTTGTTAAATAATTTTGATTTTCTGCTATGTTTTTTTTTAAGTCTACTAGAGAAGTCTACCCGAGAAGTCTACTGCATACGTATGTTTTCTGTAGTAGACTTCTTTAGTAGACTTCTAAAGGGTTATATGTTTTATAGTTAATTTTCTTTCTGTATTTAAGTTATTCATTTGTATGAAATTTTGTATTCTATACATGTCAAATGTATATGTCTTACTTATGTTTACCAATTTTTTAGAAATTTATTTATTTTATATTTTCTAATTAATTTTTAAAAAACTAATTATGTAGTTGACTTCTTTTGAAGTCTACATATAACGATTGTAGACTTTTTACATAGACTTCTAGAAGGATAAAATCGTAACTGTGACAGGCGTTTTTTGTTTAGTCACAAAGGACTAAGCTGTAATTTTACCACCCTTTTGGGTTAGTTTTGCCAAACATTCAATAAGGGGTTTACATATTGAGAAAAAATTAACTTTTAGGTTATAAAGAGAAATTCCCCCATAAAAAATAGCTAGAAAAAAATAGCATAAAGATACTTAATCAATAAAACAATTTATAAAGAAATTATTCATTTTGCCATTGAGTACGGGTGAAAAAGAAAAAGAATGTTAATAAAATAAAAACAAAAATGCTTTAAATATAAATTTTAAAACTTTTCATTTTTATTTAAATTTTGTTTTTATCATCAAGTTTTTCCTTTCTCTCAGTTTTTTTCTCTTCTTTTTTTTCTTGTCGTCATAATACAAATTTAAATATTCAAATAATAAACACCATATACCCGAATCCAGATCACCATAATTTCGAATATATCAACAAAACAAAACTACCACACCTCTGATTCGCCATCAGATTCAGCATACCTAGAAACCGAGTAAAATCTGAGGTTAAGTTATTTGAACTATTTATTTATGTTTTCATAGTAGTTGACTTGATTTTAATTTTGATCGACTGATTTTTTTGGCATTGAAATTTAGGTTGATTTTTTTATCACAAAGCTGTTTGTATTTATGTTTTTATTTTTAATTTTATATCGTCAATTCATTTTCAAATGAACCAACTATTTTAACATTTTATAGTACAATTTTTTTTCGTTATTTGTGTAATCGCAACACAAATTAAATGCAAACAGAAGGATTTTCATCTGTTTGATGTTTGCGTTTCCAGAAAAATATGTAATCAAAAACTATAAGTGTCTCCTATTTTTAATGTAAGAATAAACACAAACACTTACCAAAATCTAAAAGGAGATTGAAAGGAAAACTTCATTTTATTAAACAGTCTACAAGTGACAACACACATCCTTTATCAAGGCATAGAACATCACATGATAGGATAAAGCATTAACAGTAAAACACACACAAACATGGTAAAAGCAGACTTCGAGTGGCCTTATTTTACGGAATCAAAGAGAAAAAAGGAAACTAAAGAGTGAGTCTGTAATTGGTGATAATGGACTACTTATCTGATGAAACAAATCACCCAACGATCTTGTAACCTTCCTCCTAAAGCTCCTCCACTATCACCTCCCTCACCTCAACGATCTTGGGATCAACCCGAAACTATCTGAAAGTGAGCCCCAATGGCATCAATAGCACCACCACCACGTCCATGGAACCCAAGAAGCTTTCCTCCATTTTTACCTTCAAGCGTGAATTCTGTTCCAGCCATCTCACCGAATAACGGAGAGGTGAATCCTCTGGAGGTTTTGAAGAATAACGATGTGATAAGCGTTGTATCATAGTTGAAAATATGATTGTAGCTCCCACCAACGGCAGTGATATTATCATTCGGATAATTCACCGAAAACTGTATTTCATTTTCCAGTAAAAACAAACGAATTATTAACTTTTGAGGGTTTGATAAAAAAAACTAATTGAATTTGAATATTAACATTTTTTTTCACCTCTTTTAGTTCCCCGCGAGCCGTCCCATGTTCACGAGTTTCGAATTTTCCGTCATTTGCGTATTCGATCTTGATATAAGTTACACTGTACTCATCTGCTGTAACAGTAATTTTCTTCACACCATCAAAAACACCATCGTCGAATGTGTTTCCCTTATTACCACCGACTGGTCCAATCTTTAACGACGACAACTTTTCAAAGTGAGCCCCAATGGCATCAATAGCATAACCACCACGTCCATGGAATCCAATAAGCTGTCCTCCATTTTGACCTTCGAGATTGAATTCTGTTCCAGCCATCTCACCGAATAACGGAGAGGTAAATCCTTTGGAGGTTTTGAAGAATAACGATGTTATAAGCGTTGTATCATAGTTGAAAATATGATTGTAGCTCCCACCAACGGCAATGATATATTCATTAGGATAATCCACCGAAAACTGTATTTCATTTTCCATTAGAAACAAACGAATTATTAGCTTTTGAGGGTTTGATAATAAAACTAACTGAATTTGAATATTAGCTTTTATTTATTTTTCACCTCTTTTAGTTCCCCTCGAGCCGTCCCATGTTCACGAGTTTCGAATTTTCCGCCATTTGCGTATTCGATCTTGATATAAGTTACACTGTACTCATCTTTACCCACAGTTACTTTCTTCACACCATCGAACACACCATCGTCGAATGTGTTTCCCTTGGTACCACCGATTGGTCCAATCTTTACCGACAACTTTAGGGGTCTACGGGTCTCAAAGAAAGCTCCAATGGCATCAATAGCATAACCACCACGTCCATGGAATCCAAGAAGCTTTGCTCCATTTTCACCTTTTAGATTGAATTCTGTTCCAGCCATCTCACCGAATAATGGAGAGGTAAATCCTCTGGAAGTTGTGAAGTATAGCGATGTGATAAGCGTTGTATCATAGTTGAAAATATGATTGTAGCTTCCACCAACTGCTATGATATAGTCATTCGGATAATTCACCGAAAACTGTATTTCATTTTCAGTTAGAAGCAACCAATTAATAAAAGTGAAAAAAGTGAATTAACAAAAAAAAATTACCGAACAAATGTATACATATTGACCTCTTTTAGCTCCCCACGATTCGTCCCGTGTTCACGAATTTCGACTTTTCCGTCTTTTTCGTATTCGATCTTGATATAAGTTATACTGAATTCATCTGCTCCAACGGTTATTTTCTTCACACCATCGAATACACCATCGTCGAACGTGTTTCCTTTGATACCACCGAGCGGTCCCACCTTTGTGCTAGCGGGAGTTGGAGCCGGAGTTGGTGCCGGAGTTGGTGCCGGAGTTGGAGCCGGAGTTGGAGCCGGAGTTGGAGCCGGAGTTGGAGTTGGAGCCGGAGTTGGAGCTGGAGTTGGAGCTGGAGTTGGAGCCGGAAGAGGGCCAAAATGTGCACCAAGGGCATCAATAACATCACCGGACCGGCCACTAAACCCGACAAGCTTGAAATTTTTTTCCTCGAACACAAATTTTCTACCAACAACATTTCCAAAAGCAGGAGAGGTTCTTCCTTTTGATGTCTTAAACCTAAGAGATGTAAGGTAGCCATCGATGGTTCCCTCTACTACCGTAATATGTTCATTAGGATGATCCACCACAAACTGCACCCAATTATTTATTTTTATTTTATTTTATAAAAATCTCAATAAACACAAAACTACATACATAGATTTTATATAAACAATACCTCTTGTGGAGCCTCTTGTCTCTTCCCATGAGCATGTGGTACCATTCTTTCGCCTCTTGCATACTCAAACCTAACATAACTCACAAACTTACCACCTCGTCCAACGAGTATTTTTCTAACACCATCGTAAGCACCATCGTCCCATGCACTCCCTCCATTCCCACCTTCGCGGTTAAAGTGCCTAAGAGGAGGATTTGGAGCGAAGAAGTAAGCTCCAATGGAATCAAGAGCTTGACCAGAGCGTCCATGGAATCCAAGAAGCCTTCCTCCAGTTTTACCCTCCAGCATGAATTGTTTCCCAGCTGAATCTCCTCCGAGTGCCGGAGATGTTCTTCTATATGAGGTTCTAAATATTAGCGATTTGACCAGGACTGATTCATAGTATCTAACATGATCGTAGGTTCCAGCAACGGATGTGATATATTCATTCGGATATTCCACCGCAAACTGGATTTCATTTTCGATTAGAAACAAATAAATTATTAGCTTTAAAGAGTTTGAAGAACAACAAAATCACGAATCGCGTTATATTATTATTATTACCTCTGTTAGCTCCCCACGAATCGTTCCATGCTCACGGGTTTCAGATTTCCCGTCCTTTTCGTATTCGATCTTAATATATGACACACAGCCAAGGTCTTTTCCGACAGTTATTTTCTTCACGCCGTCAAAAACACCATCGTCGAATGCTACTCCATAGTTACCACCAATTGCTCCCACCTTCTGTGACATCTTTTCCATCTCTGAACTTTACAGAAAACCTGAGAGATTGAATCAAGAAGAAACAACACATGGTAGTTTGTTATTTCATATTCCACATAAGTTAGCGTGTAAAGAAAAACAGAGGAAGAAGATGTCACAAAGTTCTGTTTTTTCTTCTTATCATAACAAGAAAACGTTAATTTGTTTTTTTTTTTTTGATAAATGAGAAAACGTTAATACCCTCTACTAGTTACTTTTTTGAGTTTTTCAATAGAATTATTGTTTCTTCTTGACTAATGGAAAATACTTTTACAATACACAATGTCAATCACTCTCTTTTGACTCTTTGATATAACTAAACGTATAACAAACATACTTAAAAAGAAGAAAACCATCAGTTATTAAGCTCTGGATTTTAGTAAAGTATACGAGAACATGTACAATAACATAGAACCGTTTAGAATTCTGAGAATTTTTGGACGTATTTAAAATACTAACCTTTTTATCTCAGTTCGTAAAAAGGTACGTAGCCCATACCTTTTCAGGACACTGGGAAAACTTTTTTTTTTTTTTTTTGAACTTTAGACACTGAGAAAACTTTTAGTATCCTTTTTGTTATCTTTGCAGTTTAACTAAAAAAGGTTTACAATCGAACATCATATAAATTTCTACCAAAACGAAAAACATCAAACCAAAATCTTAGTAATATATTTGTATTGATAAGAACGTATAATTAACAACAACAATTTATCCCCCAAAAAAAAAAATCACAACAATTGAAAAGAGTTGATGCATGGCAAAATCGTATAATACAAAAAAGCAAGAACGAAATCTGTTATTATGAAAATGTGAATAGAGAATGTCGACAAAAAAAAAGTGAATATAATCGTTGGAAAAAGAGGCAAATTGAGAGAAAGAGACCTTCAGGTTGGAGAAGAGTTGTGAGTAAGAATGATATTGGTTCTGGGGTAGGGTAGAGCTATACGCCCTATATATATTGACTCTCGTTTTGTAGTGTTTTAGTTTTTTACGCTCCCATATAGACTTTACTCTCTGTCGTTTTTGAGATTTAGCACATGAATATATAAATTAATTGTTTTTACAAATCTAATAATTAATGTGAAATGGAAAGGCTCTCCAATACAAATCCTTTATATCCTCGTAACATTAAAAACGGCAGTAGTTGCGATTCTCGAAAGCGTTTACATTTATTATAAACGTTAGAGAAATGCTTTCTGTGTAATTAAAAAAAAAACAACCAAGTAACCATGAATTCGTTACACAAAAAGACAAAATCATACTTGTAAAATCATTTTTATATATCTTTAAAAAATAGTAGTTTACTGTCATTAATCGATTTTGGGTTCACTAATTCTTGATTATCGTTTCTCATTGAGTAGTAAAAGTATTGTATATGGGTTCTCAACTTCTCCCGTTACAATTTACAGTTAAAATTTCTTTTGCTATATCTGTTTTTATAATTGGATTACTGTGCATTAATATGTTTGGATTTACCAATCTTTGACTAAGTGATATTGATTATTGTTTTGTTTGGACATCAATGCAATTCTTGCACCAGTATATGGTATCAGATTCCCACATTCTATGATTTTGTTCTTGATCTCATCTAGATTCCGGTTACAGCGTACTCAGTTCTGTGCAAAAGAATTATCGTGACTATTTTCTGAACCACTGTCCTCTGACGCGTGGTGGTAATTGTTCATAATATATAGTTTTAGCCAATTTATGAATTGAATTAGCAATCGCCGACTGGATATTTCTGGCATCGCCAAAAAGATTTTACGAAGCTCATCTCACTTGTTTGGCTGCTCATCGTTGCACCTCTCGTTGGCGTTTTGGGTGCGGCGTTTTGGAGCTGTGATCTTTCGGAGTCAAAAGTTACTTAAGAATGTCGAAATCCCCGAGGTTATAAATTGGCATAGCCTATCCGTAACAAAATTTGTTGATTTGTATGAATAGCCAAACAAAGAATTGTTGATTCGAATGAGTAGCTAAAATTCTGGAGATGGAATATTTTGAAATTTCTTATTCAATAATCAACTATCAATTGGGTGGTTTTAAATACAAAAGTGAGGAGAAAATCCTAAACCTTAAAAGAAAAGAAAATAACTTAATTGAAATCATCTAAGGCCCAAGAAATATGTAAAACCCTAAAAACTAAAACAAACCCTATACGATATTGGAAGTTAGATAAGTAAATCATAAAACAAAAATGTCATAGAACTCAATTTTCTTATTTTGTTTACTGAATAAGCTACTGTTAGAAGGCATCCTAAAGTTTACTCTCTGTCTCTCTGCCATTTTAAAGATATTAATATCACATTAAGTTCTTCAAAAAGTTCTCTTGTTTTAACAGATTTGATCATTGATGTGAAGCTAGAAACTCATTGACACAAATCCATTAAATTCTCGTGACAATGCATGGCAGTAGTTGCATTTCTCCAAAGCGTTTACATTTGTTATAAACATTAGAGAAAAGCTTTCCACGTGGTGTAATAAACAAATAAAAATCCAAGTAACCATGAATTCGTTACACCAAACAAAACAAAACAAAATGACAAAAAACTTACTTGTAAAATGGTGGACGGTGGACCCAAACCAGTTCACATGTCCTTGACAGCTATGCATGAAATCGTGAATAATGGCACAGACGGGACCCAAATAGAAAATGATGTCCGTTCTTTTTTGCATGTGACACTCAATTATTTATTCATCTTTTTTTTTTTTTTTTGAAAAAGCCAATTGATTTGATGAAACGTTTAAGTTGATAATTATTTATTCATCTTTTGGCACCCTTTTTATTTTCCTTTTCTAAATTATTTATTACTTCGTTTTAGTTTTTGACAAAAAAAAACTAACTCTTAGTTATATGAATTTTTATTATCTTCTTCCTAAGCCCTCGATTTTTGTCTACATAAAGTGTTTAAAAAGACAACAAAATTTTAGATCATTTGTTCTATTTCAATAATTTATACTCCAAAAAAAATTTAGTAGTTTATTTTTTCGTCAACAAAATTAGCAGTTATTATTAAGTTTGTAATTATTTGTAGTGAATGAGTAAAAAAACATATTTTTAATGTGTTTGAAGTGAGTAGGAAATCAATACGAGAATATGAGATGAGCTGTCTTTTACTAGTACACAAGTAGAAAATGGGTCCCACTAGAAATCTATCATGCATGTACGTACACGTTGTAATTTGCATGCACATACACGTTGTTGTTTTTCGGACGTACTTTTCATAAAAAGTTTTTGCTTTTGGGGTCGAACTATACACATTACCTCTAATTAATTAGACCCCAATACATTTTTTTGGTGTTGTTATATTTATGTTTTTGTTACAGAAATTTAATCAACTTAAACTTCAACAGCTCAGTTGTTAAGAAGTCATAAAAACTTTTACAAAAAAAAATTGAATCAGAAGCGGGCGGGTACTTTAAAAAAATATAAATTATAACATCTCAGTGGATAATTTTTTCTATCGTCTCTTCTATGAGATTCAAATCAATTTTTTATTTAATATAATAATATTATTATAAATTTAATTTAATTTTATAAAAAATTAAGCCAACTAAAAATATATATGTATTTTAAGAGTTTCTTATGAGTTTATCATAGTTTTTTAAATAAAAAATTCATTTTATATTTTTTCTTCTCTTTTTATTATTTTTCCTTTTTTTTAATTAAGAAATTATATTACAGATGATCTAACCAAAACAGTGCCAAGAAAATTGGCAACAATAAATTTTTAAATCATATATAAAAAACACTTATAAGAACATAAAATATATAATAATAAAATAAATTAAAAATATCTAATAATAAAAATTATTATATAATAAAAATTTTAAAAAAAACCAAACAATAATTCAAAACGTGATTCTTCTCTTTTTCTTTCTCATAAAACTAATCAAATTTTTAAAATCAATTTTTCTAAATAGCTTTTGATCGATAAAATCACCGAATAATTTTTTTATGATATCAAGTAAAGATATAATTTTATCAGTTTTAACTTTTAAAAATTTCTTTCAGCAAATGCAAAAAACTAAAATCATCAACAATATTTGATAAATAATTGATGAATTAAAATAATTCTTTTTATCGCTTTTTAAAAAATCTAACACTTCAATAAACTTCTTTACTTATTTGAGTAAAATCTCTTTTAAAACTTTTAGTTCAAAAAGTATTAAGATATAATGTTTCTCATTAATAATTAAAAACTATATTAAAAAAAGAAGTATAATAGATTAAAAATTATAAACTTATCCTAATGATGTTTGATAAAGTCACTTAAATAAAATATAAAATGACAGAGTCGGTAATAGAAAAAAAACAAAGTTACAAACTCTAATGTTTTTCTATTTTTATCTTAGCTTAAAGAAGCATAAATAAACTTAATCATATATACTTATGTTATATAACTAAAGTTTTATTAATTTTTTTTTTAAATAGGGTCGTAGGCAAACGTCTCTTCGATGATGTAGGAGTAGGCACAACTCAGGTTCAAAATCTACCTTTTGCACCATATTTGAAATTTTTGTCTTTCTTTTCTACCTGAGCTTAATACTTAATTTATTTTATGTTATTTAAATATCCAGACCTAAATTTTTTTTTTTTTTAATCTAAAGTCTAAAATAAATATTATAAAATAAGTAGTTGGTCTGTACAATAAATTAATAAATAAATATTAATTAATTTTATATAATTGGTAAAATTTTATATTGTTGGTTTTAAAACTTAAATGTATTTTTTACTTGAACTTAAAATTTAATTTGTTTTATTTTTTTTTGATCGAGATTTAAAAATATAATTTTGTTTTAGTTTTGTTTTAGTTTAAAATCTAAACTAAATATTGCATACTATGTAGTCTGTTGGTATATACGTATGAGCATAAGATTTGTTTAATAAAAATAAATTAATAATATTATAATAAATATGTGACATATTTGCATAGTTGAATAATATAATATATAAACAAAAATTAACTATATATAATTGGTAAAACTTAAAAATTTACATTTTTAAATAAATAAATAAATAAATATATATATATATATATATATATAAATTAATATGTATAAAAATATTATAAAAATAAACAAAATATTTTTTTATTCATATTTTTAACTTTTTAAAAATTTATGTTTTTATTTGATTATTTTTATTTTATTTTTGTTTTATTTTGAGTTTTCATTATTTCACATATTACATATTTTTATGTTTTTGTTTAAAAATTAAATCAAATAAGACAATAACGAAAACTTTATGAAATAATAATATAAATTTTTTTTGAAAACCTATATAAATATATAGTCTTCTTAATATCATAAATTAGTATTTCTCCTTTTATCCCATAATATGAGATGTTTAAAGAATTTTGGCAGTTTTATTTTATACGATGTCTTACAAATTTTTAATTATATGCATCTTTACTAGGTATATAACTCGCGCTACGCACGAATCTGTATTAATATTTTAGTTTAATTTTTTAAGCTATTATCTTTATAACTATTAAAAATATAATATATTTATAGAAATTTTTATTTATATAAGAGAATTTAATATATAATATGTAATTTATCTTTTTTATTTATAAATTTTAAAAAACTATTAAGTAAAATAATAACAATGAAATCTATCGAATTATCCAACTTTGACGTACATATACATTTGATTTAGAGAAATATAATATTACTAAGATTTTGGTATTATTTTCTGTTTTCTATAAAAATTGTATAGTTCTTTTTTTAATTGAAGGTTTATGTGTTCAAATATTTAATTTTTTATTGAAAGTCTTATTGATGTTGTGTACCAATGCATATATAATCCGTGATTCATATTGATTCGCATTTAATTTTCTTAGAAAGCTATAATGATCATGCAAAACCATTTTTTCATTCTCCATCAGGTCTTCCAAGAGTTTTATGTTATATTTTAATTCAGTTTTTATTATTTTAATTATTAAATCGAGTTGTTGTAGACTTTTTTAAATTGATAATGATTACTTTTTTTTTAAACATGTATTGTTAATTGTTAATTTTTTTTAGGGTTGACTGCATAAACCCCCTTTGGGGGAGAATACAATTAAATATACTAATTTAGGGAGGAAAATCAAGAGCTTAAAAGTTTGTGTGGATTGAGGTAGAACCAGTATTATAGAGGGGGTTTATGCAGTCAACCCATTTTTTTATTTAAATTTTAAAATTTTAAACCATATTAACATTTTCTGATTTAATAAATATGTTGATTTGGATCAATCAGATTGAATTTACTTTTTTGTTGGACATAATTTGTTAAATTAAATTTTAATGTTTTAATTATACTTAATAATTTTTGGTTTGATTTAAAAGCTGACGTGGACCAATTAAATTAAATTTTTTCTGTGATAATCATACTTAACATTTTTTGTATGTAATGAATATGCTGATGTGGACCAATCAGATCAAGTTTTTTAATCACATGTGGACACCCTCAATGCATTATACCATCAACTTTTATATATTATATGATGTTATTTGACACTTTTAACTTTTTAAATTCTACATTATCTTCTATAGTAAATGATGTTTACAATTAATTATTAAATAATATTGTTTTTCAAAATATAATTTTTTAAAAAAATTCACGCGTTTAACTTAAATTCTTTATATAATGAGATAGAGAAAGTATTATATACTTCTTTCATTTCATATTGTTAATAAGCTTTAGAAAAAATTTCAATAAAAGTTAATTAATTGTTATTATTATATTGGATAATATTTTTTTAAGTTTTAGAGTTTTTATTACCACATTAGATAATGTAGTCTAATTTTTTTTATATAAAAAAATATAATATAGAACTATTGTAAAATTTGTGAAATCATAGTATTTTTCATTTTTTTTTTCTTGATTCAACTTTGTTAATCTTAATGTTATAATTAAACAAAAAAATTTATTTATTGAGAGTAATTTTAGTCTAACCTATTAGAACATTTCCTTTAAAATTTTTTTTTATGTAATATTTACATGTTATCAATAAAATTCAAATTAAAGACTAAAGATGACAGTATGACACATAAACATTTTTTACTAATTCTAATTTTCAATTTATAGTAATAGGATAAAAATAATTTATTCAATTTATGAAATTATGATAGTCAGGTCACATGTCCTTGACTCTATGCATCATGATACATATTTTTTGTTACTCATCCGCTTGTCCCTAGATATTATAGGATTTATCATCTATGGATGTTTACATTACATTACTATGTAATATCCAAAACAAAACTGTTACGATTGATTGTAAACATCATTTTTTCTCTATACCAGTAATAGAGGAACCAAATGCTTGATTTACACACACATATATTATTTGAAAATCCAGTTCTACATTTATTGATTCGATATATTTCATACAAACAAAACACACAGAAAACATAGACATTTTTAAAACACACAGAAAACATAGACATTTTTAACACACACAGAAAACACACAAGCAAGAGTCCTAGCTCTTAACGCTTAAGTCTCACAAACCAGGTGATGCAACAAACAACAACTTTTAAAACTCACATAATCACCAACACCGAGATGTCTTAAGCAGAATCTACGCCATAGAAAAATATGTCTTCATAACGACCGTTGGTGGGAGACTTTCCTCCATACATCAACAATCCTTTTTTTCCATCAATGGACGCAGTCGTGGATGCGCACCATCCACGCGGGCTATGGCCTTCCTCAAGCTTCTCCCACAACAAACTCTCCGTGTCCAACGCGAAAGTCCCACCGGTCAATGTCCCGGGACCCAAATGAGCCTTTGGGTCCATCTGAATCTCACCTCCAGATATAATTATATATTTCCCCACGACCGCTTGCGCAAAGACGCTTCTCGCCCAAGGCTTTTCACCGCTTGTTTCCACTTTAGTCCACTTACTTTGAACTGGATCAAAGCAATGAACATCATCCACTGAATCCCCGGTAAACCCATACACAACCCAAATCTTCCCTTGCACAACCGCGAGCCCTGATCCACCTCTCCCTTTGCAAGACTCTCCTGGATTCGGAAGGTCGATCCACTTTTGATCAACGATGTTGTAAGCATGAAGTGTGTTGACACGTGTCGTAGTACTCACTCCACCAAAGACATAAACGTTTTTGTCATCAGCAGCCATAGCGTGGAAGCTACGCGGCGCAGGTCCTTTGTTTACGTGAGTTATGAGTTTCCACTCGCTTTTGACGGTGTCGTAAGAGTAGAAGCCGCTGTAATTACGGTGGCCGTCGCGGCCACCAAAGACATAGAGTGTAGTGCCGATGGATACCATGCAAACGCCTAAGCAAGGGAGCTCAGGAACGTCACCCTTTGGACGAGCAATCGACCATCTGTTAGTCTTGAAATCGAAGAAGTAGAGGTGTCGATCGATGTGGAAATTTGGCGTTAACTCTCCTCCGAAAGAGTACATTTTGTTTCCAACCATTGCTATAGCATGTGAGCATCTTGGACCAGGAGTCTTGCCTTTTTGCTCCACCTAATAATAATAATCACCACATGTTTCATAACACATTAAATATCACGGTCACATATGAAAACAATAATCTTGTTCACGAGTAGTAGTATCACTACGTACTAGGTCTACGAATATACAAACCGAACCAAAATCTATCGAAAACTTTGGACCAAAATCGAAAAGAAAATTCGTTACTATAAGAAAAATTAGATATAATACAACATTTTAGAAAATATCACTTTTTTTTGTTATAACTAATAACATAATATTTACTTTTATATTCTTTTTATTCAAAGCTGAACCAAACAGAATGAAATATGAAATCTCCAAACCGAATGATCAAAAAAATTGAATATGTGGAACCAAACCGATCCCTACTATGTACGTACCTGGATCCACTTGCCACGCAACATCTTCGGAGAGGCCAAAGGAGAAATATAAGCTCCGATAGAATGAAGAAAGTCGCTCGAACTTCCATGAAAACCGGTGATTTTGCCACCTTCAAGCAAGGACAAATTCGCTGAGGTCTTTCCAAACGGCTGAGAGGTTATGCCCTTGAGTGTCTTGAATGCAAGAGACGTTATAATTTCTGTCTTGGAGTCGGAAAGTTTATCGTAGTAAATTTGCACAGATGTGATGTCATCGCCTTGATCAACCACGAATTCCTCTGTTCCTCGAGATGTCTTCTTTCCGTGCTCGTGTGTCACTCTTTTGCCGTTATTTTCGTATTCGAACTTGATATAAGCTACACCGGAGTCGCCTTGACCAACAAAAACTTTTCTTACATGATCAAAAGCACCATCGTCGAATGTTTCTCCACCCTTTCCTCCTACAGCTTCCACTTTGTGAGAAGAGGAATGGGTTAGTACAAAGTAAGTTCCAGGAGACTTGAGATTCGAGTCAGCGGACTTATGAACGCCGATGATCTTCTTATCCTTGACTGGAAGAGAAAACGGTGTACCATCATCCTCAGAAACTTTATAGCCAAAGAAGTCAGAACCGTTCTTGTCGGTTTTAAACTTGATTCCTTGAAAAACATTGGAAGAATCATACCAACTCTCGACAGAAACGAGATACTCATCGGGAGGATTGCTTATCACAAACTGCATAGATTCCATAAATGTGAGTGATGTCTAAATAAACATTTCATTCGAGAGTTTAAAAATGGTAACGCACCGTTGAAATGATATTTGTCCCCTTCACACCATGGAGAAATCCATCCTTTGTCGCTCCCTTTTCGACATCATAGAACTTGATTTGCTCAATTCCTCCATTGCCAGATGAAATGCTGATCTTGGACACCTTGTTGTGAGGAGTTGAGGAGGGAGATGAAGAAGAGTTTGACGCTGAAGCAAAATGTGCACCGATGGCATCAATAGCAAAACCACCACGTCCATGGAATCCAAGAAGCTTTCCTCCATTTTCACCTTTGAGATTGAATTCTTCTCCACTAGTCTCACCGGATAATGGAGAGGTAAATCCTCTGGAGGTTGTGAAGTATAGAGATGTGATAAGCGTTGTATCGTAGCTAAAAATATGATCGTAGCTTCCACCAACGGCTGTGATATAGTCATTCGGATAATCCACCGAAAACTGTATTTCATTTTCAATTAGAAAGAACGAATTAATAATGAACCAATTGAATATTTACAGAATTCAAAATAAACAAATTTATATATTTTTGAACCTCTTTTAGCTCCCCGCGATTCGTCCCGTGTTCACGGATTTCGAGTTTACCATCTTTTTCGTATTCGATCTTGATATAAGTTATACTGAATTCATCTGCTCCAACGGTTATTTTCTTCACACCATCGAACACACCATCGTCGAACGTGTTACCTTTGATACCACCGAGCGGTCCCACCTTTGTGGTAGCGGGAGTTGGAGCTGGAGTTGGAGTTGGAGTTGGAGTTGGAGTTGGTGCCGGAGTTGGAGTTGGAGCCGGAGCTGGATTTGGAGCTAGAAGAGGGCCAAAATGTGCACCAAGAGCATCAATAGCATCACCGGAGCGACCACAAAACCCGACAAGCTTGAAATCTTTTTCCTCGAACACAAATTTCCTACCAACAGCATTTCCAAAAGCAGGAGAGGTTCTTCCTTTTGATGTCTTAAACCTAAGCGATGTAAGAATGCCATCGATGGTTCCCTCCACTGCCGTAATATGTTCATTAGGATAATCCACCACAAACTGCAACCAAATTTGTTTTTTTACTCAGAATATCTCTGTAAACGCTAGCTCAACATATGGTCCAATAGTAGTTATTAGTGTACTAAAAGTTAGGTGAAATATAATTAAGTGAAATAAAGAAATAATTATATCTAATTTATTTCTTTAGTTCTTCTGCAAAATAATAATAGAGGAATAATAGTTTATTCTAAAATTTGTTTTTTTTTTCATTTTTCTTCTAGTGGATTTAGTTGAGTTATTTTTTTTATACTTTTCAATAAAAATGATGAAACTTTAGAGAAATGCTTAGTTCCACCAATTTTCATTCAACATAAATGGTAAAAATTTAGGGCAATGATTAATTCCACAACTTCGACAAAAAAAAAAGATTAATTCCACCAACTTTTGTTTCACAAAATATATCAGCATACCTCTTGTGGAACCTCCTGTCTCTTCCCATGAGCATGTGGTACCATTGTTTCGCCTTTTGCATACTCAAACCTAACATAACTCACAAACTTACCACCTCGTCCAACGAGTATTTTTCTTACACCATCGTAAGCACCATCGTCCCAAGCACTCCCTCCATTCCCACCTTCACGGTTAAAGAGCTTAAGAGGAGGATTTGGAGCGAAGAAGTAAGCTCCAATGGAATCAAGAGCTTGACCAGAGCGTCCATGGAATCCAAGAAGCCTTCCTCCAGTTTTACCCTCCAGCATGAATTGTTTCCCAGCTGAATCGCCTCCGAGTGTCGAAGAGGTTCTTCCATAGGAGGTTTTGAATATTAGCGACTTGACCAGCACTGATTCATAGTATCTAACATGATCGTAGGTTCCACCAACGGATGTGATATATTCATTCGGGTATTCCACCGCAAACTGGATTTCATTTTTGATTAGAAATAAACAAATTATCAGCTTTTAAGGGCTTGATAAGAACCGACTGAAGAACAACAAAACCACGAATCACGTTATATTATTGTTATTACCTCTTTTAGCTCCCCACGAATCGTCCCGTGCTCACGGGTTTCAGATTTCCCGTCCTTTTCGTATTCGATCTTGATATATGATACACAGCCAAGGTCTTTTCCGACAGTTATTTTCTTCACACCGTCAAAAACACCATCGTCGAATGCTCCTCCCATGTTACCACCCATCGCTCCCACTTTTTCAGTCATTGTTGCCATCTCCTAATTTCAGCAAAACATTAAAAATTGAAACTCTTTTTTTTTTTCAATATCAACTAAGAAACATGAAACAAGAAACGGAATGGTTCTTGGTAAACGAAAATAAGATCTTTTTTTTACTTGACACAAAAGAGAATTAATACCCCTAGTAGATTCTTTTCTATCGATTTTTTTTAAGGTTCCATTATTGGGAAAACTTTTATAAGACAATGCCTATCAGTTTCCTTAATTGTGTTTTTGACATAAGTATATACTTACATACTTCAACACAGGAAAATCATCAGGAAAAATATGAACTTAACAAGATATACGAGAAACGTGTAATAAGAGAGAGAGAGAGAGAAAGAGTAAGAGACCTCAGTGTTACTCTTAGGTAGTTAGGTTGGAAGAGAGCTATGAGTGAGAGTGATATGGGATTTGGATTGTGTGATATTCCCTATTTATTGACACTACTTTTTACTTTTTCATTTTACTTTACACTCTTCACATTTTTAATCATCTCAACACGCAAGTCTAAAACAAGAAAAAATCATCTTGACACGTTATACACCATCGATTATATATCCCATATTTTTCCCTTTTAATTATTGTGACATTTAAAAAAAAAAAATAATTTATCGTGCCATTATTGATTTGCTTTTTTCAATTTCTTTAACTTCGTTGTCATTGAAGGTTGCTTTAGTTCATATGAAAATTTTCTGATTTAAGATCAAGAAAACTATTTTTTTTTTTAACAAAAATCCCCTAGCATTCATTTTTTTTTGTTTTGAATATGTTATTTAGAAAGATCGTAACTATCTTTAAAATAATTATGAAGGGAATTATTATTATCCTACTTAGATAATTTGTTTAATCGATTAATTAAATTCATAATTATTACGAACTGTTATTACGAATCGTTAGTAATTCTTTTAATTGAAAATGCGGAGGAAAGCAACATTCGAGGCGAACCGTTACTTTATGCACGAATAAAGATGTATGGGTCAACCTGATAATGACCCTAGTGTCTGTTTCGTATATATACAAGTTAATCATGCAAAAGGGATTCTTAGAACAAATATCATAACTAATTTTAGATCCAAGTGTGCTGTTTGATCACGTTCTTTTAAGGTCAAAATATGGTGTTAGTTAATTTGTAAAATTTGTTGTTATCTGCTGACTTAGACATACAAGTAAAAAATTTACATGACTTTATAATAAAAAAAATCTTTTAGAGATTCTGAGTTATAATACAAAAATGACCGGTTGAGTTATCGTGACTGATTAATGCGAAAGTATTGTTCAAATTAGCAATAACATGTTAAGACTTCTGCGTTGTTTTTGTTAACAAATGTTGACGTTATAAATACCCCCCCCCCCCCCCCCCCCCCCCCCCCCCCCCCCCCCCCCCCCCCCCCCAAAATATGTTTACATTATCTTAAAAGAGTGTTGGAGTAACTTTGAGATACAAAATGTGTATATCGTGGATTGTCTATGAAATGAAGCTCGGTAGGTCCATAAAGACTAAATGAAAAGATTTGTGAAAAGATTTGAAGATCAAAATGTTATATTAATTAATGTGTTAGATTTAGATTAATAAAGATTACATTATATAGTATTAACAATATGTTAATGCTGATTATTATATATATGTATCTTATTATCTTGCATAATCAACACAAGTAACTTAATAATATATTTTATTCTATTATATTTTATATGGTATCAGAGTTTTCAATTTTAGAAGATCAAAGTTAAAATTCTGTATTAGTAGTTTTGATTTTATTTTTAAGATCAACGAAACAATGATCGTCAAAGAAGATAGTGGTGACGGAGACGATCCATAATGTTTGTGTCCATGTCAAGTTTTTAATTCATAAGTTAATGGATTTTTGGTTATGGTTTTGTTTCCTTCGATCTGTTTTCAAATTAAAAGTTTTGGTTTAAATTTTAATTTTTCATTTGTTTATCACACATATTATTGTCGAGATCTTGGGGTAATTATTAAGTTTTATGGTTTTGGGATTTTTTAATAATATTTTTTTATTTTCTAAGATTAATTTTTATGTCAAGAATTTTTTAGAATTTTTCTATTTCTTTTGGCTTCTTCTGTTATGGGGAGTTTAATTTTAGTTTTTAGGGATTTTATTGGAACGCTCATGTTTTTAGATTATTGTTTAGTCCGATTTCTAGACTGTCCGAAATAAGACAATTATTTATGGAGTTATAGAAGTTTGCACACATGATATGTTATTATTTCCTTTCTTTCTAAGATTAAAGGCAAGCTGAAATTCCATCCCTATGAAGATTGAAGTTTGTATCTGGAAGAGTCATTTGACCGCTTTGTCCGTCCTCGATATGATTGTCCACGACATACGTAATCTGCTTGATGGTTTCGCATACCACGTTTGTCGTGTAGGGAAGTATTGGAGTAACTTGGGACACAAAATATATATCTTATGGACTGTCTATGAAGTGAAGCTCGTAAGCCCATAAAAACTAAATGAAAAGATTTGAAAACCAAAACGTTATATTAAATATATAAGATTTAGATTAGTAAAATTTTACATTATATAATATTAACAATATATTAATATTAATCACTATATATATGTATCTTATTATCTCGTATAATCAATACAAATAACTCAATAATATATTATATTCTATTATAATTTACAAAGGGCAAAGTGTGAATACAATCTGATTTCGCCGGACTATCTTCGATCTGATTGCACCCTTGAGAAACAATTTTGAAAGTATATAAATATATTCCTAATAATCTTTCATTTAGGATTGTTATATACTAAGTATTTTGGCAGTCTCCTTCCATAAATCATTAATGACCATCGGTAGCCACGACAACATGCTGATTGCGTTGAATGTACTGAATGTACGTCGTATATAGAATAAATTATATTAATAGAAGTGATGTGATATATATTTTCTCAACATTTTCAATATTTAGGCAATAATATATGGTCAAGTGTACTATAAGTTTTCACAGCAAAAATTAAGCGTGCCTTTTCTAAAAAGGTAAATTAATAAGAAATATGTTTTTTTCTTACAGTGAAAAATCCTCCGGGCCAATTATTTCTATAATTGTTACAGTTCATTTGACTCACTATTTCTTTTGGTCATCTAGATTATTCTATATTATGTTCTCTAATTATTTGTTTTTATTTTCTTATCCTCTATTTATTTTTTGTCTAAATGACTTTTTTTCGTTTGTATCATGTTTTACTACAAAAAAAGATAAAGGTTGTCAAAAAGAAAAAAGATAAAAAGATAAAGATAATGGTTTTTTCTTTTGGCAAATTTTAACTGTTCAAACTTCAAACGTAGATAGTCCTACGGAATGATATAATGAAAAGATGTTTTATTAATCAATGAATATTGTAAAATATAATTAATCAATATCAGAGATCACCGTAAGATGATCTCATCTGTTGCTCGTCGTCGATTGATGAAGAACCAAGCTTTGACGAAGTCTGATTTCGTGGAGGTGGTCACTAGTTTCTATGTCGTTGTTATTTAAAGCAGCGAGAATATACCTTCTAGGGACTAGGGTTTTCGAAGTTATCGTGTTTTGTTCTTATTGCATAACCTTTTTATTTATAAATTTATTTATATCAACCCTCGTTCAGTAGTTAGTTCTCATGGGATTAGGTTGTCAATCACGCCAAAGTATCAACAGCCGTTCAACTAGATCATTAACTGGTCTCTTTTTAAATTAATTATAAAGTCGATTTCAAAAGTGACCAGCTCTTAAATTTATTTCACCCAACAGTTTCCATTCAGATGAAACCATATTTATTTTTATTTTTAAATTTAAAACGACAGCCTATATATCTTTTAAATTTTGATCGCAAAATAAAAAAAAATAAGGATTCGGCATTCTGATATAGCATCAGAATTTCTGCAAACTTGGTTCAGTGACCACTCTTTCTTTTAATCAAAACCGTTAACCAAACAAATTCGTTTCCTATTTTTTCCAAAGAAAATTATTTCTGTTTGATTCTATTTATTTTAATCAAAATCGTTAACCAAAAAAAAAAACAAAAAAGCAAAAAAAGGATAAAGAGGAAATCTATGTGAAAATGACAGTTGGGCTGTGCCAATGAAGCGGTTACAAATCAGGGTCCTACACATGAACCAGTATGATTTAAACGATAAGATAGAATATAAAAAAGAAACGGATACAATTGATATAAACGTGAGAGAAATGGTCTACAACGACTCCAAGTATTAGATTTTTTCCTTCAACGACAAATATATAATACTTGGAGTCGGAGACAAGCTTAAAAATCCTTTAAACAGCACTTTTCCTTTAACAAAAGAAACAAGACCACATATGTACTCTCTAAAGGAAACATGGTTTTATACATTTTAAACTATGACCTAAAAAAAAAGGAACTCTAAAAATATATTTCCCTGAATCTTGATTACACACATACATAAAATACTGGTGTGTTAGAGAGAAAAAAACACGCACATATTCAACATTTTTTTTTTTTGTCAAACCAACATTTTTCTTTCTAATTATCTAAGAATAGCAATTATTTCTTAAGAAAAAAGGTTTGATCAGTTTTATTAACTTTTTCACACAAATATTTTTGGTAAGATCATGTATAATATTAGGTTTTCCGAAATTTTTAATTAGGGCATCACCAAGAAAGATCTCAAGTTTGAGGTTTGTAGGTTTTGTCTCCATAAGCCAACTTCAAATTCAACTTCATCGTTTTTTAAAAAAATTACCTATTATTCCTTACTATTATTTATAATTAATTAATATCATATACTTTTATAAAAAGCGTAAAACATACATAAAAGAAATAATATAAGCAATGATAATTAAAGTTATAAGAGCATTTTTATAAATAATTATATAATATCACAATATAGTATAATATAATATTACATAAATATAAGAATAATAAAAAGCAAATTAAACATTATATTGTAAAAATAATTATCAACGACATGTAATATTTATTCTATATTAATATATTTTTTATTTAAGCTATTTATTTTATTTTATTTGAAATTTTAAAATTTATAAGGATATATGTAAAATATTTATGGAACAAAGATTTATAAGGTCCAAATGATAAAAAGAAAAAATATTAAGATGTTCTAAATAAAATAACTAATTATAAGAAGTAAAATACAAATAAAAAACATAAAACCTAAAATTTTAAGGTTTTGAGGATGTTTTTGGTGTGCAATTTGCCTTAGGTGTCTTGATATTTTTGCCCTAGGGATCTTGATATCATAGTGCTATTTGCGATCATATATATTTCTTAAAACATAATTTTATTTACAATTTGTTTCTGTATAATATCTAATATAATCCGCATAAAATTACAAAATATACCATCTATGTAAAATAGTCAGTTGAACCATCATGGATGGTTCGATTTATAGATTTTCCATCCTTGACATAGTCGAATTTGATGTATTGAATGCCTTCATGTCCACCTCGTATATAAACCTTTGCTACATGCCTACATCGTCATGATCGGCTCCATCATCCCACAACTTACCACCCGACCCACCAATGGCTTCCAACTTTTGGGCCATTGGGAACCCATTTGAATCATTAAACATAGAACTGAATTAGGTTACTGTGTTTTATCATATCAACATAGTCAATTGCGACTATGACAATAACTTTATTTTTTTTTCAAGCCAAGCATCCACTACAAAAAAAAATTAATATTGTTACAAAAAGTTATAACTAATTGTTTTGTCACAATATTATAATAACAAAATTAATTTGTCATAAAAATATTATTAATTTGTCATAATTTTATGACAAAATCAAAGGTAACAAATTGTTGTTACTAATCTGTGTCGTAATCATTACAAAATATATAGTAATAAATATTGAAACGGGTTTATGACCAAATTTAGTAACTAAACTATACAATTTTGTGACTAAACTTAAATCACTCCCAGTTACAAAAGTTTTGTAAGTATGTCATCACAAGTAGATATCTTTTTACTAACCTACTAGGTGGTTGACCCGCACATGTGTGCGAGTATAATATTTTGATATACATAGTTAAAACATTAGTATGTTTATATATATATATATATATATATTGTTTAAGTATTTCATAACTTTTATTTTTGAAACTAATGTATTTTAAAAACTTTTTATTTTTTATAAAATTTGTAATAATATATAATCAAAAATATAAAATTTATATTAAATAATAATTAAATTATTATAATAGTTTTTGAATATTATTTATAATATTGTTTTATTTTACCTTACACAATCTACAATAATTTTGTACGTCTTACATAATATGAATTTGAAATACGTATTTTAAGTATATATTTTTTTCCATTTATTGCAAATTAAACTGAAATAGTTTTTACCAATTTTACTTATCATAAGAATGGATAGATAGTTGATATGCATGTGTGGGGGTACCAACCACCTCACTACACTTAGAATAGATAAAAAAAAATTAAAATAAATTGTACTATAAATATTAAAATACAAATTAGACTGTAAACAAGCTTAACAAATACTAACATGCACGAAAAAATTCATGTGACTTCTACTAATGCACAATTAATATTTATGTCTGTATGCGTATTTGTAAAAAAGTTGAAATATGGCTCTTACATGTTAAAAAGTTTTTAAGTGACTTTGTAAAACAAAATGCGAGAGATTTATTTTTATACACTTCAATTTTTAATTCTTATTCATATTTATTTCATCTTATTTTAATTTATTATTTTGTTCGGTTATTTTTTTTATTTTATTTACGATCTCAAATTTTTGATATACAATAAAAAAATTACGAATATATATATATATATATATGAATATGATATAATTTTTTTATTTAAAATATGATAAGAGATAAAATGAGATGGTAACATAAGTTATGTATATTTTAGAAAAAAACAATAAAAATGTGATAAAGGTTTTATAAAAATATATGGTCCTATTAATATTATAAAATAACAATTAGTATATACTTTATTCATTTAGTAAATATTGGTTTGAAAAGAAATTTTATTTTAAATTACGTTTTTTAAAAAAATTCAATAAAGGTCAATTATTTTTTTATTATTTTTAACATTTTATTCTTTAAATTATTTTTATCATGATTGTATTTTATTTGAAATTGTATTATTTAATAATTTTTTTATTTAAAACTTGTTTAGATGTTATTACTATATTTTGTAAATTAATAATTTACCAAAATAAAAATATATCATAATTCAAACATTATTAATATATAAAATCTTTACTATTCTATTGGATAATTTAGTATTATTTTTTTCGATTTCATATGAAATATATATATATTTTTTGTTGAAATTTTTTTTTAATTATATTTTATAAAATTATGAATATATGTAAAACATTAAAATCAAAATAATAATTATTTTCTGTTAATTTAAAATTTGTTAATTTTAGTGTTATAAGTATAATATAGTGTTTTTATGTTTTATTTCCACAAGTTTTTTAATTTTAATTTAACCAATCAAAACATTTCATTTATTTTAAGAAGTTTGACATGTCATATTTACATGTCATTAATTAAAAGCACTAACTTTGGCTGTAGTGTTGATAAGTCAGCTATTTTCAATAATATTACTTCGTAAATAATTTGTAGTGGATGCATTTGGTCATTTATTATACCATAGCTGTTATTATTTTGTGACAAAGATTAAAACCACATGTAAATTAGATAAAAAAAAATTAGTTTTAACGTACATTTGATGTTGCAAGAAACAAAAACAATTCATATACATATATCCAAAATTAATTTATGATTATAAGAAAGCTTGGATGAACTCTTTCACTTCCATGGAATGAGATAGAGGGAGAGAGACATGTAGAGCTTAACTACCCAAAATGGAGGAGGAGGATTTCTTCATTCATCAATCACCATATCATATCTTATAGAGTCAAAAATTTGACTACATAAATATCTTCGGCTCTATAAGATTTGCATATTATTGTATATACATTGGCTAGTGGCCCATAAGGCTTATAAATTATGTTTCTCAATTCTTAAGTTACGTGACTTTTTGCGTGAGACGCATACTTGTGATTCCGAATTACGTAATTTATAAGTGTTGACTTTTACATAGAGTAGATTCGTCATTGAGTGATACTTGAACTGAACATTGTATTTTAAACAATGACTTAGATATATTTACGGCAGATTTGTTTACATGTAGAGGTATTCTAATGGTCTTACTCTTACTCTTACACAATTATTTATATATAGGAGGAGATGATGAACCGGAACAATTTTGGCTATAACCGGTAAATAAATTTGCCTGAATGAAAAGGTACCTAAAACATTTTTTTGTTATAAATCAGTAAATTAATGAAAGATTTAATACGTGGATACCTGATAAAAAAATTAGTAGAAATGCTGTTATTGGCAAAGTTTTTTTTACCAAAAAATTAGTAGAAATGCAAAATATACGAACGCGGGTACAACGAGGGCCATAAAGGTTTTTTGGGGGAAAAGATTCGTCCTAAGTATTTTAAACCGTGGGGTAGAATCAATACATCAAACTCTCATGCAACTATATATGCTACTTACAAAAATTTAATATTATTTTCAGTTGTACTAATATAACCAGAATATTAGTAAGTAAAAAAACATAGAATTCCCTCTTAACTTTTTCCACCGTCTAATCATCGGTTAATCCCACCTAAGTTGTCTAGGCGCCCAGTCCATCGCCCGATAACGTGGTCAGCCCTGTTAACACATTAATAGAACCAATACACGCTAATTTTATTACAAAAATTCAACCATATCCGCTACCGACCAAAATGATTAAATTTTCTTTCTTGCCACATAATTAAAACTCTTTAAAACAATTTTAATTTTTTTTTCTGGTAATAATGATATAAAAATTCTTTTATGTGGAAAATATATATATTGAGATAGGCTTGAATAGTCAAACCTTGTGTTATTACATGAGATTTGCGGAATGGAAAACCAACACCAAATTAACAACAGTTGAGACATACAACACGCAGAGTACAGAGTAAAAGATACTACTAGAAAGCATTAAAGCACCATGGTCAAACTTTCCAAAACTCGTCATGACTAGCTAGTTTTTCCATGGAACCCTAAGAATTTATAATCTTCATAATTCTTAATTACGAAGTAACTATCGGTGAGAAATATACTCCCATAGCATCGAAGCCACCCCCATCCCGTCCATGAAACCCAACAATAGCATTACCTTGTCTCTCGAACACGAATTCAGTACCAGACACTAATCCATACGTGGGAGAGATTCTTCCTTTGGATGTTTTGAAACTCAACGACCTAATGACCAAAACGCCATCCTCGGGGATTGTATTGTAGGTACCTTCAACTGTCGTCAAATATTCGTTTGGATAGTCAATCGCAAACTGCAATATATAAATTAGAAATTAGATCTCACCATCAGAAAAAAAAATGAGATCTAATACATATACGATATATTCGAGACAAAATATTTTGATCTAAAATTTATATGTGCGTCAGTATATTCACTACCAATTGGTTTTGAAATAAAAACACATAGGATTTATCATATAGTAAGTAGTTCAAGAGTATATATATATGGAAGAACAAAGTTAACATAGAGTTGAGGAATAGTACCTCCTTTGTCTCTCCATCCTTGCTACCGTGATAAGATGTTACCACTTGGCCATCTTTGTCATAATCGGTGCTGATACTCCTAATAAGATAGTTAGTATAAGTAACATACATTTTTCTTACACCGTCATAATAAGGACCATCGTCCCAATATACACCTCCATATAAACCACCGACGAGTTCCGATTTAGTAGGAGGAGCCATTGTTACATATGCTCCAAGGGAGTTTAGGAATTTTCCTGAAAATCCATGTAAACCAATGATAATCTTGCCATTGACTTCAAGTGAAAACTTCGTACCCTTTGGGTATCCAATTAATTCAAAAGTCTTCAGGTTGGTTTTAAATTGAAGGGCTTGCATCACACCGGTCTTGTCATCGTAGTAACCATCAACAGACACAATGTGTTCATAATTGGATTGGTCAATCTCTAACTGCAAAAAAAAAAAAGATTTCTATTAACAAAGATTTCAAAATCATGGAATTTCGGTCACATTTAAATTTACATTACTATATTTGACTCTATCTACTTTTATCAGAGTATTTAAAAAAACTGTGAAAACATGGATATTTTGGTTATAGAGTACAAGTATTTGGTAAATTTACTAGTTGGTTTCTAGTAAAAATATTAGTTGTTAAATTTTACATTACTGATAACTGTAGTTAATTATAATTAGTTAGTTACTTAATTATACGATAATTTCTCCAAAAAATGATTTTTTTTTCTCTAGCTATAAAGATCCACATGAAACATACAGTATGTGTGAAACCGTCACCCGAAACACCATGGACTGATCCATCTATGGATTGGCCATCCTTGACATAATCCAATTTGATGTAATGAATTCCTTCACGACCACCTCGTATATAAACCTTTGTTATATAGTCATGGTCAGCTCCATCATCCCACTGTTTACCCCCTTTCCCACCAATTGCTTCCAGCTTTTGGGCCATTGCTAGCTCATTGGAATCTTCATATATTGAAGGTGCAATGCGTTATTATATAATTTATATGTTGAGAGTTAAAAAAAAATATGTTTCGTGCCAAGCATCAATCTCATCAGAATAATACTTATGGTAAGAAAATAACTAACAGAATGAATTAAAAGTTAAATCCAAGTGAAGATAAATAAATCGTTTCGCATTTTTATTTGATGGCTTGTTTTTACATAATGTGAAAGATAAAAGTGTTTATTTTAGACAAGAATGGAGGGCTTGATCTGTAGTGAACTGGTTGGAAAAATAAAAACGAGCTAGAGAGGGAGAAAAAGAAAAACTAGAGAGAAGTACCTATAATGGCTGAAGAGAGAAATAGGAAAACATAGATGATAAACATGATTGTTGTGTTATGGGTACCGGATGGATACATAAGCTGGGGATAAAGATGCTATTTATAGACACAGTTTTGGCTCTTTCACATATGCAAATTACTAGTGGCCTCTGAGGCACAAATAGAATATAATTAATGTTTCTCAGTTCTCAAGTCTTTATTATTAAATATTTTGTTGCACAGACTAATCTTTATAGGATTTCATTTGATTTTAAAAGTGCTTTATATATATATATGTGTGAAACCACTAAATTATTCTTATGAGTTTATTTTACTGGTTTTTTTTAACACTAACAGTTTTTTTTTTGAGAAAATTTGGGAAAATACCTTTAAAAGAAATTTTATTTAAAAACTACACCATTCTTTTTCTTTTATAAAACAATACACTTAATTATAAGTAAAATGACTAAATTAACTTAAATATGAGTTTACAGTAATTTTATATTTAAATTAGAAATTATATTTAACAATTTCATTTAATTAAAAAAATAAAGACGTTATATAAGTTATCACGTGCTTAATGTCTTCCTCCTAGCTTATCTTAGTTTCAAGGTAGCCGTTCTGCATCTATGATTTAAAATTTGTTTTGTTAAAGCATATATGAAATCATTTAAGAAATTTTGATTTCAAAATAGCAAATAGCAATTTAGGTCTCGAAATAGACAAATTTCTCGTAAAGCTCTAAGCTAAGCAGTCGCTTATGCGGCTTATGCCAAGGACCAGCCCTAACTACGTTCGATTATGAAATAACTGAATTTGAGAAAATATAAATATATTGTTTTATATATATATATATATATATATATATATATATATAGGATATCAGAAATTGAAAAGAAGTTCAAAATACGTATGCTGAAAGAATTTTAGTTCAAAAACAGTTTAATGACAAGTATGATGAAAGGTTTTTTTTAGCAAACTCTGTTTATATAATAAAACTGATACAATTGATTTTTTCTTAAAGACATTTTAAAAATATTTAAAGATTTTTTTAATATAATCATAAAATATTAATGAATGAAAATATCTTTATCTTAAAATTTTCGCAATATTAATAATTTTGATTTTTTCAAAAAATAGAAAAATAGTGTACTTTTCAAATACTAAAATCCTAAATTTATTTTACTGGTTATCAGCTAATGATTACCATTAAGATAACAAAGACTATATGAATTTTTTTCTGTCAACAGACTATGAACTTTTTTTGTCAACAGACTATATATACTTTGATTTATTTTCATTTTTATCATTGACCAATCAACCATAAAATCGATTGATTAAATAATAATTCACAGATTATCGTCCTTCATTTAAGACCCATTGTAATCTATACAAATAATTTTCGTAGTTATAAAGTTTATTATTAATTTTGAAATCAGCATTGGTTTCCTTTTGACATTTTCTACAAGTAAATCACATTGTCTAGTGGTGATTAGGATTTAGAGATGAATGAACTTAGATCTTTAATTCTTCATCACAAAAAAATCGATTGTTCTTTTATTTGATGGTTTAAGAAGTTTGACTCTTTAAGAAGTTTTCTTAAGCCACACAGGATCCGATAATTTGGTCAATACATCTTCTCTCATACTTAAAGTGTTTTTAATGACAAGATCACTCAAAAACTTATACTATATCTTAATTGATTCATGATTACGAAAGATATAGTGAAAACCTACTTGTAATTAATAAAGGGAAATTACTTAGAATGACTCAAATTTATTAATTTAATCTCAGATCTGGTTCATGAATATATACTTTTGACTTTGGAGCATATAATTTGTTACCCACTTTTCCTGCCTTCTTCATGTGTTCAAAAACAATTATAAGACTGAAGTGCCTTAAGAGCATCGCTTCTTTGGGTTTGAGTTCACAATAATGTGAATTGTATGTTACATCACCTTTTTTTTTAAAGGTCAACTTTAATATATAATTAGTCCTTTTAGTAAACCCAAAATTTCAGTTTAATATTTTTTGACAATGGAATCTAAATGAGTTTCTTCTTGTTAAATTGTATAAGTGCTTCCAGTTTTTAACATTTGGAATTGTTATCGATTGTTCTTTTAACGATGATTTTTTAATTTTTGGAAATTTTAAAATTTTAAGAGCCTGTTTATTTCTCCATAAACTATCTCGATGATAATAAGAATTTTGTTTGTTTTATGATAAAATGTGAACAACAGATAGATGAATCATTCGAATGAGTTTTAAAAATTTAGACAAATTTGTTAAATTCATTTCGATGGATCAAATTGGATTGATCATTTGAATAGAGATGATTCAGTCCAAAATAATAAATTTATAAGATACCCTTACGCAAATAAAATATTTAGATATAAAGTGTAAATTATTAAAAGAGTATGACCTAAATGATATAATTTATAATTATTCCATAAAATAAAAATTACAAATCGTATTTTCTGTCGAATAACAAAAACGGATTTTCGTGCTAAAATCACAAACCATATATTTTGTCAAAAATGTATTTTCCCGTCAAAACTGTAAAATCGTGGTTTTCCGCTAAAGCCATAAAATTGCATTTTTTCCGTCAAAACCGTAAAATCGTGGTTTCTCGCTAAAACCGTAAAATCGCTTTCTCCTGCCAAAATCATAAAATCACTTTATCCTGCCGAAATCGTGTTTTTCAACGAAAATCATAAAATTGCAATTTCCCAACAAAATTGTAAAATTGCATTTTCCCACCAAAACCGTAAAATCGTATCACCTATAAAAACCGCAAAATCGTTTTCCAGCCAAAATCGTGAAATTACGTTTTTATACTAAAACTGTAAATTTTATATCAAATTAAAATTAAAATGATTAAATTAAAAATGTCAAAAAATATAATGGTTATGATGAGTAACATTGGATCTTGGTTTACAATTTTACATTTTTTGGATATGGTTAAGTAAAGCTAATTTATAAAGTAAATTTGAATCTTAATTTATAAATTTCTGTAACTAATAAATGTATAATGTCAAAAATATTAATTGGAAAATTGTTTGGTTAATAAATATACTTTAGATGAATATTTAATATTAGTATAGTTAAGATGAAGAATAATAAAAAAATAGATGAAAGCATGGATAATTCAGTCATATTTTTTATTAAAATCATCTAGATAGAAATGTAAACTAGCGAAACAAACACATTTACATTGAGATGAATCATACAGATGAATAGTAATGAATAGTTAAAAATAAACAAACAACATCTTGATGGATCATGTGGATAAAACATCTTTATGAATCATCTAAATGGAGATGACAAATGATCAGCCGAATAGTGTCTTGTATGTTTATTTTGTTTTCCTATTTCTCACAGTTTGAAAGTTTAATTTCTCTAACTTTGGTATCAGAAAACAAGTCTTTTATTTTAACTACAGATGATACATTCACACAATTTTAGGTAAAAAAGAATATATATATATATATGTTGAATATATATTTATATTACTTATTTGTCTTTCAATTTTCATATGAGAAATTTATAAATTGTATCTACCGAGAAATGCCAGTTAGTCAACCGAAAGGAGAGATACGGTTTTGGAGATGATGATTCTTAACAAAAGCTCCTCCTGATATTGGCTTAGTAGGGGGAGGTTCTATTAAGTATGCTCCAATGGAATTCAGTGATTTCCTAACAGAGATAGGCAGACCCGCCCCTAAGCCCAAGCAGAGCAAGCTCATGCTTCCAATCCTATTTTTACTAACAAAATTTTGGTCCTCAATTACAAAAATCTACCGTGGTTAGTATTACTATATTTCATCGCTACCTAGTAGAGTTCGACCCCCCAAATGGTTAGTTTTTTTTTGTCTTTTTCCTTTTGATATATTTTTTTATTTATCTAAAACAATCTCTTTTTTTCGGGTTTGCGGCCTTAGACATTCCAAGACCGGCTTTGGAGACAGGGAAGGCAATGATCATTTTGCCATTGACTCCACCAAGTGAAAACTTAGTATTACCCTTTGGATATCCAGTTACTTCATTAATCTTGAAGTTGGTTTTGAATTCAAGTGCTTGTAATAACACCAATTTTTTCGTATTAACCAACAAAAGGTACAATATATTCATTTTTCAGAAGAATAATCTCAAATTGCAAACAAAAATTAAAGGGTGAAGACACCGATCTTTTAAAAACAGCAAACAAAAAGGGTGATCTTCATTTATCAAATATTATCTAGCTAATAGGGTAAACATTTGTCTTTTTATTATCTGAAAAGTTAAAATAGAACCCTTATTTTATTATTACAAGCGATGCTTGAAAAGAAAAAGAAAGAAACGCAAACAGACAACAGAGGAGAGACTAATACAGATTCATATATGAAAGCAGCATAACCGAACTTGATCTGAGGATAGTTAATTCGGTAAGCTATATAAGATCACTCGGTGATGGGAACGACATGGACCCCAATCTTATGAAGCACAGTACCGGATTTTCCATGGAACCCAGTGATTTTGTGACCTTCCTTCTGGAGGACGAAGTTGAAAGCAGATTCAAGTCCAAATGGTTGAGAAGTGCGTTTGTTTGTCTTGAACTTAAGCATGGTTATTACTCCAGTTTCAGCTCCCATTACCTTATCGTAGCAAGCCTCCACCGATATGATGTATTCACTCGGATAATCTAGCTCGAACTATGCAGTGCAAGAGAAATTATTAGCAATCACACGTTTAAAAGTGTAACATCAAGAAATTTATCGATAGTATAAGTATTAGGAATCATCACCTCTTCGTATCCAAGCAGTGTCTTAGTTCCATGTTCATCTCCCACAACCACCTCACTAGCGTCGTTCTCGTACTCAAACTTAACGGAGACGATACCAACATCTCCTTGTCCTATGTATATCTTCTTCACATTCAAGAAAGCACCATCATCCCAAGAATCTCCTCCATCCCCGCCTTGTCCCTCTAGTTTCTCTGGAGGAGGAGAAGGAGGCAACGGAGTGTAATATGCCCCGATACTATCAACACAAGAACCTACCCGTCCATGGAACCCAACAATAGCATTGCCTTGGCTCTCCAGCACGAACTTGGTACCAACCACTGTTCCAATTACTGAGGTTCTTCCTTTTGATGTTTTGAAAGTTAACGACCTAAGGACAATACATCCATAAGGACTGGTAACTGCGTAGCTTCCTTCCACAGATGTGATATATTCATAGGGATAGTTGACGGCAAACTGTAATAATAACATAACAATTAAAAAAAGGTTTAGTATATTTGGATATATACTAACAACATGTAGATGCTGAATCTGAAAGCAATATATAGAACTTTTTATATATTGATTAGAGTTCCACGTTCAAACAAATTAGGATATATATATATATATATATATATCAATAGTAGATCAATAATTTAATTAGGTCTCTAGGAATTAGGATAACCTCATGTTGTGTTCCGATCTTGACCCCGTGCTCATGGGTTTCCACTTGACCGGCTTTGTCAAAGTCGACCCTCAAATGCCTTATTGCAGTGCCATCAAATGTAACGTACACTTTTTTTATGCCATCATAGTCACCACCATGGTCATAACCTTTGCCTGTATTCTGACCACCTTGCATTGCCGATTTGGTAGAAGGAATCTTGATGAAATATGCTCCAAGAGAGTTGACATTCTTGTCAGCAAATCCATGAAACCCAATGATCCTGCTTCTGGTGGCTCTTACTGAAAACTTAGTACCATCGTTGAACCCCATCAAATCAGAAGTCTTCTGGTTAGTTTTGAATTGGATTGATTGAATCACACCGGTGGATTTCTCGTAATAACCCTCGACAGATAACAGATATTCTTTTCCCGAATAGTTAATTTCAAACTGCGTAAGAAAAAAAGAAATAAATAAGGGACACCATGGATTGGTCCTGTGACGCCAATAATATTGGATGTATAAATATATCAAGTTAAGACACATCACACACCGTTTGTGTCAAACCACGACCAGAGACACCATGGACTGGTCCTGCAATAGTTTTTCCATCCTTGACATAGTCAAATTTGATGAATTGAATTCCTTCATTACCACCTCGTACATGTATCTTTGTCACACCTTCATAATCGAATCCATCATCCCATTGAGTCCCTCCATTTCCACCTTTAGCTTCCACCTTTAAGGCCATCGTGTAGCTATTCGAATCTGGAGATTTTATTTCTTAGTCATTCATTAATTTGAATCATTACCCGTACTAGAGGAAAAAAATGCAAAATCATTTGTAGAAACAGAGTAAGCACCTGTTTATTGGGTTAAAAGTAAACAGCTTTAACTACTATACTTATAAGTTATAACCACACAAATTTGGATAGATATGCCTTCTACAATTTTAAAAAAGTTTCAGCTACGCTTTATAGGTTATATATGTTTATATAATTTAGAGACAGAGGGAAATATTACCTCTTAATGCTGGAGTAGAGAGAGAGCTGAAGAACCAATGTGGAGTGATGATGTATATAAGCGGATAGTGAAGGTGCCTTTATACACCGGTTTATATTATTTTTTAATTATCTAGAGATGGATTTTTAAATATAACTCGTGGTCCGCTAAGCTAGTACAATAATAAAATTTGACGCCATATAATTGAATTTAATAATCTTTACCTTTCGCACACGAAAATATAAAATCGTAACTTATCATTTTTTTTTTGTTCCTCGTGGTTAGACTAATTATGAATCACATTCAACTAGTCATTTTTTTTTGATCGGATTCAACTAGTCATTTTTTATCCCAATCTGCGAGGCTATATACACAATAATCATAACTTATCATTTTCTTATTTGCTCGTGGTTAACGGACGGTGCCATAATTGCAACTTCGAATAGATAATCTTCTTCCCATATTTTATTTGTCTCAACTTGATGTGAATAACAGTTAGAAATTCAAAGTTCGTGGATCTCAAGGTTTTATATAATACAGGTTTTGATAAGACTAGTAGAGATTAATGGATATAATAGTTATGTAACGCATGTTGAATGTCTCTTCGAGCTTTCGTGTTTTTTAATCCGATCTGACTTTTGATACATCATCATTCATGTGCTTAAAATTAGATCCATCATTAAGTGACTATACATAAAACTGATAAATAACATACTTGTGTTAGTGTTTCACTGTTTTGTTATTCGCTGATCACTTATATAACCTTTTTTTAATAAAAAGATCACTTATATAACTTGAGGTCTTCTTATATGAGAATATAGATCCAATATATACTAGATGAAATTTCGTGCATATATATTGTGTAAAATAAAAACTACTAACAAAACGAAGAAAGTAAACAAATTAGACAGTGATATAGAAACAGACAAAAATTATATATAAAAATAGTATATTTTATTTATTAATTTTAAGGAAAAATCACTAAAAATGTTCACTATATCTAACTAAGAGTTCACCATTAAAAACAGAGGTTTTACTTTATTATATAAAATTGGATACATCAAACACGTGTCAATTTTTTTGATTAAAAATTTAACACATGTCAAAATTAAAACAAAAATAAAATAGAAATTTAAAAAATATTCTTAATCCTACTTTTTAATGTTCAAAATTTTCTAATTTTGGTTTTACTTTTTTTATGTTCAGTTTCTTTTTAATACATTATGTAAGAGTTAATATAAACTAGGTGTTTTCCCGCATAAGGTGCAGAGTTCGATTAATTTTTTTAAAAAATAATAACATTAGTTTATTTATAGATGAAAAAATAAGATTTTATAATTATTTGAAATCAAAATTAATATATTTGAAAAATAAAATTTTCATGAGATATAATGTTTTTTTGGCCACATAAATCAATTTTCATAAGATTTAGAGTTTTACTTGTGACCGTATAAATCAATTAGGTTAATCAAAAATATTAGTAGGTTAAGAGATCAAATAAATATTAGTTTAAGAAAATAATTAGAATTGATTTTTGTGATTTATGCTAATTATCTTTTTTAGTAAACTGAATATTCTTATGATATAAACTCGAATTTAAAAGTTTAGGTTTAAATAAATCAAAAATTAAAAATTAGATTATATTAATATGTTAATTTTATTAAGGGTAAATAAAGTCTTTTCATATAAATGGCAAATAGTAATCAACCATCATAACTTTCAATCACAACCCAACTTGCTTGCCAATTAATAATATGATTAGTGTATATATGATTGAAATGTATGTGAGTTAATTAATCAAATTTTATTCCATGTACCAAAAGTTTTAATTAAAAAAAAAGTTGAATATAAATACATATATATAAATATAAGTAAAGTTATTTATTTTTTATAATCAATTTATTGTTTACAAATTTTAAAATAATTTCCAAATTTGTGTATACAGTCGTAGTTATAATCATGAATTTAAAGTCTATTAAACCAACTTATTAACTCACCGAACGTGGAATTTGGATGTCTTTTTTTTATTTTTGTGTTTTTATTTTTATTTTTATTTTTTGGTGATGTTTGGTAGAACGTTGAATATTTTTAGGAAGAATCAACGCAACAATAACACTAAAGTATCTTCATGGCTTGACACATCAGCTTTTTGAAGCTTTATAAACATGACACTTCAACAAAAATAATCACCAATCAAAATATTTTATTAATACATCTCATCTACTTATTTTAATTTTTAAACTTAAATCTATTAAAAATCCAAATATTTTTTCTATTAATTTTTGTTTTATTTTTTACCAAACCCAAGCTCAAATAATTAATAACAGCAATTAAAAAAATTAAATCATTGTTTTCTTTTTTTTTCCAAAACCAAATCCAAATAATAAATAATAACAAATAAATAATAAAAAAATTCTAGTTATCTGTTTGTTTGACATAGACGTATATGATTGAAAAAGTGTAACTCAGCATCAACTATGCTTCCATGACAACAACGCAAAAAGCTTTAGGTTATAAGAAGCTCACACATCAGCAAAAATTTGAACCGATAAAAACATAACAATTTCTTAGTTTTCACAGGAAAACATAATTTTACGGGAGATAATGCAATTTTTAGTTTTTGCGGGAAATTGTAGTTTATTTGTTTTTGTAGAAAAGCGTGATTCTGGGCTTGACGAGAAAATGATTTTTTTTTTTTTTTGCGGGAAAATACAACTTTTTTTGGTTTTTTGCAGGAAGATGAAATTTTTTGGTTTTTGTAAAAAAACGTAATTTCTCGGCTTTGGTGGAAACACACAGTTTCTCGCGGGAAAATGAAATTTTAGGTTTTAGGTTTGACGAGAAAATGAATTTTTTGGTTTTGGCAAAAATAGGCGATTTCTCAGATTAATGGAAAAATGAAGTTTTTTTGTTCTGACGGGAAATGCGATTTCTCGATTTTTGTAAGAAGATGAAATTTCTCTGTGCTAAATTTCCAAGTTAAACTATATTTATAGTAACCAAAATTTAACTATTTAACTTTAACTAAAACGATATTTTAAAAGTTTAGACATAATTTTTTATTTAGTTCTAAAGCAATATCAATAGTTTTAATATGAATGTTATTGATTATAGTTTGATAGTTTTAGAAACATATGTTTATAATAAAATATTTGATAAATAAATAAATTTTATAATTCAAAATAATTATATTAATTAATAAATCTTTTTTTAAATGACATTTTTCTATTATATAATTACAAAGGAGGATCGAGTGGCAATTCATTAGAGAAAATATATTATATTTGGCATTAGCATGAAGATACTAAAAAAGTATTGCTTTATTCTTAAATATTTTATTCTTATATATACATTTATAATTAGTTAGCTAACTAAATTTAATAGCAAATTATAATTTTGAAAAATAAAAAAAAATAAAAAAATATATAATGTTTATTCAGATTTAAAAAATATAAATACATAACTTAAGCTAATAAAAAAATAAATATAACACTTATTTATATTATAAAAATAATTTTATTATATTAAAAATATATACAAAATTTAGAAAAATATGTCATAGCACGGGTAAATACTTAGTTGTTTTAATAATTTATTGAAAAATGACTGATTCAGCGTAACGTTTTAACTCTCACCTTTATCCGTTGAAAACTTGAGGTCTTACCATAGGCCATGCAATGCCTTAATCATTAATAATGATTGTGTCAGGCCTTTGAATCGAATTGCAGAGATTACCACTCAGATGATTAATTGATTCATCACTGTAATGAGTGGCCTAGATGTCTACGTAATTCTTTTGCGTTTGTTGGATGGATCCACAGCAACCCCAAATCTGGGCTAAGCATAAATAGTTGGGCTAAAATTAATCTGGCCAAGTTCAATTGCAATGGAAGTATAATGTCGCTCAATCAAAAAGGAAATTTGCGATTCCTTGTAAGGTCGGTTAGGTTTGCTATTGTTTAAGGAGAGGCAGCGTAACAAGGAACAACAAAATAGAGAAAAGAAAATCCAAAAGAGAAACTGATAGAAGTTCGAATCTTGTTAGTGGTGTGCTGTGATTCAAGTCGTTTTCTTCTTCTTTTAATCTTAGTATGTGATTTGTACATGACAAGGAAAGAAAACATTGGTTTAAGCGTTTGTGTAAACTTTTTTTTATTCATAGTTCCACCTGAAATGTACCCAAAATAGAGGAACTCGACGAATTAATTGTATCTATAAAAACATTCATTCATCTAAAGAAGGAAACTTTATATTAATTTTATTATTTGAAAAGTTGAAACAGGTTGAGGATTACCTGCTTTTATTACACACGATGCATAAAGAAAAAAAGAAAAGAAAAAGAAAAACATGCAAGCAACAACAGATTCATAACCGAACTTGGTCTGAGGATTGATCATTCGACAGTGAAGCTAGCTAGCTAGCTAGTTATGGATGGTCACTGGGTGATGGAATCACATGGACCCCAATCTTGTGAAGCACGGTACCGGATTTTCCATGGAAACCAGTGATTTTGTAACCTTCCTTCTGAAGGACGAAACTGGAAGCAGATTCAAGTCCAAATGGTCGAGAGATGCGTTTGTTTGTCTTGAACTTAAGCATGGTTATAACTCCAGTTTCAGCTCCCATAACCTTATCGTACCAAGCCTCCACCGATATGATGTATTCACTCGGATAATTAAGCTCGAACTATGCAGTGCAAGAGAAATTATTAGCAATATCACATGTAGAAGTGTAACACCAAGAAATTTATCGATAGTATAGTCATACAAACAAAAAGTACAGAAGTATAATGATCACCTCTTCGTATCCAAGCAATGTCTTAGTTCCATGTTCATCTCCCACAACCACCTCACTAGCGTTGTTCTCGTACTCAAACTTAACGGAGACGATACCAACATCTCCTTGTCCTATGTATATCTTCTTCACATTCAAGAAAGCACCATCATCCCAAGAATCTCCTCCATCCCCACCTTGTCCCTCTAGTTTCTCTGGAGGAGGAGGAGGCAACGGAGTGTTGTAATATGCCCCGATACTATTAATACAAGAACCTACCCGTCCATGGAACCCAACAATAGCATTGCCTTGGCTCTCCAACACGAACTTGGTACCAACCGCTTCCAATTATTCCAGAGGTTCTTCCATTTGATGTTTTGAAAGTTAACGAGGTAACGACATCACACTTATATTTTGGGCTCACTCCGTAGCTTCCTTCCACAGATGTGATATATTCATAGGGATAATCGACGACAAACTATAGTAAGAACAATTAAAAAGATTTAGTAAATTAACCATATATAGATAAATCCGAACTAATTAAAAATATCATACACCAATATTTAACTAAAGCTTTAGGAATTAGGATAACCTCATGTGGTGTTTGGACCTTGTCCCCGTGCTCATGGGTTTCCAGCTTACCGGCTTTGTCATAGTCGACCCTGATATGCCTGATTTGAGTGCCATCAAATGTAACATACACTTTTCTTATACCATCATAGTCACCACCATGATCATAAGCTATGCCTGTCGTCTGACCACCTTGCATTGCCGATTTGGTTAAAGGATTCTTGATGAAATATGCTCCAAGAGAGTTGAGATTCTTGTCAGCAAATCCATGAAACCCAACGATCCTGCTCCTGGCGGCTCTTAGTAAAAACTTAGCACCATCGTTGAACCCCATCGTATGAGAAGTTTTCTTGTTAGTTATGAATTTGATTGATTGAACCACACCCGTGGATGTCATAATAACCCTCAACAAATAACAAATATTCATCTTCTGAATGGTTAATTTCAAACTGCATAAGATAAAATTAAAAAAGATTATGTATTATTATGTCAAATATAGATTTTTTAAATGAAAATTGTAGAAACATATTTTTTTAATGAATATTTTGTCAGTGTTATTTTTCTAGCTATTTTCTCATTGCAAATTAATGGCAAACTAGTGACAGACTAATTTATTATATAATTAAAACTAAATACAAATTAATAGTAGACTAAATGTAAATCAATAGCAAGCTAATATAGCTGTAAAACATTTTTTACGATTTTTTTATGAAGGGTTCACTTTTTACATTGAAATTGTCCAACAAACTATTTAAATAAATGATCCACATTACATACCAATTGTGTCAAACCACGACCCGAGACGCCATGGATGGGTCCATCAACCGTTTTTCCAGCCTTGGCATAGTCAAATTTGATGAACTGAATGCCTTCATTACCACCTTGTACATGTATCTTTGTAACACCTTCATAATCGAATCCATCATCCCATTGAGTCCCTCCATTTCCACCTTTGGCTTCCACCTTTACGCCATCGTGTAGCTATCCGAATCTAGAGATTTTTATTTCTTAGTCATTAATTAATTTGAATCATTATCTCCCAGAGGAAAAAAAATGCAATATCATTTGTAGAAACAATGTAAACAACTGTGTTCTTGGGTTAAAAAGTAAATAGATTTAACTACTACATATAAGTTACAATCACAAAAAAATTGGATTGATATCTTACCTTTTACAATTTTAAAAAATTTTAGTTTTTTTTTTAAACTATTTTTTGCATTAAAATAGATGAAGCAAAGGTATCCATAAGATTACAACGAATAACTCTAAAAAACTAAAGCCCAAACCAGAAAAGACCCCAATAAAACCCATTTGTGAGATTTGCACTAACCAATGATAAAGAGAAATGAGGAGCCGTAGCCCAACAAAAGGATCCCAAAACGATGAGCAGAAGGTGACGAAAAGATAATCAAACGAAATCAGAAGAGGGGACGATAAGAGAGCGACGTCATGTTGGTTCAATCCCAAATTCCAAACCAGAACAGCGCCGAAATCAAACCAAGCTTGAAGCAGCTACAACGAAAAATATAGCTGAAGAGTTTCACTGCTAAGCAGTTGTTTTGAGCTCGAAAAGCAGATATGCGATTTCGGATAGTTGTGCCAATCCATTTGAGAAGAGAGTCTGGAGATCGATGGGCAGAACGATGGAGCCTGTTATTCCTCTCTCTCTCCAAATCTCATAAATGCAAGCGAGGATGGTCAGATATTTCAGAAGCCTTGGTGTCTGGAGAGCTAAAAGACCATCAAGTATAGAGTTCCATGAAGGAGAAGCCGAGAAGTGAAACTTTGCTGCCAGAGTTAACCAAATGGCTCTGGAGTAGCTGCATTCAAAGAATAAGTGATTTCTGCTTTCTGGTGAGAGATTGCATAGGAGGCATTGAGGATCCGTTTGAAGACCCCAAGATAAGAGTCGGTCTCTTGTGGGACAACGATTTAACAAAACCAACCAGGCCAGTGATTTATGCTTTGGAATGCCTCGTTTAAGCCAAATAAGCTTATACCAAGGAACTGTGACATGGCTTTCTATAATAAGTTCATAAACCTGACTTGAAGAGAATGAGCTTTTAGTAACCCCATTGATTATCCATTGCAGAGACTCATCTGTATCAGATAAGGAGACTGTTATCAAATGGCAGAAAAGCTCCTCAAGCCGAGAAGACCTTGCTGGAGGAAGCACCCTGTGCCCATCGCTCCACAGAGAAGCTACAGAAGCGTCTAGGGGAATACCAGTAAGTCGAGGCCCATGATTCCCAATAAAATGATGGAGCAATCCAAAAGGAGTCCAAGGATGCAACCAGAATTTTGTTTTCAACCCATTGCCCGGTAACACTCGTACCCAAGGAATAATTACATCTCTTAATCTTAATAATTGCTTGAAGACCCAAGTGTGATGTTGCTTCTCTTTCAAATCCCAGATTGAGCTATCTTTGATGACATTCTGATGGATCCAGGCAACCTATATTGACTCCGTTCTAAATAAAAGCAGCCACAGAAGCTTCAGAGAACAGGTACGGTTCCAAATGGTTAAATTCTTAATCCCGAGACCTCCCTCCTCTTTTGGACAAGTCACTGTCTCCCAAGAAACTTTAGCAGTGTAGTTACCTTCTAGAGAGCCTTTCCAAAGGAATGCATTACACATAGAGTCTATTTTTCTGATGCATTCTTTGGGAAGAACGAAAGCACTAGACCAAAAGTTTGTGATCCCTAAAATCAATGTGTTTATAAGAACTTGTCTGCCCGCAAAAGATAGATATTTTGAAGTCCAGCAATTTATCTTTTTCCTTATGCTTTGCAGGAGGGGCTCACAGTCGGTCATGGTCAGCTTTTTGGAACTAAGAGGAAGACCGATATAATGAATAGGAAGGCACCCTTGAGGGATACCAGAGAGAGCTTTGATGCTTGTAACCGCAGCCACAGAGAGCCCACAAGAGAAAAAAAACATGATTTTTCAGGGCTAATAGCAAGGCCAGAGAGCTGGTGAAAGTCAGATAGAACCTGGAGAATTCCTTGAATAGATGTAGGAGAGCCATCCGAAAAGATAAGTAAATCATCAGCAAAGCAAAGGTGAGTCAATTTAGAGTCCTTGCATTTAGGGTGATAACCAATAGATCCATTTGCTGCTGCATCATTTAGCATTTGAGAGAGGATGTTCATAGCCAGGCTAAATAGATAGGGAGACAGCGGGTCGCCTTGCCTTAGCCCTCTAGTCCCACGAAAATACCCATGCATTAATCCCTACTGAGAAAGCAGTTGTAGTCAAGCATTGCCTTAACCAATCTATGTAAGTGGGAGGTAGATTGATAGCCTTTAGACAATCCAACATAAAGTCCCAGCTAATAGAGTCAAACACCTTAGCGATATCAATCTTAAGAGTTACTCATGAAGCACCTTTGTTCTTATGATAACCGTTTACAATCTCTGAGGCAAGCATGCAATTCTCTAACAACAATCTTCCTTTTATGAAAGCAGTTTGATTGGGAAGGATTAACCATGGCAAGAGAGGTTTCAGCCTCGAGACGAGGAGCTTAGAAACCACTTTGTATAAAGTGTTGCAGCAAGATATCAGACGGTAGTCCTTGATAATGGTAGCACCTGGGAACTTTGGAAGCAGGGTCAGAATTGTAGAGTTTACTGAAACCGGTAAGAAAGCCTCTTTGAAAAACCGTGATATAGCATTTATAATTTCATCACCAATTACTAACCAAGCGGATTTGTAGAAACCTGAAGTAAGCCCGTCAGGGCCAGGGCTTTTGTTCAGATTAAGCTTGAGCAATGTTTTTTTGGATTTCCTTAGGAGAAGGAATGCGGGAAAGGCTGATGGCTTCAGCCGCAGAGCAAGATTGACGAGTAAGAGAAGAGATTTCTATCAGGTTTGAGTCCCTTAAGTATACTGTTGGACCAAGAATGTTCTTGAAGTGTGTCACTGCAAGATGGCCAATTGCATCGGCTGAATCTACTTCCATTCCAGAAAGGCTTGTCAAGGTATGGATTGAATTAAAAGCATTACGAGCTTTTGAAACCTTGTGATAAAAGGGAGTGTTCTGATCCCCAACCTGGAGCCAGTTTATCCTTGATTTTTGTTTAAAGAACTCTTCTTCAATCCTTTCTAGGAGGGCTAGATTGTCGGAGCAATTCCTCTCGGCCACAAAATTAGCAGGAGACGGATCTTGTAGAGATAAAATCTGAGAAGAATTGAGAAGCTCTCTAGCTTGAAGAATGCGCTTTTGAATTTCTGAGTAGTTATCTCTATTTAATGTCCTTAGAGCCACTCTGAGATGCTTCTGCTTCACTGATATATCATGGTTTTTATGGTTTTTAACCATGATATAAGTCCTTTTTATTGAATCTTTTTGGTCTTTTTAGAGTCCTAGAAGAGTCTTTGCAGGTTATAGCATGTCTGGAGCATAATTGGAGATTTTGGAACCTTTTGGAGCATTCTGAGTCGAAGCCACGAAGTACCTAGCTCGAAGAAGAAAAGTACGCATATGGGTGATGCTCGTCACCACTTCTGGTGACGCTCGTCACCCAGAAAGGAAGGGGTCGTGGCTGTTTTCTAAAAGATAGAGGATTATTTGCAGTTTTGGCCCAGAAGTTCTAGTATTTGCAAAAAGACCTCAGATCGTGTTTTAGCTTGTATATTAGGTTTTTCAGCCATTCTTTTGGCAGATATATTGTATCTTATTATTTTTGAGAGCTTTAGAGAGAGATTTGTAGCAGAGCTTTTGGAGAGACAAATCAGACTCCTTCAAAGCAGATTTTGAACTCCTTTATTTCTACTTCTTATTTCTTTTATGCAATCTATTCTTTTCATGATGTTTTCTCAAATCACCATGTCTGAGTAGTTTGTTAGTTAAGTTAGGGCTTTTCAAAGGTTGAAGAAGAGTTTGTAGAATTGCTAAACTATTAGGAAAATCCATTGGTTCTTCATATGTTCTTGCATTCATATCGATTTCTTAGACACATCATCTGGATTTCGAAACCCTAGGTTGTTTGATAGATGTGAGAGCATTATTGATAACCTGAACTAGTATTAGATGAGCAAAACGCCCTAGTACAAAGAGATTTGGCTTAGGAGTTTTGTGAACAATTGAACATGATCATTACTGCATGTTTAGGTTGTTAGGGTTTGCAAAGAGATTTGAAACTCTGTGATTTAGACATAGATAAATTCTGCAATGAGAATTGATTGGTTATATCTTTGCGATTCATGTTCAAGACGGTTTTAATTCATTCCTGATTGCATGCATTCTACACTCTCGGATTCAACCTGCGAACTGTCCTGACTTAGCGCCTTTAGCTTTCTGAACTTTAAGAACAGTCTCAAAAACGCCCTCTTGCATTTATTTTACTGTTTTGCATTACATTCATTATTTATTGCTTAGCTTAATCTGAATCTATAATCGCTAGTGTGGTTTACATACTCCCTTGGGATTCGATAACCCCTTGTACTACAACTGATTTGTTGTGCACTTGCAGTAGTTTTATTTGGGTAAAACCTGAGCCCTATCAAGTTTTTGGCGCCGTTGCCGGGGACGAGCGTCACCCATATGCATACTTTTCTTCTTCGAGCTAGGTACTTCGTGGCTTCGACTCAGAATGCTCCAAAAGGTTCCAAAATCTCCAATTATGCTCCAAACATGCTATAACCTGCAAAGACTCTTCTAGGACTCTAAAAAGACCAAAAAGACTCAATAAAAAGAACTTATATCATGGTTAAAAACCATAAAAACCATGATATATCATTCACTATCAATTCAGCAAGAGAATGATTAGCAGCCTCGGAAGAAGTCCAAGCATTGGAGACAGTATGCAAGAAGTTCGGATGAGAGGAAAGATAATTAAAGTATTTGAAAGGAACAGAACCAGACATCGGAATTTGTCATTCCAACTTTATGCAGCAGAGCATGTGGTCAGTAATATCAGGAGCGCTAAATACAGCCATGCTATGTGGATAATTACAAAGCAAGTGCTCATTGATTAGGGCACGATCTAACTTTTTAACAATAGGGTTGTCTGGCTGCTTGTTAGACCAAATAAATTTAGTTCCATGAAATCTCAAATCTCTAATTTCCAGCTGCTCCATGCAGGTTTTAAAATCAATCATAGCCGAGGTGAACTGATTGACAGATGGGAAAGAATGCTCATCCGGGTGCAGGATTTCATTAAAGTCTCCTCCAACTATCCAAAGAGATGATCCGAGAGAGAGAAGCTTGGAGATCAATAAGCTCCACCCATAGGTCATTTCTGATATCACTAGTGTTATCAGCGTAGATTCCAGTGAAATAGAATGAAGAGTGTCCATGACACTTAATATAATTTAAAAAGTTTTAGTTACGTTTTATGTTATTTATTTCATATAATTTTAAGAGAGGGAGAGACGGATGATACCTCTTATGCTGGAGTAGAGAGAGCTGAAAAACCAATGTGGAGTGATGAGCAGGAGTGAAGGTGCCCTTTTATACACCGGTTTGTATTATTTTTAATTATCTAGAGATGGATTTATTAATATTACTCGTGGTCCGCTAGGCTATATACAATAATAAATTAAAAATCATAACTTATCATTTTCTTACTTTTTTTTCTTTTTTTGAAAATGATCATTTTCTTACTTCCTCGTGGTTAAACGATGCCATGTAATTGAAACTTCGAATATATAAGCATTTTTCTATGGTCTCACGGTAACGTGCAAGCGATGAAAGTGCATTTGTATGCAGTTTCGAAAATTTTAATTATCTCACTTTCTCCGTCGTACATTTTATAGCAATCTTCTGAGCATTGTCTTTTACCACACAGCTGATTTTGTAAAAAATAAGTTTTTAACTTTTTTTTTATTCATAGGGAAAAGCAACTTTTGGCTACAGTGAAAAGACTTTTGTTGTAAAGTTCTTATAATATTAACATTTATCTAAAAAAAAAAAAATCTTAATATTCTAATTACTCGTGCTATTACCATTTTCTTATTTGCTCGTGGTTAACGGACGGTGCCATAATTGCAACTTCGAATATATAAATCTTCTATCCATTTTTTTTTTGTCTCACCGAGATGTGGAACCAGTAAGAAATTGAATGTTCGTGGATCTCAAGGTTTTATAGTTCTCCAGGTTTTGATAAGACTAGTAGTGAATATTAATGGATATAATAAGTATATAACGCATGTTGAACTCCTTTTTGCTTCCCTATTTTTTTAATCAGATTTGACTTTCTTCCATCATTCATGTGCTTAAGATTAAATCATTAATCATATTATTAATAAAATTTAAATAACATATTTGTGTTTTGCTATTCACTTATCAATTATATACTTTTTCTCTGTTAAAGGATTTAAATTCACACTTTAATTAATACAAAAAATTCGTAACTATTCCGTCGATATACGAATACTTTTTATGAGTGTTTAAAGTACAAAATTAGAAACAAATGTAAAGAAACTGAAAACAACTTTTGAAAAATGATCTAGGGTTGTTCTAAAAAAATGATCTTGGGTTTTGTGGTGAATTACTTATAGCATTCGGGAAATTGCTTATTTAATTTCTCAAGTATTTGCAATCGGTAAATTTATTCAACTATTATCTATGTAGATTAAATCATCAATTTAGTATTGACTTCACAAATTTAGGCATGATAAAAGTCAATGTTAATGATGAAAACAAAAATGTTACCGTTAACTTTTCTCAGTTTAATTTTGCAATGTCAACATAAACTAAAAAAATTAATTTACCAAATTAAAAGTTGAAGAATTAATCTGTACAATTAAAAAAACTTGATAAATTAAATGATCATTCTTTATTTAGAAAATTATGATTATTTTCATAAATCATAATTATTTGTAAAATACTATCAAATACTTTTAATTTTTTTTATTATATTATATTTTCTAATAATCATTAATCATAATTCTTTATAGAATACTATCAAATACTTTTTCAAAAAATATTATTTTTATTATATTATATTTTTTGTTTAAAAGTTCATTGATATTTAATCAAAACTACAAAATCAGTATACATAACTTTCGAAAATCAAATAACTTAAGCAGATATATGTGTCCTTAACAATTTCAGAATTCATGATGAGAATTGAAAATATGGAAATTCGATAAGAACGAAACGGATTTGGGAAATTCTCTTACCCAAAATCTCTTCTCAAACTCCCAGTAATTTGGGTAAAGATCAACTTCAAAACATATATTTTGGATAATGTCAGAGAAATTTGAAAAAATTTGGAAAAATTAATAAATATATATATAGGTAATTAAGGTATATGATCTCATACCCTTTCCTTTTTCGTACCTGTTTGAATAAAATAAAGGGTCCCGATTGAGAATTCTTTTAAACGGAAAAAAAGGATGGGATGAGAAATTCAGGATGAAAAATGGGACGTAAATTGAATTATGCCCTGACATTTTCAGGGCCACTACCATATACTAAGAAAGATAGCTGAAAATAAGTGAATTTGATGAAAATTATTTCTTCTAATAGAGTAACCATACCAATAACCGTATGATAGGAGAATAATCATCGGTTGATCACCAAAAATTTGCCAATAAAGAAAAAAATCACCGGAATTAAATACATGTAATTTTTTAATTTTTATTCACAACAACAAAAAAACATAATATAATAAAAACAATATTTCTTAAAAAAGTAGTTGATGATATTCTACAAATAAATATGATTTATGAAAATAATTGTGCATATTAATTCTCTAACTTTTAATTTGGCAAATTAATTTATTGAGTTTATGTTAACTTTGCAAAATTAGACTGGGATATAAAGTCAACAATAATGTTTTGTTTTATTAATGCTTAAATTTGCAAAGTCAATGTTAAATTGAAGATTTAATCTGCACACATGGTAGTTGAGAAATAAATTTGTGAATTGCAAATACTTAATGAGGTTGAAGTAGATGAATAGGAGGATCGCTATGACTATAGCCCTTGGTAAATTTACCAAAAACGAAAAAGATTTATTTGATATTATGGATGACTGGTTAGCAATTTCCCTATAGCTTCTTCACTTGTTTCTTTGCTTAATTACTTACGATACAGGCCTCTATGGTGAATTAGTGTGGTGTTAGCCTCCTAGCCTCCTAGGCTCTCTTAGCCTTCGACGTGGGCTTGTTGGGCCAAATTCTCTCTATATAGAATTGGGCTAGCTCTTTTTTAGTCAAATGGGCTATCTATCCAAATACCCCTTTTACTCTCTTAAAAGTTTTGTTGACTTTCGAACATATCCCACAAGTCATGCTCATGACATGACACTGACATGGATCTTATATTATTCAAACATTAAATTTAATACGCCACAGCGAAACAGCTTAGAAAAACAGAACTGAGTCACACAATTAAGAGCCAGACTGAGTCACAATTAAGAGCCAGTCCACGAATTAATTAATTTAGCTAATAACGATTTGTTTAGTAGTTATATGACACTGAAACGCATCTGGCGATGTTCGGTCGATTCCAAGACCAGTCTCGTGATCGACTTCTCCTCCATTAATCCTCTCTGTTCAATATTTCTCCAACTCATCAAATTCCTTCGCCGTCAAATCAAAATCTTCCTTCTGTAGAAATACCAAACATTTACGCATTTGATCATCGGATAGCGAAATACACCCACTCAAAGAGAATCAAAATCTTTTGTACCCACTACAAATTTCGTATCTGCTACCAACTTCCTAAATTTTATTTCCTGGGAAAAAAAGGAGAAATTAAAACATAAATCATGAGAAAAATCTATAAGCATTTCGTGCTACTAATATTTGTTTAATGGCGTTTCTGGTGACTTGGTGAGTCTTCTCTTCAGCTAAATGGTTTTATTTGTTTCTGTTATTTACTTTCCAATAAGACAAATATTTGATTTTTTTTTTGTTCTTTCCAAGTTCTGCTTTAGTTTAAGGAAAGGACATAAAAATCAAAACTTTTTCCTCGTTTTGGTTTCTTTCTGATCAGCTCTCTTTGGTCTTTCCGTAATGAGTCGTATATGTTGATCCCCATCATCAAAATTGTGACTTTTGATTCAATCTCAACTTGCAGATGTAGTCCGACGAAGAAGAAGGCAGATAATTTGGGGTTTCTTCAACAAAAACCTTCTTCCAAATCGGATAATTTTGGGTTTTGCAGTCATGATCCTTACCAAACACAAGAGAGATGTTAACATGTTTGTGCTTCAATTAGGAGCAGCCTTAGCCGTATCTTTCGCCGGATTTCTATTTTCCCGATTCAGAAAGAAAACGAATAGAATCGGACCCACTCTGCCTCCTCTTCGACCTAAGTCATCTGGTTTGTGTTTGTGTCTTATGTTTATACAATTTGATTGATTTTACACACTCATATGTTCTAATCTGTAAAGAGCGTTTTCCAAATTTTTCAGATCATGGATACAGAGTCTGTTCCAATAAATCCATTGATGTAAGTTATAATTTCTAAATCTCATGAACAGTTTATGCTAGATCTTGCTAATTATAGTTTGACTTAGAGTCTATAGATAAATTATTGGCTTATGATTCTCTTAATTACACTAATGTTGTTGGTCAATAAAATTTTGGAATTTGGACAACAGTTTAGTGGAAGTTTTGATCTGTTTCTGTGTTTTCTTTCGGTAGAACGGAGATGCGGAAACGCAGAAGACTAAAAAGGAAGAGACTTTAAGTGATGTTGATGAAAAAGATGTGTTTCTTTTACCTGAGTTTGAAGAGGAACTTAAGAACTTAGATTTGTTGCTCTATGATGAATGTGAAACCCCAAAGTCGGATATATCAGTTCCTTTAGCGTTTCCGAGCGAAGAGGAAGCTGATCATGAGAACGAGATAAAGCGGTTGAGAAACACGGTGAGAGCTCTGCGTGAGAGAGAGAGGTGTCTTGAGGATAAGTTGTTAGAGTACTACAGCCTCAAGGAGCAGCAAAAGATTGCAATGGAGCTTCGAAGTAGGTTGAAGCTTAACCAGATGGAGACTAAAGTGTTTAACCTCAAGATCAAGTCTTTGCAAGCTGAGAACGAGAAACTTAAGGCTCAATGCTCTGAGCATTCGAAAGTTGCGTTGGAGCTTGATTTGGCAAAGTCTCAGGTTCAGGTGCTGAAGAAGAAACTGAACATCAAAACGCAACAACACGTGGAGCAGATCTTGTCTCTTAGAGAACGAGTTGCGAAGCTGCAAGAAGATGAGATCAAGGCTGTTTTGCCTGATCCTGATGCCGATAAGATGATGCAGAGGCTAAGGGATTTGGAAGGTGAGATCAACGAGCTTACGGAATCTAACACGAGGTTACATTTTGAGAACTTGGAACTCGCTGAGAAGCTGGAGTCTGTTCAAATCATAGCAACTTCAAAGCTAGAGGAACCAGAGGAGGTATATACATCCCTCAGATTCTTGAACCATACTCCTAACAAAATTGTATAATCTTGATTGTGGATCTTGTTTTTGTTGTTGTTCTTGCAGATGGAGACATTACGCGAAGATGGTAACCGATTGAGGAGTGAAAACGAAGAGCTGAAGAAGGAGATTGAACAGCTTCAAGGAGATCGATGCACTGATCTTGAGCAGCTTGTTTATCTCAAATGGATCAATGCTTGCTTAAGATATGAGCTAAGAACATACCAGCCTCCTGCTGGTAAAACTGTAGCTAGGGATCTTAGTACTACTCTAAGCCCTAAATCAGAGGAGAAAGCTAAGCAGCTGATCCTTGAATACGCACATAGCGAAGGGCACGAGGAAGATAACAACACGGATTATGATCGATGGTCGTCTTCACAGGAGGAATCATCAATGATCACTGAATCAATGTTTCTTGATGATTCCTCTGTTGACACTTTGTTTGCGACCAACACTAAAAAGTCAGGGAAGAAGAAGCTTATGCACAAGCTGATGAAGATCTTGCACGGTAAAGATACTCAAGAGCGGAAGAAGAGAGGTGGTTCATCGGAACCGAGCAGCTCAAACACAGGTGCTCATTCGACTCCTAGGCATCTCCGATCAACGCTCTCTATGGACTTCCAAATGTTGATGCGTGGGAAAGACGAGGAGGAGGAGTTCAAGATGTTGCGTCGTAAGAGCGAAGCAGCAGATTGTTCCATCTATGGAGAAGAAGGAGGTGAACACTGTTTGGAATCAGATGAAATGAGGAAGAAAGAGCTCGTTAAATACGCAGAGGCGCTGAGGAAATCTCGTTCCGCAAAGAAGCTTCATAAGAAATCTGTGTCGTTCTTCTTCTGAGAGTTTTAAGTAGAAACACTAAAACTACTTGCATTGTACTAACACGGATTGCCTAAAGTTATACATATGTGTGTGTATAGATATAGCTCAGAGATGTAAATTTGTGAAGCAAACATAAGATGAAAGTTGCGAGAATGTTGTTACAATGTCTTTCAGAAAGAAAACATAAGAATTTTGTAACATGTGGTAGAGTAAAAGCCAAGATCATTCAAAAAGATAATCGAAATAAAATGTGGAGAAGTATATATAAACATGAAGATGATCAGATTGGTATGACATCGACTCCAATTTTGTGGAGAAGCATGTTACTGGATTTTCCATGGAACCCAACGATCATGTGATCAACTTTGTGGTGTGCGAAGCTTGATGTTGTAGCGAGTCCAAAGTCTTGGGAGGTTTGTCTATTGGTAATGAACCTAAGCATGGTGATAGCTCCTGATTTATTATCATAACTACCTTCCACTGATGTGACATATTCCATTGGATAATTCAGCTCGAACTGCAAAAACAAGAAAAATACATAGCATATAATAAGTTGATCAAGTACTAATTAATAGCTTGAAAATATAAAAAAATGAATCAGTAACCTCTTGGACTCCAAATAGCTGGTTCTTGTTCCCATGATCATCTCCAAAGACCATACGAGCGTCTTTGTAGTACATAAACTTGACGAAAGCTACAGCGTTTTGGCTTAGTCCAATGTATATCTTTCTAACACCTTCGAAACTACCATCGTCCCAAGAAGCTCCTCCATGACCACCTTTTGCATCTAGCTTCTTTGCATCAGGAGAAGGTTGTTGCATCGGATAAAAATATGCTCCAATAGCCAAGAGAACAGAATCATCAGACCGTCCATGGAACCCAACAAGAGCACAACCTTTGCTCTCTAGCAAGATTCGTTGATCTCCTAAATGCTCATTTCCAAATTTCTGTGAAATTCTCCCTTGGGATGTTTTGAAAGTCAACGTCGTAATCCACATATCACTCTCGGTACTGAAAGTCCCCTCCACAGAAGTGATATATTCATTTGGATAGTCGACCACAAACTGTAGATTGAAAACACTTCTTGTTACCTTTTCAAGAACATAAGCATTTATTTATATATTTCTTGAATATGAACTCTGACCTCGGCTTCTTGTCCAGTGAATCCATCTTTATATCCATGATCACGCTTTTCTGCTTGGCCATCGTTTTGGTAGTCAAAACTGATAAACATTATGTAGTTATGTTCGTAGTAGACGTACACTTTTCTAACGCCCTCGAAAGCACCATCATCCCAAAGGTCTCCACCTTTAGTAGCACCTTGGCATTCGGATTTCATAGGAGAAAGCGTTGTGAAATATGCGCCAAGAGAGCTTAAGTTCTTCTCAGCATATCCATGGAATCCAATAATCTTCATTACATTGGCTGAAATGCTAAACTTCTTACCCTTTTTGTATCCCATCAGCTTTGAAGTATTCATGTTTGTCTTGAATTGAAGACCTTGTATGACCCTGGTCGCTTCGTCATAGTATCCCTCCACTGATACCAAACATTCTTGCTCATCATGTTTAATCTCAAACTACAAACAAACAAACAAAATTTTGTAAAAAGAAGATTACAATGTCAAGAAAATTAGTATATGTTTATGACATGTATACGTACCGCGGGCGTGAAACCTCCACCGGAGATAGAACCATGGACTGATCCATTTTTCAACAGACCATCTTTGACATATTCAAACTGAATGTATTGTATGCCTTTAAGACCACCTCGTACGTGTATCTTTGTTACACCCTCATGGTCGGCTCCATCATCCCACTCTTTGCCTTCTTTGCCCCCTCTCACTTCCATTCTGATAGGTGTAGCCGAGTTGAAATATGCTCCAAGAGAGAAGATATTTGATTGAGTTGATCCGTGAAGCCCAATGATCTTTTTTCCCTCCACTGCTAGAGTAAATTTAATACCCTTATCATCATATCCCATCAGTTCAGAAATTCTCAAGTTGGTTCTGAACTGAAGTGCTTGAATCCCACTTGACTCTGTGTAGTAGCCGTCGATAGATTCAAGATGTTCATGTTTTAGACGGTTAATCTCAAACTGCAAATAATTGTGAAAGAAAAAAAAATTCACAAAACCAATATTGTTTTTTACTTGAAGTCGAATAAATAAAAACACAAAGGGAGAGTAACTAGCAAGCAAACTTATATGATTTTGTAAGTCATACCGTCTGCGTGAAACCTTTGTATGATTCACCATGGAATGATCCATTGTTTGGTTGACCATTCTTTAAATAGTCAAAACGGATGACTTGTATGCCATTAGAGCCACCTCGTACATAAATCTTTGTTACATCATCATGGTCGAATCCATCATCCCACTTATATCTGCCATTCTTGCTCCCTTCCGCTTCCAGCCTTTGTGTCATCTCTTATCGATCTGAATCTTCATATATGGATGTGTATTTTTCTTTCTAAATTAGTCAAGAAATTTATCAATGCTGACATGTTTTTCTACAGGATTGGATTTTAAAAATAAGCAACCCTTTCAAGCCAAGGATTAATACGCCTATTGCAGAAACATATAGCAGAAGAAAATCTAGCATTTTTGGTGGAAAAAAAATCCAACTTTTATTTTATCCAATAACATTTGGAGATATTAATGTTTTACTTTTTCAAATAACTTTGATTAGATCTTAGGGCTATGAAACATTGATGTATATAAAATCAAGTCTGTATAGGGAGAGAAACAGAGAGAGAAGAGAAAGAGTTGACCTCAAATGGTCGACAAGAGAGAGACCTGATGTTGCGGAGAGAGATCCGATGGTGATCTATATGTTAATGAACGAAGGTGTGTCTTCTATATACAAGGTGTCTTACTCTTATGTACTCAAACTTTAGAGGTTATTTTGGAGTATTTTATATTTTTTGTAAAAATAAATTTAATCAAATGTAGCATTTTAAAATTGCTCAACAATAATGAATGAATGAGGGCAGTAATATCAAGGGTTGACCAAATTATAAGGTGAGTAACAAAACTGATGAAGGAAAATGTGAGCATATACATGAGTTGGTTGGTTAATCCTTAGAGTTATGTATATCATTTGTATAGATATAGCTCAGCATTGTAAATTTGTGATCCAAACATAAAATGAACTTGCGAGAATGTGATTTTGTAGCTTGTGAAAGATGATCAACACTTGCTAAGAAGCATGGGACCATAAGCGTGTTCTTATGATTGAAAATAAAAACTTTTGTCTTATTACATTGAACAGGAGATTGTCGCTTAAACAGCATAGGAGACAAACATATGGTAGAGAAAAAATGATAAGAGATGAAACTTGATGGAGAACTGTTTGGTTCTATGGTCAGATAGGTATGACATGGACACCAATCTTATGGAGAAGCATGCCACTGGAGTTTCCATGGAACTCTACGATCTTGTGATCAACCTTGTGGAGTTCAAAGCTTAAATCTGTCGCAGTAGCGTGTCCAAAGTCTGGTGAGGTTTGTGTGTTGGTCTTGAACCTAAACATGGTCATAGCTCCTGATTTATTATCATAACTACCGTCCACTGATGTGACATATTCAATTGGATAGTTCAGCTCGAACTGCAAAAACAAGAAAAAATTAGAGTATGTGATTATAAGTTGAGTGAAATAGTAATTATATATAGTTTAAATTAAGGAATTTTAGTGAATGACCTCTTTGTCATTAAATAAGGTATTGTTCCCATGATCATCTCCGAAAACCATCCGAGAGTCTTTATAGTACATACACTTGATGAAGGATATGGCGTTTTCACTTAGTCCAATGTATATCTTTCTAACACCTTCAAAACTACCATCGTCCCAAGAAGATCCTCCATCACCACCTTTTGCTTCTACTTTTTCCGCGTAGGGAGGAGGAGGCAGCGGACGAAAATATGCTCCAAGGAATAAAGAGCAGAATTCAACCGTCCATGGAACCCAACAAGGCCACAACCTTTTCTCTCAAGCACAAATTTACTAGTAGTCGCAGTTCCAAACGTGGAAGAAGTTCTCCCTTTTGATGTTTTGAAAGTCAATGACGCAATTTTAGTAAAGGGATCTCCAGTGGTAGTCCCCTCCACAGATGTGATAAATTCACTTGGATAGTCGACTTCAAACTGCATTAGAATAAAAAGGCTTAATTCATACAATATATTCAACAACACCAGCATATACATATCGACAAAAATTTATGGTTCTAGAATCATGACCTCTCCTGCTTGTCCTTTAAGAAATCCGTGCTGCATCCTTTTTATTTTGCCCCCGTTGTCGTTGTAGAAGAACATGACACGATATACCAAATCTTTATTATATACAATGGATACCTTACTTACGCCATCATAGGCACCATCATCCCAAAGTATACCATCAGTTCCACCTCTGTATTCCAATTTAGTAATAGGAGAGGCTGTGAAATACGCTCCAAGAGAGATTAGATTCGTCTCAGCATATCCATGAAACCCAATAATCTTCTTTCCATTGCCTGCTAGCCTAAACTTTATGCCCGTATTGAATCCTATAAGGCCTGAAGTCCTGATGTTAGTTTTAAATTCAAGTCCTTGAATGACCCCTGAATCATAGTCAGTACCGGTCCGATAGTTATGGATGCTCTATTCGAATTTAAAAAATATGCCTTTTTATATATTATATTTGATATCATAAAAACTAAAAAATAAAAAATAAATTATAGTTAAAACTTTATAAAAAAAATAATTCCAAACAAACGATCTCAATTCATAAATAATTTACAAAAAAATAAAATAAAACAATAAAATAATTATTTTAAAAAATTACTACTCTTTGTATTTTGCTTATAAAATCATTCATTAAACTCATATAATCTAGTTTTTCAACCATAGTTATCTCAATCAATAACAAAGCCAACCTATTCAATCTTTTTCTGTTATCGTACACCACATATAATTTTTAATCAGGTTCTTCAAATTTTAAAGAAACTTCTTTCAGTCATGGTAACTGATACCAAAATAATCAACAAAATACAACAAACAATTTTAGTGTTTGTATAACAATCCTCCATTTTTTCATAAAATCAAGCACTTCAATAGGCTTTTGAACTTTTTTCTGATATTGATACTTGGTATTTTACTTTGTGTTTGTATAACAATTCTCCATTTTCAGAATTTAGTTCATAAAAACAACAAAACTTAATTAGCATGTTTGTTAATAAAAAAGATCATAAAATTTCTAACAAAAACTTTATAATTATTACTATTATAAAATAAAATAAATTAGATATTATCACAATAATAAAGAACTAATCCAAATAAGGAAAATATTCAAAGAGAATATCTCTAAGTAACTAATCATAATAAGGAAAATTTTTTTAAATGATGTCCTTAAAATTTAGCTGCCCTAATCCTTGGCTTTGGTAGCTTAGCCTATGGGCCGACCCTGATCATAGTAACCCTCAACAGATACCAAATATTCCTCGTTGAGATGGTTGATCTCAAACTGCAAATTAAAAACGAAAAAAGGCATTGATTAACCACATATAATTAATAGAAGAAATGCTACAGAATAAGTTAAAAATGAAAAAATAATGTGAAATGAATATGTAAGCCACTAAAAAAAAATTACAAAAATAATATTTTTTATAATTTTTATAATACAAGTGTTATCTATCTAACTATTTTTATTGGTAGACTAATGACAGATTAATAGTTGACTGAATGCAGATTACCGGAAGATTGTTTAATCTTACGAATGAAGGTAAATTAGTGACAGACTAAATTTAAATTACTAGCAGACCAACAGCAAATTGAAAGTACACTGTTTGAATCATTGTTTGAATCATTTTAGAAAAAATCATATTTCGTAAAATATTTACCAAGTAGATCATTTTAAAAATTATTTCTAATTAATATGCTCGTGCAATCAAATTTAAAGGTTAAAATTTTCCAAGTTTTACATACCGGCACCGTGTAACCACTAGCTCCAGAGACACCATGGGCTGGCCCATATATATGTTGTCCATTCTTGACATAATTGAACTTTATGAATTGTATACCACCAAGAGCACCTGGTCCTCCTCCTCCTCGTACATAGACTTTTGTAACACCTACATGATCGGCTCCATCGTTCCACTCCTTGCCTCCCTGTCCACCTCTCGCTTCCAATCTAGTTGGAGTAATCCAAGTGAAGTATGCTCCAAGAGAGTTGAGGGCACTGTAGGTAGATCCGTGAAACCCGATTATCTTCTTTCTGACCATAGATAGAGAAAACTTGGTACAATCTTTTTCAAACCCTATTAGTTCAGAAATCCTCAAGTTGGTTTTAAATTGAAGCCCTTTAATCACTCTCGAGAGAGGTTCATAGTAACCCTCAACAGATTCAAGTTGTTCATCGTTCAGATGGTTGATATCCAACTGCAAATTTTGGTGAAGAAAATTCAGATCACAAAGTCAATAACATATATATATATATATATATGTTAATGTCGATAGTAATTTTATTAACACTAAACTAAAGTAATTAGTTAACATTTCCCCAGTTATACCGTTTGAGTGAAACCCTGGTCCCGTGAACCACGGTATGTATATGACCCTGCTCCCGATTTTCCACTCTTGTAATAGTCAAACCAGATGAATTGTATGCCTCTTGAGTCACCTCCTACTATTATCTTTATTACACCATCGTGGTCAGATCCATCATCCCAACGATCAGTTGTACTCGAATTACTTTGCCCTTGCGCTTCCAACCGTTGGATCATCTTGAACAGATTTGAATCTTCATATATGAATTGATATTGTATTTCTTAGTAACAATGTGAATTACTCTGTTTGTTTAGGTTAAAATGTAAAAAATTCCTTTCTAGCAGATTTTTAATGGAAGGAAAGAAAGAAGACCATTTTCCCAAGGGCATAAAAGGATCCAAGTTTCTTGAGTGAAAAGCAACCAAGTTCCCAGAAATATATCTAACAACATAGGAGATACAGTATTCGTGATTTACCATTTTTCAAACTATGATCTTATATTACGTTTAGAACCATTTAGATAAAATGTTAACGATATGTAACATCGATGTAAACAAATGCGGAGAGAGAGAGAGAGAGAGAGAGAGAGAGAGAGAGAGAGAGAGAGAGAGAGAGAGAGAAAGAGAGTACCTCCGATACTGGAGAAGACAATGAGAGAACAGAGAGCTAGTGTTGTTTAATCTGTAAGTTAAGAGACGAAGGTGTCTTTTTATACAAGGCTTGACAGTTTTATATATACGGTATGACTCCTTCTTGGATAGTCACGTGTATGTATGTTATCATATTATTATATAGCAGTTCTAAATCAGTAAGTTTGATTTAATATATTAAATAAAATTATATTATTAAAAGACTAAATGAACTCCGCGAATATTGTTTTGCAGCGCTGTAAATTTGATTTACGATTTAGAAAAATGACATTGTGCATGTGATGGAACTTGTATTATTGTATTAGTAAAAAAAAAAATTGGTCAACGCTTATATCTATTTATCGAATTTTCTGAAAGAGTATAAATTCTTTTGGACATTTTCTCATCTATTCTATTAAAAAAGGATCAATTTAGATGTTTAAACATGATCGATGTGTTATATATTCAATAAAATGTCATTTGTAATTTAGTATTTTCTTTAGAAATTTATTAAAGGTAGCTTAGCCATTTATTAATACATATAATTGGATAGTCCGTATATGTATGTTATCATATTATTATACAGCAGTTCTAAATCACTAAGTTTGATTTAATATAATGAATAAAATCAAATTATTAAAAGACTAAATGAACTCCGCGAATATTGATTTGCAGGGCTGTAAATTTGATTTACGATTTAGAAAATTGACATTGTGCATGAGATGGAACTTGTTTATTGTATTAGTAAAAAAAAAAATTGGTCAACGCTTGTATCTATTTATCAGATTTTCTGAAAGAGTATAATGCATTATAAATTCGACTTTTCAGTCTATATAATTAGTTTCTAATTCTTTTGGACATTTTCACATCTATTCTATTAAAAAGGATCAATTTAGATGTTTAAACATGATTGATGTGTTATATATTCAATAAAATGTCATTTGTAATTTAGTATTTTCTTTAGAAATTTATTAAGGTAGCTTAGCCATTTATTAATACATATAATTGATTTCCTTTTTATTTTCCTTTATTTAATTCTTATTAACCTATCACCAAATACATTTATTTTCAAACATTATTTATTTAGATTAGGTATATAATTCGCACTACGCGCGAGTCTGTATTAATATTTTGGTTTAAATTTTTTAGTTACTATCTTTAAGATTATTAAAAATATAATATATTTATAGAAGCTTTATTTATATAAGATAATTTAATATTTAATGTGTAATTTATCCTATTTTTATTTATAAATTTTAAAAAACTATTAAGTAAAATAATAACAATGACATCTATCGAATTATCCAAATTTGACGTACATATACATTTGATTTAGAGAAATATAATCTTGTTAAGATTTTGGTATTGTTTTCTGTTTTTTATAAAATTTCTATAGTTTTTTTCTTAAAGGTTTATATGTTCAAATATTTAGTTTTTTATTGAAAGTCTTATTGATGTTGTGTACCACTGCATATATAATACATGATTCATGTTGATTCTCATTTAATTTTATTATGAAGCTGTAATAATCATGCAAAATTATTTTTTCTTTCTCCATCATGTCTTCCAAGAGTTTTATTTTTATTCAGTTTTCATTGTTTTAATTGTTAAATCGAGTTGTTATAGATTTTTTTAAATTGATAATAATTATTTTTTTTAAACATGTATTGTTAATGGTTAATAAATATGTTGATTTGGATCAATCAGATTGAATTTACTTTTTTTTGTTGGACATAATTTGTTAAATTAATTTTTAATATTTTAATTATACTTAATAATTTTTAGTTTGATTAAAAAGTTGATGTGAACCAATTAAATCAAGTTTTTCTATTTTAATCATACTTAACATTTTTTATTTAATGAATATGCTGATGTGGACCAATCAGATCGAATTTTTTAATCCCATGTGGACGTCCTCAATGCAGTATGCCTTCAACTTTTATATATTATGTGATTGATTTAACTCTAACTACTAAACACATCAAAATCATTTAAAACCCATAAATAATAATTTCGTAAAATTATACTCCCTCTGTTTCATAATAAGTGTCATTTGGAGAAAATGTATCTGCAATGTATCTGGATGTATTAAACTCAAAACACATCCAGATACATCCAGTTACAATGCAGATGCATTTTCTCCAAATGACACTAATTATGAAACAGAGGAAGTAATACTTTATTCTAGAATTAGTTACATCTAAATTTATATAGAACAAAATTGTTACAATTATAATAACTATAAATCCATATTATTAATTTTTATACATTTATACAATATAAAATACATTTCAAAAAAATTCTATGATATATGATATTTATTTTGACATATATATATATATATTATTTTAAAAGTACATTTTTGAAAATATCTTTATTAATCATATATATAACTATGTTATTTATAAATATTTGAATAAGGCATGGAATATTTGAGATAGGAAGCATGGATTATCAGACCTTAACTAGGTTTCTTCATGACATAAGTAGTTGCTGTCCTTCGAGAAAATCTTAAGGTCTCTTTTAAGATTTTGCTTTTTTTTGTTCTTTATAGAATTTTGAGTGGTTTTACTTATCGAAAAAGTTGAAATTTTGGAGGATCCTTCTGTCTTTGCAGGCTGAGATCAAGAAACTTAATGCTCATGTTTGTTGGTCGTGAACCTAAGCACAATTAAAGTTCCATGTACTTTAGCATAACAACCTTTGACTGATGTGGGGGATTATTCTTATGATTGAAACAATTTTATTTGTCGTATACATTAAACAGCATGGGAGACAAACATATGGTAGAGAACAAGATAAGAGATGAAACTTGATGGAGAACTGTTTGGTTCTATGGTCATCAGATGGGTATGACATGGACACCGATCTTATGGAGAAGCATGCCACTGGATTTTCCATGGAACCCTACGATCTTGTGATCAACCTTGTGGAGTTCAAAGCTTAAATCTGTAGCAGTACCGAGTCCAAAGTCTGGAGAGGTTTGTGTGTTGGTCTTGAACCTAAGCATGGTTATAGCTCCTGATTTATTATCATAACTACCCTCCACTGATGTGACATATTCAATTGGATAGTTCAGCTCGAACTGCAAAAACAAGAAAAAGTTAGAGTATGTGATTATATAAGTTAAATCAAGAAAAATTCTCTAAATTTAGCGTTAAATTAAAGAAATTTAGAGAATGACCTCTTTGTCATTAAATAAGGTTTTGTTCCCATGATCATCTCCAAAGACCATACGAGCGTCTTTGTAATACATAAACTTGATGAAGGATACAGCGTTTTGGCTTAGTCCAATGTATATCTTTCTAACACCCTCAAAACCACCATCGTCCCAAGAAGCTCCTCCATCACCACCTTTTGCTTCTACTTTCACCCCGTCAGGAGGAGGAGGCAGTGGACGAAAATATGCTCCAATAGCGTGAAGAGCACCAGTAGACCGTCCATGGAACCCAACAAGGCCACAGCCTTTTCTCTCTAGCACGAATTTATTAGTAGTTGCATTTCCAAACGTCGAAGAAGTTCTCCCTTTTGATGTTTTGAAGGTCAAGGACGCAACTGAAGCATAAATATCTCCAATGGTATACAGAGTCCCCTCCACAGATGTGATAAATTCATTTGGATAGTCCACCTCAAACTGCATTAAAAGAAAAAAAAGGCTTAATTCATATAATATATGCAACGATGCAAGCATATACATATGGAAAAATATTTATAGTTGTAGGATCATGACTTCGCCTGCTTGTCCTTCAAGATATCCGTGCTGCGTCCTTTTTATTTTGCCTCCGTTCTCGTAGTAGAACATGACACGCCTTAAATCATTTATTTTAGACGTAACGTATACCTTTCTTACGCCTTCAAAGGCACCATCATCCCAAAGTTCACCTCTATTAGTTCCACCTCTGTATTCCACTTTAGTGATAGGAGAGGCTGCGAAATACGCTCCAAGAGAGATTAGTTTCTTCTCAGCATATCCATGAAACCCAATGATTCTCTTTCCATTGCCTGCGATTCTAAACTTTATGCCCGTATTGAATCCTATCAGGCCTGAAGTCGTGAGGTTAGTTTTGAATTCAAGTCCTTGAATAACCCCGGAATCAAAGTAACCTTCAACAGATACCAAATATTCCTGGTTAAGATGGTTGATCTCAATCTGCAAAAAATAAAGGAAAAAACAAAAGACTACATTAGATCCACATATAATTAATATGCTCGTGGAACCACATAAAAATTAACAATTTCCCAAGTCATACATACCGGCACCGTGTAGCCACCAGGTCCCGAGACACCATGGTCCGACCCATATATTTGTCGTCCATTCTTGACATAATTGAACTTAATAAATTGTATACCATCGCGACCACCTCGTAAATAGATTTTTGTAACACCTTCATGGTCGGCTCCATCATTCCACTCCTTGCCTCCCTGTCCTCCTTTCGCTTCTAATCTAGTTGGAGTGATCCAAGTGAAGTATGCTCCAAGAGACTGAAGGAATACGGAGGTAGATCCGTGGAACCCGATGATCTTCTTTCCGACCACAGATAGTGAAAACTTAGTACCATCTTTTTCAAACCCTATCATTTCAGAAATCCTCAAGTTTGTTTTGAATTGAATCCCTTGAATCAAACCAACCTTAGGTTCATAGTAACCCTCAACAGATTCAAGTTGCTCATCGTTCTGATGGTTAATCTTAAACTGCAAATTTTTGTGAAGAAAATTCACATCACAAAGTCGATAGTATTCTTATTAACACGAAATTAAAAGAGCTAAAACTAGTATTTTCCAAGTTATACCGTTTGGGTAAAACCTGGATCCGGTAAACCATGGTAAGATCCTTCTCCCGATTTCCCACTCTTGTGATAGTCAAACCAGATGTATTGTATGCCTCTAGAGTCACCTCGTACAATGATCTTTATTACACCATCATGGTCAGATCCATCATCCCACATATGACTTCTCTCCGAACTTTTTCTCCCTTGCGCTTCCAACCGTTGGGTCATCTTGAACAGATTTGAATCTTTATATATGGATTGATATTGTATTTCTTAGTAATAATTTGATTTAAGACACGCCTCTGTTTCGTTAGGTTATGAAATAAATAAATAAATTCCTTTTAAGCCGATTTTAAATTAAAGGAAGAAGACCATTTTCCGAAACCTAGTATAAAAGGATCCAAGTTTCTTGGGTGAAAAGCAAGCAAGTTACAACCATTATCTAACAAGTAACATTTAAATGCTTGGTGAACAAATATTTAGACATATTCAAGCTCTATCATTTTCAAAATATCCTCTCAAATGACGTTTAGAATAATTTAGATAAATGCAGTGAGAGAGAGAGAGAGAGAGAGAGAGAGAGAGAGAGAGAGAGAGAGAGAGAGAGAGAGAGAGAGAGAGAGAGAGAGAGAGAGAGAGAGAGAGAAATTACCTTTATTGGTGGACTGTACGTGGAGAAGACTCGGAGAGAACAGAGAGTACTGTGTTGTAATAAGTTAAGGGCTGGAGCTGCTTTTTATAAAACGTTTGGCTGTTGTTCAAATGTATTACTTATGAACAGTGAGAGTTAATGTATTAACTATTAAGTTTGGTTTAAAATATTAAACAAAATCGTATTATTAAAAGACTAAACGAAGTCTTCTCCGCGAATATTGTTTTGCGGGGCTGTAAATTTAGAAAACAGACTGATAGAACCTTACTTGTATTATTGTATTTAGTTAATTCAGTTTTTTTTTTTGTCAACGCTTGTATTTATTTATCGGAGTTTCTGAAAGAACATAAATAAATCTGACTTTTCAGCAGCCTATATAATAAGTTCAAAATTATTATTTATTATAATAATATTTCAATAAACTATAAGGAAAATAAAAACAGTAACTTACATTATCTCATTTTTTCTAATTTATTTTGGCTAATTTTTTTTCTATTTAGATTTTTTTTTAAAATATTTTTTGCAAATATCAATATTCGAAATTAATTTCGTATATGTTAAATATTTTGTTTCAGTTTGTTTATTATGTATATTGTTGTTATTTTTAATCTTTTAAAAAGGATAAAAAAGAAGAAGAATAAGGGATACAGGAGAAGACGAAGGAGTAACCAAGAGTTGTTAGCTCGACTGGTAAAGGATATAGGTAAAGCTTAGAGATCACACGATCGAGTGACTCTTGAGATTAAACTAATATTATATGATGTGGTTTCGGGCCTGCAGAGATTGTAAGCTTCGGCTCAGAACTTCATGGTAATCTAAAAAAGAAAGAAAGAGAAAAACAGAGAAAAAGAAAGGAAAAAAAATAAAAATAAAAGATAAAAAGGAGAAGGAGAAGAACAAAAATAAATAAAGGGAGAGAAAAAAAAAAGATGAAGAAGAAGAAGCAGAAGAAACAGAAAGAGAAGAAATAATTGTTGAGGTCGGTCTCCACTATGACGAGATCAACAAAGAAAATGTTAGTAATGGAAATGAGCCTAGCCGAATCGAAGAGGTGATAAGCCAGACTGATAAGCTGAGCTGGCAAACCACCGCGCCGAACTGGCGAACCGCCGAGCAGAAACAGCGAGTTTGATCGATAAAGACAGATTAAACCATTCATGTCAATTGAACCAGATAGGTGGACCAAACCAACAAGATATACCAAACTAATGAGTCGAGGTCAGCAAATATGTACCGAACCATTTAGTTATCAAACCGAAGAGATGTGTCGAACCGGGGTGACAGGACAAATCGGCCGGTAGAACCGAACCAACAAAATTAACCAAGTGAAAATCGAGCCATTTCTCTGATGGGCCTACAAGATGATGAACGAGGCCAAATATGAAGCAATAACCATACAAGCTGAGTCATAAGCCCAAAAAGACATACGAGATAAATTATTTGTTTAAATATAGAAAGAAAAAGAAAAACAAGAAGAAGGGAAAAAACATACAAAAAAAGAAACGAACATAGAAGATGAAGAAGAAAAAGAACGAAAAAGAGGAAGAGCATAAAAAGAGAAAAAAAAGATGAAAGAGAAAAAAAGAAAAACATACATGAAGAAGAGGAAGGATAGAGAAGAAAAAAAAGAAGAACGGCAAAAAAATGAAGGAAAAAAAGAACGAAATATAAGAAAAACGTAGAGAAAGAAGATAAATGTAGAAAAAAATGATGAAGAAAAAGAATGGTGATAAAGAGGAAGAAAAAGAAGGGGGGAAGAAGGAAAAAAAAGAAGAAAAACATAGAAGAAAAAGAGGAAGAAGAAGAACAGAGAAGGAGAAGGAGGAAAGAAAAGAAAAAGAAGAAGAACGAGGGACATTGCCTCCTGATTTTATTCAAAACATAAAAATCAGCTACACACAAACTATTTTTATGTGCGCATAACCGATCATATCATAACTGAAAATCGAAACTAAATTAAGTGGAACCGAATCTAAAAACTGGACACCTAGAGGAAGGAAAAAAACAGAGTTAGCTAATCTATCAGCAAGACAATTAGTTTTTTTATTAGCAAAAACAAAAAGACAATTAGCTTTTCTATACACATATGAAAAAACAGACTATTCATTCTCTCGAAATATAGTCATGATACATATGTACCAGAAAACTTATCTTATAATATAATATATAATAAATCTCTTTATATTATATAATTTAAATATTTATAAAATTTACTTTAAGAATCATATACCTACGCGAGCACGCATGTTCAATATCTAGTGCTTATTAAAACGGGCTTCATTATTCATTTCCCAATACGCAGCATGATAAAATGTGGAAGAAAAAAAAAAGATTTGCTGTTCTAAGAGAAAATGTAGGAAATTTGAGATAGGACTTACGAGGTTTCAATTATGACTAGGAGAGTACTAGCGCATACGCGCAAGTTTTTAGTTTTATAAAAAATTGATGTTAAACCAATTTTATATTTTATATATTATAGATTATATTTTTATTAACTTAAATAATTGATTTATAATTATAATTTATACAGCTGCATTAAACATTGTCTAATTTATACAGCTGTATTAAACTTATTCACGAAAATGTTAACATCATCAATTCACTCAACCAGACTTGAACCTTTTATTACTCTTCAACTTAACCATAGTTTGACTTATAGTTTATAGATTGATTATTTGGCTTATGATTCTCTTATCTATACTTAATAGCAGTTGTCAATAAACATTTGAAATTTGGAGACCATTTTAATGGAAGTTTTGATCTGTTTCTGTGTTTTCTTTAGAACGGAGATGCGGAAACGCAGAAGACTAAAAAGGAAGAGACTTTAAGTGATGTTGATGAAAAAGATGTGTGTCTTTTACCTGAGTTTGAAGAGGAACTTAAGAACTTAGATTTGTTGCTCTATGATGAATACGAAACACCAAAGTCGGATATATCTGTTCCTTTAGCGTTTCCAAGCGAAGAGGAAGCTGATCATGAGAACGAGATTAAGCGGTTGAGAAACACGGTGAGAGCCCTCCGTGAGAGAGAGAGGTGTCTTGAGGATAAGTTGTTAGAGTACTACAGCCTCAAGGAGCAGCAAAAGATTGCAATGGCGCTTAGAAGTAGGTTGAAACTCAACCAGATGGAGACTAAAGTGTTTAACCTCAAGATCAAATCTTTGCAAGCCTAGAACAAGAAACTTAAGGCTCAATGCTCTGAGTATTCGAAAGTTGCGTTGGAGCTTGATTTGGCAAAGTCTCAGGTTCAGGTGCTGAAGAAGAAACTGAACATTAAAACGAAACAACACGTGGAGCAAATCTTGTCTCTTATAGAACGAGTTGCTAAGCTGCAAGAAGATGAGATCAAGGCTGTTTTGCCTGATCCTGATGCTGATAAGATGATGCAGAGGCTAAGATATTTGGAAGGTGAGATCAACAAGCTTACGGAATCCAACACGAGGTTACATTTTGAGAATCTCGAACTCGCTAAGAAGCTGGAGTCTGTACAAATCATAGCAACTTCAAAGCTAGAGGAACAAGAGGAGGTATACATTCCTCAGATTCTTGAACATACTCCTAACAAAACTGTATAATCTTGATTGTTGGCGCAGCGTCAAGCTGGATAAGCTCAAAGATCGTTGATTCACGAAGAATAACCGTTCGACGAGAACTCAATGATCGTTGATACCGAAGAATGGCCGTTCAAACGAGGGTTCTTGATAATCGTTAAGAATACGATAACAAGGAGATGAACTGAAAAGTTCTAAGTTTATTTAATAATCAAAAGCTGCCTTACAATCGAACCTATCAACTAACTTATATAGAATATGTAAACGAAAACCCTAACGTAGCTCAAAACAAAGCCGATAATAATTAGTAAAAGCCCAAATAAAATAGAAAGCCTAATAAGATATAAAACCCAACTATGATCACGGCAGGATCATGGAGACGTGATCATATGAAGATGCGCTGCATCAATTGTGAATCTTGTTGTTGTTGTTGTTCTTGCAGAGGAGATATTACGCGAAGATGGTAACCGATTGAGGAGGGAAAACGCAGAGCTGAAGAAGGAGATTGAGCAGCTTCAAGGCGATCGATGCACTGATCTTGAGCAGCTTTTTTTTTATCTCAAATGGATAAATGCTTGCTTAAGATACGAGCTAAGAACATACCAGCCTCCTGCTGGTAAAACTGTAGCTAGGGATCTTAGTACTACTTTAAGCCCTAAATCAGAGGAGAAAGCTAAGCAACTGATCCTTGAATACGCACATAGCAAAGGGCACGAGGAAGATAACAACACGGATTATGATCGATGGTCGTCTTCACAGGAGGAATCATCAATGATCACTGAATCAATGTTTCTTGATGATTCCTCTGTTGACACTTTGTTTGCGACCAACACTAAAAATTCAGGGAAGAAGAAGCTTATGCACAAGCTGATGAAGATCTTCCACGGTAAAGATACTCAAGAGCAGAAGAAGAGAGGTGGTTCGTTGGAACCGAGCAGCTCAAACACAGGTGTTCATTCGACTCCTAGGCATCTCCGATCAACGCTCTCTATGGACTTCCAAATGTTGCTGTGTGGGAAAGACGAGGAGGAGGAGTTCAAGATGTTGCGTCGTAAGAGTGAAGCAGAAGATTGTTCCATTTATGGAGAAGGAGGTGAACACTGTTTGGAATCAGATCAAATGAGGAAGAAAGAGCTCGTTAAATACGCAGAGGTGCTGAGTAAATCTCGTTCCACAAAGAAGCTTCATAAGAAATCTGTGTCGTTCTTCTTCTGAGAGTTTAAGAAGAAACACTAAACTACTTGCATTGTATTAACACGGATTGTCTAAAGTTATACATATGTGTGTGTATAGATATAGCTCAGAGATGTAAATTTGTGAAGCAAACATAAGCGAGAATGTTGTTACAATGTCTTTCAGAAAGATAAATATAAGAATTTTAAACATGTGGCAGAGTTAACCCCAAGAGATCATTCAAGAAGATAATCGAAATAAAATGTGGAGAAGTATATAAAACATGAAGATGATCAGATTGGTATGACATGGACTCCAATTTTGTGGAGAAGCATGTTACTGGATTTTCCATGGAACCCAACGATCATGTGATCAACTTTGTGGTGTACGAAGCTTGATGTTGTAGCGAGTCCAAAGTCTTGGGAGGTTTGTCTATTAGTAGTGAACCTAAGCATGGTGATAAATCCTGATTTATTATCATAACTACCTTCCACTGATGTGACATATTCCATTGGATAATTCAGCTCGAACTGCAAAAACAAGAAAAAAATACATAGCATATAATAAGTTAATCAATTACTAATTAATTGCATGAAATTAAGGAAAAATGAATCTATGGCCTCTTGGACTCCAACTAGCTGGTTCTTGTTCCCATGATCATCTTCAAAGACCATACGAGCGTCTTTGTAGACTTGTAGTACATAAACTTGATGAAAGCTACAGTGTTTTCGCTTGGTCCAATGTATATCTTTCTAACACCTTCGAAACCACCATCGTCCCAAGAAACTCCTCCATGACCACTGCAGCGCATCTTCACATAATTACGCTTCCATGTTACTCACTGATCATACTTTTTTAATATCGTTTGTTGGGTTTTGTATCTTATTAAGCTTTCTATTTTATTTGGGCTTTTACTAATTATTGTTGGCTTTGTTTTGAGCTACGTTAAGGTTTTCGTTTACGTATTAATAGGCTCTATTGTAAAGCAGCTTTTGATTATTGAATAAACATAAAAAAATTTCAGTTCATCTCTTTCTTGTTATCATATTCTTAATGATTATCAAGAACATTTGTTAAGAACGTTCATTTGAATGGCCATTCTTCGGAATCAACGATCATCAAGTTTTTGTCCAACGGTTATTCTTCGTGAATCAACGATCTTCGAGTTTATCCAGCTTGACGCTGCGCCAACCACCTTTTGCTTCTAGCTTCTTTGCATCAGGAGAAGGTTGTTGCATTGGATAAAAATAAGCTCCAATAGCCAAGAGAACAGAATCATCAGACTGTCCATGGAACCCAACAAGAGCACAATCTTTGCTCTCTAGCAAGATTCTTTGATCTCCTAAACGCTCATTTCCAAATTTCTGTGAAATTCTCCCTTGTGATGTTTTGAAAGTCAACGTCGTAATCCACATCACTCTCGGTACTGAAAGTCCCCTCCACAGAAGTGATATACTCATTTGGATAGTCGACCACAAACTGTAGATTAGAAACACTTCTTGTTACCTTTTCAAGAACATAAGCATTTATTTATATATTTCTTGAATAGTAACTCTGACCTCGGCTTCTTGTCCAGGGAATCCATCATGATATCCATGGTCATGCTTTCTGCTTGGCCATCGTTTTGGTAGTCAAAACTGATAAACATTATGTAGTTATGTTCGTAGTAGACGTACACTTTTCTAACGCCCTCGAAAGCACCATCATCCCAAAGGTCTCCGCCTTTAGTAGCACCTTGGCATTCGAATTTCATAGGAGAAAGCGTTGTGAAATATGCGCCAAGAGAGCTTAAGTTCTTGTCAGCATATCCATGGAATCCAATGATCTTCATTCCATTGGCTGAAATGCTAAACTTCTTACCCTTGTTGTATCCCATCAGTTTTGAAGTATTCATGTTTGTCTTGAATTGAAGACCTTGTATGACCCTGGTCGCTTCGTCATAGTATCCCTCCACGGATACCAAACATTCTTGCTCATCATGTTTAATCTCAAACTGCAAACAAACAAACAAAATAAAATTTTGTAAAAAAAAAGATTACTATGTCAAAAAAATTAGTATATTTTTATGACATCTATATGTCAATGAATGAAGGTTTGTCTTCTAACAAGGTGTCTTACTCTTAGGTACTCAAACTTTAGAGGTTATTTTGGTGTATTTTATATTTTTCTTAAATAAATTTAATCAAATGTAGCGTTTTAAAATCGCTCAACAATAATGAATGAATGAGGGCAGTAATATCAAGGGTTGACCAAATTATTAGGTGAGTAACAAAACTGATGAAGGAAAATGTGAGCATATACATGAGTTGGTTGGTTAATCCTTAAAGTTGTGTATATCATTTGTATAGATATAGCTCAGCATTGTAAATTTGTGATCCAAACTATAACGACCCGGTTTCACAAACCAGGCCCGTTTGGAAAATTCAATCCCGACTAAGACGGTTTAAGCCTATTTCCTATTTCTTAATATTTCCTTTTTCCTTTTTCCTTCGAGAGATAATTAATTCCTGGTTTAGATAAATATTATATTTTTAATGTGATATTAATGAACCTTTTTCTTAAATGAATTGTGAATATTCTTATTCATAATTATCTTTTCCTTTTTCGTGGTTATCTTTACTTTTTACCCAAGTCTCCCATTGGGTATAAATAGAGAGCCCTTCTCATTCTTTTTCTTCATTCTAAACCTTCCAGAGAACAGAGAAACCCTAGAACTCTCTTCTCTCTCTTTTCCGGCGCCGTAGTACTCTCTCTCCGCCGTCTCTCTCTCCTCTTTCTTTCTTTCTCATCGCCGCATCCTCTCTCTCTTCACCATGTCCCGCCGTTCGTCTTCCCCGCCTTCTGGTGACCGCCCTAGCCGCTCCCCGGAGCAGCCATCATCGTCCGCCGGTGCGGTGGAGCAGCCGCGAGTCCACTACCTTCGGGATGGACCCGTAGCCGCCCCTTCCAGCCGCCCTGCCCCGGTGTTTCACGTTGATGAGGAGCCGGAGTCCTCCGGAGCCATACGCTGCCGCAGCATCACCCCCGGAGATTGATCAACCCTGCGTGGTTAGCCGCCGTGGAGCATCTCACCTCCTTCTCTTCTCCTTACCTCCCCTTGCCACCTCCTTCGCCACCTATGAATCTGTGCTTGAGTATCGTGAACTCTGCTTTTCTGAATGCATAGTTTGGGGTTAAACCAAGCATAACCTACTTTCTGCTTTAGAACTGGGTCCCAGCTAGGTCATATTAGGTTGTTGATTGCTCTGTGAATCACATAGATGTGTTTAGGGTATTAAAACTGAAGTTGCAGGAGACTTAAAAGAAACATTTACTTGTGCTTGAAACACTTTGCTTGTTTGATTGCTGTTTGGATCTCTTCTGTGATTGTGTGATCGCCTAGAAATTGTAAAGTGGATAATGCGTTTGGCTTATGGCGCAGACGGTTATCTTGACATTGCCGGTTCGGTTTATATGACCGGGATCGGGTGTCACAAGTTTGGTATCAGAGCTAAGGTTAAGACTCTTCAGCTTTGCTCTGAAGGGTCAGTCCTAAAAATTTTTAGTGTTTGCGAAACCTTTGTGCACACTTGGCTTGCTTTACAACTGTTATGACTCACACCTATGCATACTTGACATCTGACTCTTAGCTTTTTCTTTCCCGTGCCAAACAGGGCTCATACCCGCGAGACAGCCCGGAAACGGACCACTCCGATCCACATGGTTCCTGCTAGACTCACCCAACCCGCTCGGATGCCCACTCAGGAGGAGGTGAACGCCTGTGCTGCGCTAGCGACTGATGTGCTCGAAGCTGTACAAGCTCGGGGCACATGTCGATCCTCTTCTGGTAAAGTGATGGCCCAACAGGCCCAGCCAACACGTAAGCGCGGACACCCCCGCAAGAACCCCGCGCCATATGTTAGGCCGGATGTTCAGCCGTCTTACCCCCGGACAACCCAGGGTGGACGTTCTGTGGAGCAGTACAAAAGGGCCTTCTTTAGAGACCTGAATGAGAGTGGCAGAGAAATCTGTTGTACTCTTCATGCTGCAATAGCATTCCGAGAAGGGCTGAGACTGGAAATCCGCGGGAGTGTACCTTATCCTGAGGAAGAGGGACTCGTTCGGGGCATCAGCCAAGTCACTAACCTGGCTCGGTTGGTGGAGCAGGATATCGAGGAGGAACGGAGGCAGCAGGAAGAGGGTGACTATGAGTCAGACCCGTCTGAATGCGAGGTCCCCAGCGACGACGACTTCGACCCGAGACGTGGCTAGGAGAAGCTGTTTGAAGACTATCTAGATTAGGGTTGCGCTTTTGGGATATTAGAGGGGGATTGATTTACATTTTAGAAATTAACTTAGTTTTTAATTTATGCATTAGATTTAAGAGCCCTATTCTATGTTGATTGATTGCTTGATTTAATTTAATAAAAGGTTTTGCTTATTTAGAAATGATTGCTTCCCGAGTCTTCCGTTCTATGAACATTTCGATTTAGCCTTCTTTGGTATGACTTCCAAGTCTTCCTCATCGCCTTAAGCCGGCCGTGGAGGTTCATGCTTTAGAATTCGGGACGAATTCTTGTTAAGGGAGGGAGAATTATAACAATCTGGTTTCACAAACCAGGCCCGTTTGGAAAATTCAATCCCGACTAAGACGGTTTAAGCCCATTTTCTATTTTTCGATATTTCCTTTTTCCTTCGAGAGATAATTAATTTCTGGTTTAGATAAATATTATATTTTTAATGTGATATTAATAAACCTTTTCCTAAATGAATTGTGAATATTCTTATTCATAATTATCTTTTCCTTTTTCGTGGTTATCTTTACTTTTTACCCAAGTCTCTCATTGGGTATAAATAGAGAGCCCTTCTCATTCTTTTTCTTCATTCTAAACCTTCCAGAGAACAGAGAAACCCTAGAACTCTCTTCTCTCTCTTTTCCGGCGCCATAGTACTCTCTCTCTCTGTCGTCTCTCTCTCCTCTTTCTTTCTCTCTCATCGCCGCATCCTCTCTCTCTTTACCATGTCCCGCCGTTCGTCTTCCCTGCCTTTTGGTGACCGCCCTAGCCGCTCCCCGGAGCAGCCATCATAGTCCGCCGATGCGGTGGAGCAGCCGCGAGTCCACTACCTTCGGGATGGACCCGTAGCCGCCCCTTCCAGCCGCTCTGCCCCGGTGTTTCACGTTGATGAGGAGCCGGAGTCCTCCGGAGCCATACGCCGCCGCAGCATCACCCCCGGAGATCGATCAACCCTGCGTGGTTAGCCGCCGTGGAGCATCTCGCCTCCTTCTCTTCTCCTTACCTCCCCTTGCCACCTCCTTCGCCACCTAGGCCAAGGTGAAGATGAATCTGTGCTTGAATATCGTGAACTCTGCTTTTCTGAATGCATAGTTTAAGGTTAAACCAAGCATAACCTACTTTCTGCTTTAGAACTGAGTCCCAGCTAGATCATATTAGGTTGTTGATTGCTCTGTGAATCACATAGATGTGTTTAGAGTATTGAAACTGAAGTTGCAGGAGACTTAAAAGAAACATTTACTTGTGCTTAAAACACTTTGCTTGTTTGATTGCTGTTTGGATCTCTTCTGTGATTGTGTGATCGTCTAGAACTTGTAAAGTGGATAATGCGTTTGGCTTATGACGCAGACGGTTATCTTGACATTGCCGGTTTGGTTTATATGACCGGAATCGGGTGTCACACAAACATAAAATGAACTTGCGAGAATGTAATTTTGTAGCTTGTGAAAGATGATCAACACTTGCTAAGAAGCATGGGACCATAAGCGTGTTCTTATGATTGAAAATAAAAACTTTTGTCTTATTACATTGAACATGAGATTGTCGCTTAAACACAATGGCAGATAAACATAAGAGATGAAGTTGATGGAGAACTGTTTGGTTCTATGGTCAGATAGGTATGACATGGACACCGATCTTATGGAGAAGCATGGCACTGGAGGATCCATGGAACCCTACGATCTTGTGATCAACCTTGAGGAGTTCAAAGCTTAAATCTGTAGCAGTACCGAGTCCAAAGTCTGGAGAGGTTTGTGTGTTGGTCTTGAACCTAAGCATGGTTATAGCTCCTGATTTATTATCATAACTACCCTCTACTGATGTGACATATTCAACGGGATAGTTCAGCTCGAACTGCAAAAACAAGAAAAAATTAGAGTATATTTGAATATCATGTCAACTTAATAACATAATTTCAGAATAACTGAATAATAATGTGACAGATTTAATAGAATAAGTAAACTGAAAATTGAATAAACTCATAATACTAAAAAATTAGAAACTAATTATGAAATTAAAACGTGCGGGATGAATTGCAAAATATCGTGTTAATTTTACTTTTTATCATTCAATGTTTATTATTATGAATGATATGTATTTGGTGGAATCACATATTTAAAAACGTGAAAAGATTATGTACCATTCAATTCTACATCATCAAATAGTAATTATACAGTAAACTTTTTATAATTTAATAATATTAAGACTTTGAAATTTTATTAATTTCTAGAATTGTTAACTAATCAATAAATTAATTTGTAAAAATATTTTCAGTTTAAATTCTTAACTTTTTATCAAAAGATTAAAAAAATTTCGACAATGTAAAATTAATGAAGAAAATATCATATCAATAAATCTAGAAAATAAGACTAATAACATTTATAAACTCGAAATAATTATATAATCATATTTTACTATTTTATATTATTTATATAGATCTAAATTAATAATTATTAATTTTTTTGATTATTGAGATTGTATTTTTATATAAAAGTTCTAAAAATTAATATCTTATTATTTTATCAAAATTTAGTAATTTTATTTTAATTCAATTAAGACTGACAAAATTTATTAATTTATAATAATTATTAATTTATTAAATATTAATTTATAAATATTTGACTGTATATAGCTTTAAATTAAGGAAATTTAGTAAGTGACCTCTTTGTCATTAAATAAGGTCTTGTTCCCATGATCATCTCCGAAAACCATCCGAGAGTCTTTGTAGTACATAAACTTGATGAAGGATACGGAGTTCTGGCTTAGTCCAATATATATCTTTCTAACACCCTCAAAATCACCATCATCCCAAGAAGCTCCTCCATTACCACCTTTTGCTTCTACTTTTTCCCCGTCAGGAGGAGGAGGCAGCGGACGAAAATATGCTCCAATAGCTTGAAGAGCACCAGTAGACCGTCCATGTAACCCAACAAGGCCACAGCCTTTTCTCTCTAGCACGAATTTATTAGTAGTTGCATTTCCAAACGTCGAAGAAGTTCTCCCTTTTGATGTTTTGAAGGTCAAGGACGCAATTGTATCCTCTTCATACAGAGTCCCCTCCACAGATGTGATAAATTCATTTGGATAGTCTACCTCAAACTGCATTAAAATAAAGAGGCTTAAATCATATAATATATATATTCAACAACGCAAGCATATACATATGGACAGATATTCATAGCTGTAGGACCTCTCCAGCTTGTCCATCATTATATCCGTGCTGCATCCTTTTTATTTTGCCTCCATTTTCGTAGTAAAACATGACACGCCATACCCATCTTTTTTCATGTGTAACATATACCTTTCTTATGCCATCAAAGGCACCATCATCCCAAATTCTACCTTTATTAGTTCCACCTCTGTATTCCAATTTAGTGATAGGAGAGGCTGCGAAATACGCTCCAAGAGAGATTAGTTTCTTCTCAGCATATCCATGAAACCCAATTATCTTCTTTCCATTGCCTGCGATTCTAAACTTTATGCCCGTATTGAATCCTATCAGGCCTGAAGTCGTGAGGTTAGTTTTGAATTCAAGTCCTTGAATAACCCCTGAATCAAAGTAACCCTCAACAGATACCAAATATTCCTGGTTGAGATGGTTGATCTCAATCTGAAAATAAAAAAAACAAAATACTACATTATTATACTCCTTCTGTTTTTAAAGTAAGATGTTTTAACTTTTTTTTAAAGAAATTAATGTTTTAGATTTTAAATAATGTATTTAGTTTTACAAGAAGTTTTATACTAATAAAAAAGAGAGAAATGATGTGAATATATCATAATTAAAAAGTAACTAAAAAGTAAATAAAAATAATTATTAAAATGTGTCTTAATATGTGTGAAGATGGTAAAACATTTTTTAAAAAACGGAATGAGTAATTAATATGCTCATGGAATCACATTTAAGGGTTGACATTTTCTAAGTCATACATACCGGCACAGTGTAACCACCAGGTCCAGAGACACCATGGGCCGAGCCATATATTTCTCGTCCATTCTTGATATAATTGAACTGTATGAACTGTATACCATCGCGACCACCTCGTACATAGATTTTTGTAACACCTTCATGGTCGGCTCCATCGGTCCACTCCTTGCCTCCCTGTCCTCCTTTCGCTACCAATCTAGTTGGAGTAATCCAAGTGAAGTATGCTCCAAGAGATTCAAGGGATCCAGAGGTAGATCCGTGGAACCCGATGATCTTCTTTCCGACGACAGATAGTGAAAACTTAGTACAATCTTTTTCAAACCCTATCAGTTCAGAAATCCTCGAGTTGGTTTTGAATTGAATCCCTTGAATCACACCCACCTTCGGTTCATAGTAAATCTCAACAGATTCAAGTTGTTCATCGTTCATATGGTTAATTTCAAACTGCAAATGGTGAAGAAAATTCACATCACAAAGGCATTACTACTAAAATAAAAGAATTTAATTAGTATTTTCCAAGTCATACCGTTTGAGTGAAACCTGGTTCCGGTAAACCAAGGTATGACCCTTCTACCAATTTTCCACTCTTGTAATAGTCGAACCAGATGTATTGTATACCTCTTAAGTCACCTCGTACAGTTATCTTTGCTACGCCATCATGGTCAGATCCATCATCCCATTGATATCTTTTATCGGAATTTTTTTGCCCTTGCGCTTCCAACCGTTGGATCATCTTGAACAGATTTGAGTCTTCATAGATGGATTGATATAGTATTTCTTAGTAATGATTTGAATTAAGACACGCCTCTATTTCTTTAGGTTAAGAAATATTTTTTAAAAAAATTCCTTTCATGCAGATTTTAAATTAAAAGCAGAAGACCATTTTCCCAAACAGAGTATAAATGGATCCAAGTTTCTTGAGTGAAAAGCAAGCAAGTTCCAACAATGATCTAACAATTAACATTGGAGATATTCAAGCTCTATCACATTATAAAAATATCCCTCTCATGTTACGTTTAGAACAGTGAGAGAGAGAGACAGAAAATTACCTTTATTGATATGGACCGTGGAGAAAACTCGGAGAGAACAGAGAAGAGTACTGTGTTGTAATAAGTTAAGGGATGTAGGTGCTTTTTATAAAACGTTTGGCTGTTTTACAAATGTATTAACTATGAACAGAGAGAGTAATGTATTAAGTTATGTTTAAAATATTAAATAATATCGTATTATTAAAAGACTAAACGAGGTCTTCTCCGCGAATATTGTTTTGCAGGGATGTGAATTTGATTCACGATGTAGAAAAACAGAATGGAACCATACTTGTATTATTGTATTTAGTTAATTCATTTTTTTGTCAACGCTTGTATAGTTGTATTTATTTATCCGATTTTCTAAAAGAACATAAATAAATCCGACTTTCCAACCAATATAATTAGTTCATATTTTATCTTTTGGACATCTGCACATCTATGGTTATTAAAACGGGCTTCATTATTCATTTCACATGCCGCAGCATGATAAAATGTGGAAAAACAAAGAAAGAAGACATGGCATATTTGAGATAGGACTTAGGAGGCTTGTACTACAAGTAGTTGCTGTTCTAAGAGAAAATGTAGAGGTTTCTTTTAAAATTTTGCTTTTTTTTGTTATTTATAGAATTTTGAATGATTATACTAAATCAATATTAATAAAAAAAAAGTTGGAATTTTGGAGGATCCTTCTGTCTTTGCAGTCTGAGTACGAGAAACTTCAGGCTCAAGTTGTTGGTCGTGAACCTAAACATGAGTAAAACGTCTAGGTACTTCAGGCTTCAGCATAACAACCTTCAACTGATATATGTGATGTAAGGTATAATTCACTCGGATACACCAGCTCGGACAGCAAAACAACAAAATTCCCAATAGATAAGAAACATATATAGCCAGAGTCGTTACTAAACAGTTGGCTTTATATATCACCAATTGATCTGGAAACAAAAAGTTTTTGAAGTTTCACCTGGTTTTAGAATCGCTAAACATCCAAGAACACATAAAGGAACATTAGAGCATGTCCATCGGCGTCAATAAAGGGTTTGTTAGAGGGTTTGTTAAATTAAAAATAATTAAAAGAAATGATTAAACTGTAAAATTTGTTAGAGTCGCCTCTTATTCAAAGTGTTTCAGAACATTTAAAAGACTCATACGTGTCAATCTATGATTACACGATTTATTTTATAAAATATAAATAAATAAAAAAGAGAAAATTGAATGACGAGCGTGATGGAAACTACGATTCTCTCTTTTCCTATCCACTATTCCGATGAGAGGTCAAAATCCAAACAAGAAAACTGTATAATCCCGACTCTGATCATCATCATCTCAAGTCGTTCTCCTTCTTCAAACCATCTGAAATCGAGGCCGTGATGGAGACAGTCATCTTAAGGCGATTATGGATTGCTGCTTTACCTCAGCGCTTCGCTACTTTGCCCAAGGATTGCAAATCTGATCTCCTTGTTCAGGTATACAGACATTTGATTAGGTGTCGTTAACATTCAACATTTATTACAGTTTTTTCTTTCCTTTGATCAACCTTCGAGCTGATTTTTTTGGCGTTTTAATTTGTTGTAGACGAAGCTGAATGTATGCGAAGGAGATGGATCTGATGAGGATGTGTTAATTTTTCTGGATATGGTCAGATACAAGTGAGTGCCTTTAGGCTTTCGATTCTTAACATAATTTTTGGTGTGAATAGGAGTTGACTAGAACAAGCTTGACTCGTGTTTAGTAGATTTCTGGAGATTGGAAATTGCATAAAAAATTTTTAGAAACTGCAATTGCATAAACTAATTTTAGGAACTGCAGAAATTCGATTCAGATAGTGTGTTGAATCTCAACGAAATTGTTTTGAGGAAAAACAGTTACTAGTAAGCAAGTTGAACTTTTAAGACGGAACTTATGGAAGTTTTGTATGTTTACTCTTTATGAATAGGTGAAGTTGCATTTAGATAATCAACCATTACCTTAACTGAGCTACGTAGGTGGTGTTATTGTTGTTCACTCTGTTCGGCAAAAGAAGACATCTTTAATCTTTTGTGTTCCTTATCAAAACGTTATTGATTATCCCTTACAGATGCACGATAAAGCTGTCCAATTATATGCTGAACTAGCAGAGGTCAATGGAACTTCTTGGGGAGATATATGCTCGAAGAGCTGGTGTTAAAAGAAATTATACCAAGGCACTTGAATGGCTTACACTTGCTGCAAAAGAAGGTCTCTATTCAGCATTTAATGGAATTGGCTACTTGTATGTCAAAGGCTATGGAGTAGAGAAGAAAAACTATACTAAGATGTGTCCTCAAAATTCCCAGGCTTTTACTCTTTATTCGACTAGAGATTTAGCTTCTTTGTTGAGTAACACGAATTATTTAGCCGTCAAAATATATTAAAGGAATTGATACTAAAGGGGGAAGGATTGTGAACTAATTAGATTAGTCTAACGTTACATTATTAAATGGCTTCAAATGCAGGCAAGAGAATACTTTGAGAAGGCTGTTGACAATGAAGACCCCAGTGGGCATTATAACCTTGGAGTTTTGTACCGTAAAGGCATTGGAGTCAAAAGGGATGTGAGGCAGGCAACAAAATACTTCTTTGTTGCTGCAAATGCTTTCTATCAACTCGCCAAGATGTTCCATACTAGAGTTGGGCTTAAGAAGAACCTAGAAATGGTAATTACTTGTACTGTGAGTCTTTTTCTGCCTAATCGTGGATGCTAACTGCAATTGTTCTTCTGCTCAAATCCATATAGTTTAAGGGGAAAGAAACTCTTTAAAAAAATTGGCTGAATGCTCTTATAAACTTCAGAAGAAAAGTGACTATTATGGCTAGTGATAGCTTATTAGCCGTATGTTTGTATTGTCGAGGTAAGGGGATGTAATTAGGTGCTTAAGTTTGATTGTAAACGCTAATTCACTCTGCGGCCAGGTGTCAGTTTGATTTTGCTCGATTGGTCATGGTGTCAGCTTTATAATATAATTTTTTTTTAAGAACCCATTAAAAACTTACCAATAGAAGCATCAAAAATAAAAATCAAATACAAAGGTTTTCAAAAGAAAAAAGAAAAAAAAATTATATTAAAATATGTTTAAAAACCTTTTATGGGTATGTACCACCAATGGAGATGGTCTTACAGCACACTAGCCCTTTTATATAAAATAAAAAAAAACATTACAGCATGCATGCATCCTACGTCCCTAGTATTTTAACTCTTTTTTACATTAAAAATTAATTATTATTTTTTGTGTTTTTGGATTTTATAACTAAACTAGGATCTAGACGCGCAGGTAATCTTTTTTTATAATTTAATTTTTATAACATTGGTTTTATAAATATAATTTTAAAATGTAATTTTATTATTCTACAACATTGTAATCAAAATAGTTAATCTATAAATAATGCTAAGATGTTATACAATACGATTTATTATCTTTTTATTAATCGTATTTATATTTTTTAGTCAAAAAATTATATCATAAAAGTGTGTTTGATTTTTAATAAAAAAATAATATATTAATATTTTTCTTCTTCTTTATCTTATTTATTATTATTTTTTATTGTTGTTCTTCGTCTTTTTCTAAATCTTTATTAATATTCTTCTTCTTTTTTTCTTTTTTTTTTTTAGTTCTTCTTGTAAGTTATTCTTTTTCATTCTTTTTCTATTCTTATTTTCAATGCTTTTTCTGTTTTTTTTTCTTTTATTTTTTTATTTTTCCTTATTTTCCTTTTTTGTTCTTTTTTTGTAACTTTTTGTGCTTATTCGTTATGTTAGTTTTTTAATTTCAATTTTTCTAAATTTTTTTTCTCTTTTCTTCTCTTATTTCATTTTTTTTCTTTTTTAATTTTATTCTTTATTTTAATTTTCTTCAAATTTAGCAAAACAAAATTAAAATTAAAATTTCTTATATTAAATTTAGGATAACAAAATATTAGATCCATAATAAAAAAATAACAAAAATTTAAACCTTTGATAATTTTAATGAAAATAATAGATTTAATAAATTTTTATATAACTAATGAAAGTTTAATAGCATATTAAGTAAATAAATGTTAGGTTTCTAAAGTGGATTTTCTTTTAATATAATAGATGAAAAATGGTTAGATCCTAAATACAAATACAATTAGGGTCCAACCCTCTAACCTCAGAGCCCAGACCGGCTAAACCAAAGAGAAAACCAGAAGCCTAACCTAAAGCTTAACCGGTTGAGAAACCCTAATCAACGTGAAGGAGATCGCCGCTGCTATCTGAGCCAGGATCAAAGTCTCGCATAACCTTCCGTACCAGAAGGAATTGCTCAAATAACCCTGTGTATATTATAATTTAATTTTTTATTTTTTTTAATAAGTTAAAATAGCAAAATAACAATATTGTCCTTCTCCAAATTCGTTCCAAATTTATGATCGACACTTTCCCCTTCCCTTTTCAATTCAAACCCTAATCTAATCTCCTCTCTCCCTTCCTCCAAATCGACGATTCTATTGAAACAGAAATCTACTACTCTCTCCGTTCCATATTGTATGATGTTTTGGGTTTTTTATTTTGTTTCACAAATATTGATTTTCTACATTATATTTAATATATTTCTGTTTCCAAGACAACTTTTTGGGCAAAAAAATATAAAAAATTAGTATTAAATTAATAAACACACAAAAAGTACTTTAAAAAAGTAAATAATCATTATTTTCTTAATATCTGTGAAACATCTAAAACATCATACATTCTGGAACGGAGGGAGTAATTGATTAGTTCGAATTCCGACCAGTTCTGCCAACTCTGATTTTCCACTTTCATTCGAAGCCAGAAACTTCCAATGTTCCGCCTCCGCCTCCGCCTCCACCTCTATCTCAGACTCCGGCGGCTCCGATGGATGTCCGACAAGAAGAAAGCATTGGCGAGAGCCCTCCCCCTTGACGTATGGCTCTGACAGTGCAATCGGCAACCAGTCCGCCTTTGATTCCAGAACCGGTAACCGGTCCTTCCCCATCGCAACTGGCTTCACCATCGCAATTGGCTTCACCGTCGTCACCACCTTCACCGTCGCAATCAACACCGGTAAACCCTAAATTTTGTGGAACCATGGCTAGTATAACTAGGTCCAACTAGTCCGACTAGTATGAATAGTT